GCTCAATTCTGTTTTCACCATTGACTTTTTTGGGTCGAAAAACTGCCTAATCAGGTCACAGAATCGAAATGAAAGCGATATCTACACAGATCACGAACATTTAGATTTCAGTTGAGGAGATTGATCAGTAGGTCCTAGGAAAAAAATCGAACTTTTTGTCTGAGCAAAGATAGCTCATTTCTGTTTCCACCATTGACTTTTTTGGGTCGAAAAACTGCCTAATTAGGTCACAGAATCGAAATGAAAGCAATATCTACACAGATCACGAACATTTAGATTTCAGTTGAGGAGATTGATCAGTAGGTCCTAGGAAAAAAATCGAACTTTTTTCAGAGCAAAGATAGCTCAATTCTGTTTTCACCATTGACTTTTTTGGGTCGAAAAACTGCCTAATTAGGTCACAGAATCGAAATGAAAGCGATATCTAGACAGATCACGAACATTTAGATTTCAGTTGAGGAGATTGATCAGTAGGTCCTAGGAAAGAATTCGAACTTTTTTCAGAGCAAAGATAGTTCAATTCTGTTTTCACCATTGACTTTTTTGGGTCGAAAAACTGTCTAATTAGGTCACAGAATCGAAATGAAAGCGATATCCACACAGATCACGAATATTTAGATTTCAGTTGAGGAGATTGATCAGTAGGTCCTAGGAAAAAAATCGAACTTTTTTCAGAGCAAAGATAGCTCAATTCTGTTTCCACCATTGACTTTTTTGGGTCGAAAAACTGCCTAATTAGGTCACAGAATCGAAATGAAAGCGATATCTACACAGATCACGAACATTCAGATTTCAGTTGAGAAGATTGATCAGTAGGTCCTAGGAAAAAACTCGAACTTTTTTCAGAGCAAAGATAGCTCAATTCTGTTTTCACCATTGACTTTTTTGGGTCGAAAAACTGCCTAATTAGGTCACAGAATCGAAATGAAAGCGATATCTACACAGATCACGAACATTTAGATTTCAGTTGAGGAGATTGATCAGTAGGTCCTAGGAAAAAAAATCGAGCTTTTTTCAGAGCAAAGATAGCTCAATTCTGTTTTCACCATTGACTTTTTTGGGTCGAAAAACTGCCTATTTAGGTCACAGAATCGAAATGAAAGCGATATCTAGACAGATCACGAACATTTAGATTTCAGTTGAGGAGATTGATCAGTAGGTCCTAGGAAAAAAATCGAACTTTTTTCAGAGCAAAGATAGCTCAATTCTGTTTCCATCATTGACTTTTTTGGGTCGAAAAACTGCCTAATTAGGTCACAGAATCGAAATGAAAGCGATATCTACACAGATCACGAATATTTAGATTTCAGTTGAGGAGATTGATCAGTAGGTCCTAGGAAAAAAATCGAACTTTTTTCAGAGCACAGATAGCTCAATTCTGTTTCCACCATTGACTTTTTTGGGTCGAAAAACTGCCTAATTAGGTCACAGAATCGAAATGAAAGCGATATCTACACAGATCACGAACATTCAGATTTCAGTTGAGGAGATTGATCAGTAGGTCCTAGGAAAAAAATCGAACTTTTTTCAGAGCAAAGATAGCTCTATTCTGTTTTCACCATTAACTTTTTTGGGTCGAAAAACTGCCTAATTAGGTCACAGAATCGAAATGAAAGCGATATCTAGACAGATCACGAACATTTAGATTTCAGTTGAGGAGATTGATCAGTAGGTCCTAGGAAAAAAATCGAACTTTTTTCAGAGCAAAGATAGCTCAATTCTGTTTCCACCATTGACTTTCTTGGGTCGAAAAACTGCCTAATTAGGTCACAGAATCGAAATGAAAGCGATATCTAGACAGATCACGAACATTTAGATTTCAGTTGAGGAGATTGATCAGTAGGTCCTAGGAAAAAATTCGAACTTTTTTCAGAGCAAAGATAGCTCAATTCTGTTTCCACCATTGACTTTTTTGGGTTGAAAAACTGCCTAATTAGGTCACAGAATCGAAATGAAAGCGATATCTAGACAGATCACGAACATTTAGATTTCAGTTGAAGAGATTGATCAGTAGGTCCTAGGAAAAAAATCGAACTTTTTTCAGAGCAAAGATAGCTCAATTCTGTTTCCACCATTGACTTTTTTGGGTCGAAAAACTGCCTAATTAGGTCACAGAATCGAAATGAAAGCGATATCTAGACAGATAACGAACATTTAGATTTCAGTTGAGGAGATTGATCAGTAGGTCCTAGGAAAAAAAATCGAACTTTTTTCAGAGCAAAGATAGCTCAATTCTGATTCCACCATTGACTTTTTTGGGTCGAAAAACTGCCTAATTAGGTCACAGAATCGAAATGAAAGCGATATCTAGACAGATCACGAACATTTAGATTTCAGTTGAGGAGATTGATCAGTAGGTCCTAGGAAAAAATTCAAACTTTTTTCAGAGTAAAGATAGCTCAATTCTGTTTTCACCATTGACTTTTTTGGGTCGAAATACTGCCTAATTAGGTCACAGAATCGAAATGAAAGCGATATCTAGACAGATCACGAACATTTAGATTTCAGTTGAGGAGATTGATCAGTAGGTCCAAGGAAAAAAATCGAACTTTTTTCAGAGCAAAGATAGCTCAATTCTGTTTCCACCATTGACTTTTTTGGGTCGAAAAACTGCCAAATTAGGTCACAGAATCGAAATGAAAGCGATATCTACACAGATCACGAACATTTAGATTTCAGTTGAGGAGATTGATCAGTAACCTAGGAAAAAAATCGAACTTTTTTCAGAGCAAAGATAGCTCAATTCTGTTTCCACCATTGACTTTTTTGGGTCGAAAAACTGCCTAATTAGGTCACAGAATCGAAATGAAAGCGATATCTACACAGATCACGAACATTCAGATTTCAGTTGAGGAGATTGATCAGTAGGTCCTAGGAAAAAACTCGAATTTTTTTCAGAGCAAAGATAGCTCAATTCTGTTTTCACCATTGACTTTTTTGGGTCGAAAAACTGCCTAATCAGGTCACAGAATCGAAATGAAAGCGATATCTACACAGATCACGAACATTTAGATTTCAGTTGAGGAGATTGATCAGTAGGTCCTAGGAAAAAAATCGAACTTTTTGTCTGAGCAAAGATAGCTCAATTCTGTTTCCACCATTGACTTTTTTGGGTCGAAAAACTGCCTAATTAGGTCACAGAATCGAAATGAAAGCAATATCTACACAGATCACGAACATTTAGATTTCAGTTGAGGAGATTGATCAGTAGGTCCTAGGAAAAAAATCGAACTTTTTTCAGAGCAAAAATAGCTCAATTCTGTTTTCACCATTCACTTTTTTGGGTCGAAAAACTGCCTAATTAGGTCACAGAATCGAAATGAAAGCGATATCTAGACAGATCACGAACATTTAGATTTCAGTTGAGGAGATTGATCAGTAGGTCCTAGGAAAAAAAATCGAACTTTTTTCAGAGCAAAGATAGCTCAATTCTGATTCCACCATTGACTTTTTTGGGTCGAAAAACTGCCTAATTAGGTCACAGAATCGAAATGAAAGCGATATCTAGACAGATCACGAACATTTAGATTTCAGTTGAGGAGATTGATCAGTAGGTCCTAGGAAAAAAATCGAACTTTTTTCAGAGCAAAGATAGCTCAATTCTGTTTTCACCATTGACTTTTTTGGGTCGAAAAACTGCCTAATTAGGTCACAGAATCGAAATGAAAGCGATATCTAGACAGATCACGAACATTTAGATTTCAGTTGAGGAGATTGATCAGTAGGTCCAAGGAAAAAAATCGAACTTTTTTCAGAGCAAAGATAGCTCAATTCTGTTTCCACCATTGACTTTTTTGGGTCGAAAAACTGCCTAATTAAGTCACAAAACTGCAATGGGAGTGATATCTAGACAGATCACGAACACTCAGATTTCAGTTAAGCACATTGATCAGTAGGACCTAGGAAAAAATTCAAACTTTTTTCAGAGTAAAGATAGCTCAATTCTGTTTCCACCATTGACTTTTTTGGGTCGAAATACTGCCTAATTAGGTCACAGAATCGAAATGAAAGCGATATCTAGACAGATCACGAACATTTAGATTTCAGTTGAGGAGATTGATCAGTAGGTCTTAGGAAAAAAATCGAACTTTTTTCAGAGCAAAGATAGCTCAATTCTGTTTTCACCATTGAATTTTTTTGGTCGAAAAACTGCCTATTCAGGTCACAGAACCGCAATGGGAGCGATATCTAGACAGATCACGAACATTCAGATTTCAGTTCAGGAGATTGATCAGTAGGTCCTATGAAAAAATTCGAACTGCTTTTAGAGCAAAGATAGCTCAATTCTGTTTTCGCCATTGACTATTTTGGGTCGAAAAACTACCTATATAGGCCACAGAACCGAAATGGAAGCGATATCTAGACAGATCACGGACATTTAGATTTCAGTTAAGGAAATCGATCAGTAGGTCATAGGAAAAAATTCGAACTTCTTTCAGAGCAAAGATAGCTCAATTCTGTTTCCACCATTGACTTTTTTTGGTCTGAAAACTGCCTATTTAGGTCACAGAACCGAAATGAAAGTGATATCTAGACAGATCACGAACACTTTGAAAAAATTCGAACTTTTCTCTGAGCAAATCGTAATCAACGAAATGAGAAGTCACAACATCGTTTTCGAACGCAATGTGTTCAACGCTTGCATACGAACGCATTTGAGACTGCTATTTCAGAGGCGTGCAGTACAGGAATACTTGCACTTGATTCGTTATTATGATCAAAAAATCAGGTTATTTTTTTCTTACCCAACTTACGGTGGCTGTAGCTCAGAGGGTTGCACAAGTTTACATTAAGAGAAAGTCTTATTTTGATCCCAACAATACGCCCTCAAAATATTTACATCAAATCTCAAATCACCCTGTATATTATCGGCAAATATAAATGGCTCCAAAACAACCTCCACGATTTGATCACAAAAACTTGGTGGAGGAGAAAAACTAATCGTGCGGAAAATTCAAATCTTCATATCACCCTGTATATCTCCAATATATTTTTTGCAGGCCAGTCCTACCCGCTAGCCCAGCATGGTAAACAGCGGCACGTTCGAATCATCCCATGGGCAAGAGGGCGACAAAAACGTCATAGCCAGCTGCCTACAACCCCCTACCATCACCACCGAAGGCGGTCCCTCAGACCCAGAGCAGTCTCCCGAAGACAAACTGCGCTGCAGCGTGCCCTTGGAGAAGCTAGAAGGCTACCAGCCCGAAGACCTCGCCAAGAGTAAGAACAGGAAGCTGCTGTGCCTCTACTGCGACAGAACCTTCGTCAGCCTCAATTTGAGGCAGAAGCACGTGGAGCGCGCTCATTCTTCCAAAAACTCGCGCCGCGTCAGCTCCCGGAAGCAAAACCAGCTGACAGCGACCCCTTGCGCCCACTGTGACAAACTCAACAATACCGAGAACACCTTGAAAGATCTCTTCCAGCATCTCGTCCAGGAACACCCCGGGAAGTACTTCGGGTGCTTGCCCTGCGAGGACAGGTTCCTCACGCAGGCGCTGTTGGCCGACCACCATGTCAACGTCCACAGAGCCGTTTTGCCCTCGGACAGCGTCAAATCACCTGCCAAGACCACCTTGAAGGAAACGCCCCCTGAAGAGCTGTTTCAGGAGAAAGAGGTGGTCATCAAGATCACCAGGAGTCGGGTGAAGCCCAGGCAAGAAGAGGCGGCGGAAGAAGGTAAGAAGAAGCTGAAGAAGCTGAGTGTGAAGAGCTCGAGAATAGCTCTGAAGAAGAGGGAGAGCAAGAGGTTGCAGGCTTTGGCGAAGATTGCTGATGGGGCAAAGAAGAGGAGAGCGAAGCCTGAGAGGAAGCAGCTTGGTGGTAGCAAGATGGAGCAACAAAACAGTACAAAACCGGAGAAGGCTAAGGCTAGTGCTAGCGCTGGGAACCCTTACCCGGAGTTCGATAATTTTTATCGCGTGAAAAAAATCACAGACCATTCCATAGACAATTTGAAGATAAGCTCGCTGACTTTTGACGACGTGTTCGACAAAGCGTTCTTCAATCGAATCAAGTGCAATATAGAAGAAAACTTATTACATCATATTGATGGCAAGCTATTCAAGAACGAAGAGTCAGAAAGCCGGATTTCGAATTTTGAAAAAGTATCCAATTCCACACAGGAAATCCAGAATGCTAGCTCTGACAACTACGGCTGCGAGTTGTCTCTCAACGCAGTCACCCCAGTAGCCTCTCTATCCCTTAACTCTCAGTACGGGGAAGATTTCGAATCTCAAATTGAGTACGGTTCCAAACCTTCTAAGAAAAAAACCCAAACGAAAACCGACCAAGTGTTTCACTACAAGTACTTCACACGCAGAAAGTTCCAAGCGAGCATCCTACAGCAAAAGGAGAACCGCGACCTCAGCAAGCTGGACATGTGGACGCAGCTGGTGATCAGAAATCGCCAGCAAAAAATCATCGACGACAAGAAAACGCCCAAAGAGATCCAGGAGTATGCTTCTTGTGATGAGTACAAGAGCAAACTGAAACGCGAGGAGCTGAACAGGATTTTAGATCGCAGAGGGCCTTTCGAAGATCTCAAGGAGGAAGCTAGCAAAAAGGCGGCTCTGGACAAGCTCAACTCGGCGTCTGCGGACAGTATCAGCCACGAGAGCTTCACCGATATCCGGGAAATCCTCGAAGACATTCTAGCTAGAGTTTTCGTTGCTACAGGCGAAGCAGACGCGGAGGAAATAGAGGAGAAAGTGGAGGCTAAAAGGGATGAGCGAGAGCTGCCGAGCTACCTCAATCTGCGCAGGACCTCCACTTTGCCCAGCGAAGGGGATATTGATAGGTCGGACAGGATAGCGCTGATTTGCTCCTCGCAGGAAACGGAGAACTACGAGCTGCCGACCAATCAGGCTCGAAGGCAAAACGAACTCGTTGAGTTGTCTGGCGAATGGGCACGTTGCAGGCTGTACGTTTGCGCGGCATGCGGAGCCAGGCTGCCCAACATGAAGTACCTGCTGGACCACAAGAGCTTGTACCACCAGAACGTGTGGGTGCAACACTACGAGTTTGTGGGTATGTACTCAGAGTAACTAGTTGAAAAGTGTGATATATTTCGCTTATTTCTTCTGCGGGAGAGGCCAGGACCTACTCAATATGGTGAGATAGAGTTGGCCCTGGAAAAACACTTTTGTGGAACCGCAGCCATATCGATAATTTCTCTGATAATTCGAGAGAATTTCATCGCATTCAACTCGGCATAAATAGCTCATGAAAAACTGTCATTCATCGTTTTTATCAATTGATGGTTTTCTAGCTGTTGTGTAATTAGTTCTCTATAAGGCACAGATCTGACCTGTCCTGGAATACTGTTCCCATATTTGGATTGTAGCACCCAAACATACTCTGAAATTGTTGGATTCTGTCCAAAAAGGGCAATTCGTCTCGTGGGTGATGCCTCGCTAACAATACACACTTCTCTGGAACACCTCAGAAAAGTTGGCGATCTGGCTCTATTTTATAGATATTTTCATGGACAATGCTTTTCTGAAATATCAACAATTGTTCCTTCGTTGGCAGTCCCCGCGAGATTAACCCGTCGAGTTGAGGCTTCGCACCCCTTCATGGTCACTTTGGAGACCTGCAGAACATCTTTTTCCAAAGACTCGTTCATCCAACGAACAGCGAAGCTCTGTAACACATTGCCAAGGAAAGTTTTTCCCGAGGCATATAACCCCCAGAAATTTAAGAAGAACACCAATTCCTACCTTATTTTCCTTGGTTCTCACGATGTTCTTTGAACATTACAGGGTATCCCTTTTCGTGGAAACCAGAACATAAAAAAAAGACAGAGTGCTCTTCGTCGCAAAGACCTACACAGTTCGATAGGATGTGGATGGAAGTTTTGTCGTCTTCCTTCTTCCATAGAATCTGCACTCTGTGGGAACCAGCCCCATATTTTTGTAGGCAAATTCCTACATGGTCCTTCGAGCCGGATAATGTGGGGTTTGATAACGAAATTATATATTCGTTATTTATTCCGACATTGAAGCTTCTTTATTGATTTCTCAATTGCATAACAACAGTCAATAGTAGTCTTCAGTATTCATGACTACATCACCCGATGTGTTTATAAAGGTAGAACAGTGATAGTTACAAATTATACAATGATGGTGATTTCTGTCGAAGGTAACCAGAACGAGCTCTATCGGCATCTGAGCATCCCCGCTCTGGGCAAGGTCGGCTTCATCGAGGACACTTTCCAGGGCAAGTTGTGGCGGCGCAGCGAGGCGCGGACGTGCAGCAAATGCGGGAAGCAGTGCAACTCCTTGGGGGAGTTGCACCGGCACATCTTGGAGTGTGGCGGCGATTGGTCGTGGATGCTGGCTAGGAAAAAGTGCAAGTACAGGCCGTGCAAGTCCAGGAGAAAGAGACTGAGAGGTGAGTCTTTTTCAAAGACATTTAACCCGGTAGCTCCGAAATTATTTATTTTTCTCTGAGATTTTATGGCCTTAAACTAGTGTGAAATGCTTTGAGAACAGGAAAAATATATAGAAACAAGAATGAAATTCAGGTTCTCCAAAAATCTGCTGTTGCCATATGGTGACACTAGGCGCTTCTAGCAATATTTCGTAGAAGTTGTAGAATGTTACACCTGCATCATTGCCAAAAGTGCTGATTTGTCTGGTGGAAAGTAATAACGACGGGTTGATTTCGTGAAAATGAACATTTTGAATTAAATAAATCGTTGTTTTCTCCCATAGGTTTGGTGCATAGGATCCGACACAAAGAAAATGACGGTCCAAAAGAGAAGAAGAAGTACAAGAAGGCATTCGAGGGTCCTAGACAGCGACCCAGTGACGGTAAGTTTTTTATTGATGTTTCAACCGAGGGCCGAATGTTCACACAGTGTTTGTTTTTGTAGCTGAAACTATACAACGTATGCTAGCCAATTTACCTGCGAAACGGTCCACTAGGAAATTGATATCTCTCTATGACGGAGTCTATAGAGCGAGGAAAAATAACCAGATACAGCAGCAGAACTTGAACCAGAAGAAAGTTAAATGTGGGAAGGTTATTTATAAAAGCAGTAGCATCAAAGAAAATACGGAAAAAACTATTAATACAGCACCTTCGGGTCTCAAGACGCAGAAACCTAATCAATCTTCCAACAGAAGATCTCTGAGGAACATGAGTAGGGTTTTATCTAGCAGAATTCTAGACACAAACGCAAACTTGAATGTGAAACGGAAATTGAAGGCGTTAAGTGAAAGAAGGAGCACCAGACAGTCGAAAATTTCCAGTAAAATTGTTCCTGAAGTCAATCCAGATCAAGCTGCAACTTTAGAAGATACAGAACAGCTCGAAAAAGCTAAAGCTGGCGAAGGGAAATTGGAAAATCAGTTTGCCCTAACTCACAAGAGAACTTCGCCTAGATCCACTCCTAAGAACGTGAAAATGATGAATGTTAAGAAACTCCTGACGGGAAATATTAACATGAAGTCGTTTTTTCCTGTCAAGAAGCAGAAATCTAGGAAAGCTCTTAGAGAAACTCAGGCGGCTGAAAGTACCGACAAGAGTGTAGACCCGAAGACTAAAATCAAAAGAAAGTCCAATGAGCCTGAAGCTGTAGTTACTGCAAGGGAAGAAAAGCTAGATAAGCAAGCAGAACCTAAAAAAACGAAGAGTAGCGCTATCAAAAAAATCATGAAGTCTCTGAGTTTGAAAAAGAAACTCGTAAAGAGTTCTGCTTCAAACTCACCAGAACTTGAACTTGTTCAAAGTGATACTCAGTCACCGACAAGTTTAACCAATGTCTTGAGCCCTGTTGAGACAGACAAAAGTAACAACAAGCGTAAACTCAAACGTAGCTTCAGGAACGTCATAAACAGAGTCAAAAGACTGAAAATTGATAGCGCCCCAGAAACTTTAGAAACCGACACGAAAGAAATCGCTACTAAGAGTACTTTTTTAGGGGAAACGAACCTAGAACATCCAAACCAATCGGTAAAAATCGTGATACCATCCAACTCAGAAGCAAAAGAAAACTTAGCTGACATATCAGAATCTGCCCATATTGCAACTAACTTCAATAAAACAAGCGGGGACTCACCTGTGCCAGAAAACATCTTTAAACTAGGATCCAGTGATGAAAAAAGCCTCCAAGCCAAAGGCGACCTTGACTTTGACAGTCAGCAAGACACCGACAAGATCATCAAAAGTACCGTCACAACAGAAATTATAGAAGACAAGACTGAAACAGAAATTACCCAAAAAACAACTCCCGCGAACGAAAAAATCGAACCCTTGACCATAGAAACTTCTGAAAAACCTAAGATCATGCCTCTGGTATCTCCTAACATCAAAGGAAAAATCAAGAAACCCACCAGAGGGCTGAACGACTGTATAGCGATGCTCACAAGCAAGCTGCAGCAAAAAACCATCGAACCAATTGCTAAAGTCGGTGTGTTCAACTTGGTATCTCCTACTAACGCGCCAAGAATACTTTCCGACCCTTCGCCACAAAAGTCTGATTGCATTTTGAAAATACCCAATTTCAAGACCCAAACGGAACCTTCTAGTCTAGAGGAAACAGCCTTAGACTTGAGTGTAAAACCAAAAGATCAAGGTCAAGAGGTACCGATAGCGAAGCCAGAAAAAACTGTCAAAAATCCGGAAGCAGTGTTCGCCGAGGCCAGCAAGCCATATTTTGAACCTTTCTCCTTCGGTATTCCTAAAATGCCTGATCTGACCAATTCTGTTGAGCGAATCATCAACAGTGTCATAGAAAACAATTTCCAGAAAGAATCCAACCACAAGATATGGAAGTCTTGGAACACGGTCGATGAAACTATCCAGTATGTGATAGACGGTTACCACCACAAAAGCAGTCCAGTATCCTCACTGAGTGTTACGAAAAACTCTGTAGATGACATCATTGATTTCGTAGCGACTTTTGGCAATGATAAGGAAGACATCAATAACAAGTTGGGCCTAATTCTGAAACAACCAGGTGACAGATCCAAACTCAAAAATACGAAGAAACCAAGCCCAAGCAAGCAAATGAAGAACATCGAGCTCCTCAAAGGTATACTGTCTGGGCCTACCCTTGATAGTATATCAATAATTCCTGGAGATAGTATTTCTTCTTGCCTAGGTATTGGAGATACTAAAAAGAAATACGAAGACCACAATACCTCAGCTGAACCTGTCCTAGGTACTGTCAAAGCTGTTGCTCCCAATAATTTGGATATCACCATCGAAAATGTTGTCAGAGATACATCCTCCATTGAGGAGCCTAAACAAACTCCCGTAGATCCAATTGTCAAAACCTCTGTTAAAAAACTCAGTCAATTCAGGAGGAGTAAAGATAAACAGAAAAGTATCACGGAGCTTGCAGACAAACCCTTTGTGGAAACTCACTTAGACGATGTTCTCGACACCAAGGAGGTAAATTGCAAACCAGAAGTGTCCTCGGTCAACATCAAAGCCATAAGTGAAGATAACGTCGAAAAGACTGAAGAGCTGACACTAACCAGTGAGGATGAACCACTCGTTCTGGAGAATAAATTAGTGAACCCTAGTGACTCTGAGGATGATATACCACTAGCAGCTTTGCTAAAACCAATTGAGGACAGCAAAAATGAAGCTACATATATTTCAGTGGCTGTTGAAGACTCTTTGAGCAAATTAAAACAAATTACTTCAGAAAATGTTTGCGAAGAGATTGCAGGAACGTTAGTAAAGACTGGTTCAACAACTTTTGAGGAACAAACTGAAGATGGACAGAATATCATTCTTGATAGCACAAACATGGAAAACACTACCACTACTCTAGAGTCTCGACTAACAAGTAGTGCTTGCTCAGAAATGGTAGAAAATGAAGCATCTGAGGAAAGTGCTGACACTTTCATTAAACCTGTTGAAGTTGAAGATTCGAACATGAGTCAAGATCCTGAGGAAAAACAAGCTCATCAGGACCAAAGAGACTTTCCAGATCAGGTGGTCAATGATTCAGATGAAGCTATGGATTGCAAGGTCCCAGTGACAAAAACAAAAAAGTCACGAGCCAAAAAACGAAGTCTATCGAAGAAGAAAAGTATACTACTAGACAAAGTGACAATTGAAACAGAAAACAGTTATCCGCAACAAACTGCTGATGGAACAGTCAGTGTCCAAGAGCCTCAGACAGAAATTTCTCCAATTCCTGATGGAATACCATCAATAGAATTGACAAAAACTTCGGTGGATGAAATAAAAACACATGATCAAGTTGAGGAATCGACTCCAAGTCTTCCGCTTCCACCTCAAACAGCTGAAAACGTAGCTACAGAAGCAATCAAAGATGATGATGTATCAAACCAAGAAATAACAACTGATAGTTCGTTTGTAAAAAATCTACCATTTGCCAATGAGGAAATTCTTCCAGATGTTTTGCCAACACTAAAACGAAATACAAATCAGAGGAAAAGGGCGAGAAAAACAAAATTTTCGAGGAAGAAACCCAAAAGGAAGAACCAAGTTCCAGTTGGAGATATTTCCAAGCCAACGGAATCTCTGGGGTTAGAGCTGTCCAATGAAGCTCCTCCATTTGAAACAGAAAATCGAATTGAACTTTCTGAGACATCTAAAGAACCCTCATCTTCAACACTACCAAATGTCAGCATACCTTTAGGCGATGTAGATGAATCTATAGACAATCCGAGTTTGAAAACTTCAGTACTTGAAGGAGATATCATCTGTAATGCCAGTTCTACGTCTAATTCGATGGTTGATAAATCTTTAGTTACCAAAGTGATCGAAACTAAAGATGGTTTAGTTACTGAAACTGAGATGAATCATCAATGTAGTATATTTTCATCGATTGAAACCAATGAACGTCTTCTGGAAATACCAAAGTCTGATGGCTCCTTGTTGAGTGATGGAAGCAAAATCGAAACTGATGTTGTTTCAAAGCAAGAAATAAAAACTGATAGTTCGTTGGTCAAAATTCTTCCATTTGCAAATGAACGAACTCTTCCCGATGATTTGCCAGTTCCGAATAGAAAAAACAACCAGAGAAGAAGAGCGAAAAAACCGAAATTCTCGAGCAAAAAAACCAAAAGGAAAAATCTAGTTCCAATTGTAGATATGCTTGAAGGTATGTCCAAGCTTGTAGGCCTTGAGATGTCAAATGAATCGTCTCCATCTGAAACAGAAAAACAAACTGAGCTGTCTGATACATCTAAAGAATCCTCATCTTCAACTCTACCAAATGTAATAATGCCATTGAACAATGAAGGCAAATCTTTAGACGACACGATTGAAGGTATATCGACAGAAACAACTGAAAATAATTTTGAAATACCAATGCCAGATGACTCCATAAGTGATTATAGCAAAATGCAAGCTGATGTTGCTTCACACCAAGTAATGAGAACAGATAGTCTATTTGCACAAGATCTACCATTTGCAAATGAAGAAGTTCTTCCAGATGTCTTGTCAGTACCAAAAAGAAACATCAATCAGAAGAGAAGGGCGAAGAAAACAAAATTTTCGGGAAAAAAATCGAAGAGGAAGAATCCAGCTCCTACCGTAGACATTTTTGAAAATACTACTAAGTCTACAGGTTCTCTGGGCTCAGAAATATCCAATGAACCTCCTTCATCTGAAACAGAAAACCATATTGAACCTTCCGAGACATCAAAAGAATCCTCATCTTCAACTCTACCAAAGGTCAGCATATCATTGAGTGATGAAGATATATCTGTAGATATTGCCAATGAAAGTGAATTGCCACTAGACAAAACAAGTTTGAACACTACTGATTATATTGCTAATAACAGTTTGACATCTGACACAATGGTTGAAAATCATTTAGTTTCCAAAGTGACGCCAGTTACTAAAACTAAGATAAAACAAAAGAGCAATCATCAGTTGAGTAGATTTTCATCGATTGGCAATATTGGTGAAGATGCAACCTCCTCTGAAACCAATGAAAATCATTTCAAAGTACCAATATCTGATGACTCCATGTTGAGTGATGCAAACAAACCAAAGAACTCTAAAAAAAGAAACATACGATCGAAAATTAAAATCACTGAGAGTGAAAGAAATGTTGGTGAACATATGACCGAAATCATTTCGAATATCAAGAAATACTTATCACCTGAAACTGATGAGCATAATTTTAAAATTCCATTGTCTGATGACTCGATGCTGACTGATACCAGCAAACCAAAGAACTCTAAAAAGAGGAGCATACGATCCAAAATAAAATTTAACAAACGAAGATCAAGGTCATTGAAGTTGGACATTGGGATGAGCTCCAGCGATGAATCTTCTTCTTCTCCCGTTAAGTTGAGGTCAAGATCACTGAAGAAACATTACAGGGAACCATCTTCTGATGACTCTCCTGTAAACGCACGAAGTGAATTGGAACTAACAGATTCCGATACTCTCTTGAGTGAAATATCTACTAAAAGATGCTTGAGAACTTCGAAAAATGATACAAGTATAACCCCTCCATTGATTGATGAAGGACCATCCCTTAATGTGAATACAACTGCAAATTTTATCTCAGAAACTCTGATTACATTGAGAAAAGAATTGGGTCTGCCAACTGAAGACTTGAGTAAAAAAAATGCAGGAGAGTTGACCCTCAAAAGGTCTGCCAGGTTGTCTACAGCAATACTGTCATCACAAGACGATTCTTCAACTGTCATCGAGGCAATTGTAGATCCAAAAGACCCCGAAGCCGAGAGCTTAGAAGTACAAAAAACGAGTGTGGCCGAGATGGTTTTCAAAACACCAACCAAAAAAAGGAATTCTCGAAAGATTCACCTCGCAGTCTGGACTGACGAATCAGATTTGAACGAGTCGAATACTGAAGATACTCCCAATAAGAAACGTCCGTTGAGGAGTGCTTACAATCAACTGACGTCAGAGAGTGAGACAGAAGACAGTTCACACTCTGATGCTAGTTTGAGAACAAAAACAAGGAGAGGTTCAAGATCATTGGTGAACGAATTCAAAGAGCCTAGTTTCAGTGAATTACAGTCAAAGGTACACGATGAAGAACTACCAAACTGTGAGAGTAAACTTGAGGTAGAAACTGAGGGTTTTAACTCCGATCAGAAGACAAAAATCAAGCATGTGTCTAATAAGAAAAGGGGTAAAACGAGACTTGTCACCTCCATTGAATCAACTGGTAACTCAGAGTCTTCAGATTCCGATTTCGTTGATTTCCAATCTAAAAGGCCTCTCAGAAAGTTGAGATCATTGAATAATGGTACTGTCAGTGTACTAGATGTCTCAAAACCAGATAGTATAGAAGAAACAGTGAATAAGTTAGCAGATAGTGATGAGAATGATTTTGAAGCTAAGAGGCCTAAGAGATCTTCAAGGTTGCTAAACAACAATGTAAATATCCCCGCTGGGAAAACCGATGAACTACTTCCTGATGCTCCCTCAGAACTATCAACAGATAAGAAAACGAATGCTCCAAGAAAGAACGGCAAAAATGAACAATCCCTTGAACCGGATACTCCTAGCCAATCAGTGGACGAAATCGATGGAATGAACGATTCACTGCAAAGGCAAAATTCTAGATCGCTCCGGAAAAAATCAGCTATTAACTACTCAGAAATTGAAGAAAATACTTTTGTCATACCTGATGCTACTGAAGAAACAATACAAACAAACGATAAAAATAGCCTGATGACTAAGAATCGCAACGACAAAACTATCGGAAATACTCTAATGGTCGATGTTGAACCGATAAACACAATTTCAGACTTGATTTCTGAAAGAGTTGAAACAGATGTACTGGAAGTTCAGATAATCCCACCTGTTGATGCAACTCCTCAAGATTCCGACTTGACCAACCCTGACGTGGAAACAGATGAATCCGCATTGATGAAACCAGCACCAACTGTTTCTAAAAAGTTCACTAAGAAGAAGAAGAAGAAGAATGCTGGCAAGTCGAAAATTCTAAATCAGCTCCCACCGCTTGTTGATTCCAAAAATACTCAGGACATAGCAGTTGTCACCTGTGAACCCATTACAGAAGACAATTCAAAAAGTGACACAGCTATTGTTGCCCCTCTATTTCCCTCAGAGACTGCTGATACTGAACCACCGATAAAAATAATCATCAACAAACAGAAAGCCAGAAGGAAATCGAAGAGCATCAAGAAGATTGACAGTAAAGGCCCTAATGATCTGTTCCAAGATTTCGCTTTGGTGATAAAAAAGAAGCGCACCACTCCTTTCATGAGTTTTTCTCCACCAGACACATTTTCCAAGGAAGACACAGATGCTTATTCCCTATTTCCACCAAAACCGTTAGAAATTCAGCAAGTACTGGATAAAAAAGATGACGATCATTTCATCGATAAAAAAGATGAAGATCATGCTGAGCTAGATGTATCTGTGGAAGAAATGGATATGGAATTAGATGAGATACCAATCAACGCCAGTATTATTGAAAATACCTTGAATCTATCACTTCCTTTAGATCACGAAACAGATGAATTGACCCTGTTTGATTCACCTAAAGTAGAAGTGAACCCTGTCACCAAACCTCTCATCACCAAAACAACAAGAAATGGACGTAAAAACAAACATTCTAAAAACAAAGGAATCATCGATAAAGAATCTGAAACAGAAATGTCTGTTGATTCAAAAGACATTTCTTCACTTGTGATGGAGGAATATAGCGAACTCCCAATCTCATCAGCAATGTCAAATATTGAAGAGGTCGTGAAAAAAGATATGTCACCTGAAGATCAACAAGTTGAAGAACCGAGGCCAGTAAAGAAAACATCAAAAAAATCTAAGGAAAAGCTAGTCGAGGGAAGTACTAACCTTGGTATACCGTCACTGTCACATATTGGAAAGATTTTAGATCAGGATCATCCAGAAGAGGAAAAATTGAATACAATAGTAAAAAGTCCTATCGGATTTGGAAGACAGAAAACAGTAAATAGGAGATCTAAGGGAAAGTTTGTGGAAAAATATGCTGAATTTGATGATCTAGCATTGCCACCTATAAAAGATACTCCACAGCAGGACCTGTTTGTTGAAGAAGACTTGAATAAGTCTGTTGAAAGTTCAAAACCGATAAAGACAAAGAAAGCCAAGGGAAAGTCTGTTGAAAAATTTGCTGAATTTGGCAACCCAGCATTACCTCTTGTGGAAAATCCTTTAGAGAATGATCTGTCAGTTGAAGAAGGAAATGAAATGTCCAAACCCATAAAGAAGACATCAAAGAAAGGCAAGGGAAAGTCACTGGAAGTATTTCCTCAATTTGACATTCCAGCACTGCCACCAATGGGAGATTCTAGTGACAAAGCCCTATTAGTTGAAGAACATTTCAATATTGCAGCTGAAAATCCAATAGTTGAAAGGCCTGAAACAAGACAGAGACCATCAAGAAAAGCCAAATCTATGGTAGAATATTCTGAATTTGGCATCGTAGCTCTGCCACCAATTGTAAATACCCTAGAGAAGGCCCTGCTAGTTGAAAAGGACTTAGATGCAATAGTGAAAAATCCCATCAGTGTTGAAAAAAGGAAATCGGTTAAGAGGAATTCAAATAATAAAGGCCAAGGAAAATATATAGAAGATTTCGCTGAAATTGACATTCCAGAACTGCCATCTTTGGGAAATACCTCAGAAAAGGACCTATTAGTTGAGAACTTGGATGCTACACTGAAAAATTCAATAGGACTTGAAAAAACTAAAACAGTCAAGAGGACATCAAATAAAGTCAAGGGGCTTCATATAGAAGAGTATGCTGAATTTGACTTCCTACCACTGCCACCTATGGTGAATACCCTAGAGAAGAACCTGTTACTTGAAGAAGACTTAGGTGCAACAGTGAAATACCCAATTGGTGTTGAAAAACGAAACCCGATTGAGAGGACATCAAATAAAGCCCAAGGAAAATCTGTGAAAGAATTCGCACAATTTGATATTCCAGGACTGCCATCTTTGGAAAAAACTTTAGAGAAAGACGTGTTAGTTGAAAACTTGGATGCAACTTCAAAAAATCCAATTGGAGTTGAAAAACCAAAACTGATGAAGAGGACATCAAAGAAAGCCTTGGGAAAGCATATGGAAGAGTGTACTGAATTTGATATTCCAGTTATTGCACCAATGGAAGATGCTCTTGATAAAGACCAATTTGTTGAAGACCATTCAGACATTGTAGCCAAGAGTGCAATAGTTGAAAAGCCTAAATCAGTACAAAGAGCATCAAGAAAAACCAAGGAGAAGTCTGTGAAAGAATATGCCATGGGAGATATAATTGCCAAAGACCTATTACTTGAAGAAAATTCAGATATTCCAATAGTTGAAAAGCCTAAAACAATACAGAGAACATCAATAGAAGTGAAAGCAAAGTCTTCAGAAGAATATGCTGACTTTGACATCCTAGCATTGCCACCTACTGGAAAAACTGATGAACAGAACATATTAGTTGAAGAACAGTTGGATACAATAGCTGAAAAACCGAAGCCAGTGAAGAAGGCAGTAAAAAAAGTGAAGAAAAAGTCTAAGAATAGAAAATCTTCCAATCATTTACTTACTAGTGATGATATGACTACTGAAGATAGAGAAAAATCACCAACCAAACCTCTTACAGAAATGAGTTCAGAAGACAACTGCTTGGATGTATTGAATCATAAAAGTTTCATCAAACCACAAATCTCTGCAGAGATGCTACTATCTAAACTAGGAGATACACGCCCATTAGATGACACTGATGGCATGTCACTCCTGAATGATCAAAAATTCAATAACCCACCACCCTTGGATGGTGCAGAAAACCTTCAGGAATTGCCTCTCAAAGACAAAGACATTGATCTTATATACGCATTTTCTGAAACGGAAGATCTCGAAATCAACACGCCAATAGAACTACCAAAACGGCTACCCAGATTTCTTCTGAAGACCACACCCACAGCTAATGATTCTGACCAGAAAGATGAACAGCAAAAGGCAAAGAAGAAACCAAAACAGAAGAAGATATCAACCCTAGAAAACGAAGAAGAAGACATAGAAACTATCGTCAAGGAAATCAAAGAGAATGGTATAGATCTCGAAGAAAATGGACGAAGGAAGCCCATGAGATCTGCTAAAGTAAAGGCTCTAGAATACATACACGATGACGCCTTAGCAGAACTTTCTGAGAGTGAAAGAAATAGAGTACTGAAGTCATCCAAAGCTATACAGAACGAAAACGAAGCTGACATTGAAACCTCCCACAAGAAAAATAAAAAGCAGAAGAAGAACGAAACGGCGCCAGAGTTGATTGAGACGGCCAGCTTCTCTTATGAAGCACTAGCTGAAGATGAAGCACCTTTGTTGGCAGAACTAGTAGCAGAGTTACATGGGCTAGAAGAGCTAGAGAATAGCATAGAAAGAGAACTCAATGCGGATATGAACGAGAGAAACAAACTTATGGATACGACAGATTCCCCAGACCAAACAGTTGAGGAACCAACTTTGGAAGAATCTCTTCCCAATACTGGTGGAGAGACCATATCCGAAGAAAATCAAGAGCTTAGGAGGAGTAGGAGAGGGTCCAGAAAAGTTGCTTCCTACAACGAAAACGACCTCATAGATCCAATCATAGACGCGCTGGAAAACAAGAGAATTGCCAAGAAAAAAGATACCAAGGCAGTGGAGAACAAAAATCAGAAGAAGACCAAAGATCCAGAGAAGAAGCTAAACAGCGATCAGTTGTTTGACCTGCTCAAAGCGTCAACAACTGAAAGCGTCTATGTTCCCAAGCAACAAAATTCTTTTCTGGATAATTTGGGAGATATTTCTAGATATATCAACGATGATAACTTTGATACGGTGTTTGGAGACCTCCGAGAAAAGAACAAGGACTCAGACAAGATCTACGACTTCAACGATAGTTCATTAACAACTGAACAGGTGGCCATGAATAAATCGTTAATTCTATCTAAGCAGTCTGACGACAGCTCGCTTTCTAGTTCTTCATACAAATTGCTGACTCCTGATATCCAAGACTCTAGTACTTCCGAAGAGAGCAAATCCAAACTGGATACAGTCGTTGACTCGAACTATTGCGAAATATGCAGTAAGTCTTTCATCAGAGTCGAGAACCTGGTGAAGCATAGAAGAACCTTGACGCATATCCAGAAGCTGTCCGAAATAGAAGCTAAGGAAGCTGAATTGAAGCTGCAACAAGACCAAATCGCTCAAGAGATTCCCAACACCTTCACAAACAAGCATTCCCTCAAACTAGCTGACATTATAAGCGATGTATTGAACAAGCCTGTACTCGTTGAAGAAGCTTCCAAATTCCCTGACATCGTTCTGCAGAATACAAGCAAGCCTGAGGTAAAACGCTACAAGAGCTTGGGCGAACGAAAAAGCTTCGAGTCTGACAACAACCTTCTCCAGGAGTCCAAAACCACGATTCTAGAAAAACAGATCAGCCTACTGGAGGACATAATCGAGAACAAAGCAAACAACAGCTACATCGATGACATATCCTCGTCCTCAGACGATTCCTTACTGAGCTCGAAACAAGACATCACATCGAAGAACAAAAGCACCAAGACGATCGACGATGACAGCTTCTTGAAGCCCACGCAGTACGAGGAGATATCGGAGGACAGCGCCAATCAGAGGCACTACGAGGATCAAAAGCTGAGGAAGACTTTGAACAGGGACGAAGAGCTGTTCTTGGAGTGCTGCAGCTTGCTCAAGAGCGGCTCCGAGGTGTCCAGCAGCTACTCGAGCAAAAAGATGGCCAACAAGGATGTGGGACCTGTGAATGTGCGACAGCCGGATTGGATGGAGAAGAAGAATCTGGTGCAGCCGCCTGAGTTGGATCTGGATGACGATTATTCTGATGATAACTCGAGGATTCCGACGCCATTGGGGGATAGTTTCGATGATGACGCTTCCAATTCCAACACGATTTCTTCCGATTGGGGGGTGAACGGAAGGGAGACTTGTGCTAAGGAGGATGGCAGCGCGAGGCTGAATTTTCAAGGCATTTCTGCAGAGAAGAGGGATAGCAGCGATCTAAAGTTCCAAGATTTGTTGAAGACAAACAGGTTAGTTTCTTTAATTTCTCATCCTAATGGTTCTCTAGTAATAAATCAATTGGAATCTTTCAATCTTCCATTTTATATAGATCGTATAAATAGTATTTGACTCAATATGACCTGGTCTTTAATAATCACCTAATGAATACTTGAATATATTGCAAGATGCTTCCGTGTCAACAAGAATATCCTAATATTCCTAATAATTATCGAGATTTTATTTGAACCCAAACTATTTTGTGACCTTGAAATATCAAGAAAAGAAGAAGAACCAACTTTCTGCGAAAATACTGCGAATATTCAAAGATAATCCTCAGATTATCTGATTCTTCAGTTGTGTGTTGTGTTCTCTGCTGTCATCTGCAGTAAGTATTCAGTCCAGAAAATTCATTGATTTCATATATTGATGACTTTCAGAGATATTCTTGCATTTGTCTTACAGAAATAGAGAATGGATACCTAAGTCGACACTCAGTTGGTTGCACTGGATTGTTCACGGGTGATTTCGTCAAGCATTTTTCATGTTTTGAAATATCGTGGATATTGATAATTATTTCAAAAATGTACAGAGCTCTGAGGAAAAACGGTTCGTAACAGTGGACTAGTTAGTACCTCGAAATGATGTAACAAAACATAGTATTTACATGAATTAGTGAAAAAGTTTGAGTAGTTTGAGTAGATTAGTTCCAATGGTTGATCTTGAATTTGTATTCTGTTATTGCAGATCACCGTTCACCCAAGATCTTCCAACAAAATCGCCAACAGTCGAACCCAGCAAGACTGAAGAAATCGACACGAAAAAAATCATCACCAAAGGCGCTCGCAAAGTCTTTGAAGGCCTGAAAGTATCCATTCCCACAGAGGAGCTGAACCTCGAAGAGGTCCTCAACTGCAGTCCCAAACCCAAAAAATTAGAGGTGCAGACAATCTCCGATACATCACCATCTGCCACCACCAAACCAGCCAAAAACGCTAGAAAATCCAAACCGGTGAAAAAAAGTCAAGTTGGCAGCAATATCCTGTTCAAGGTCAACAAGAAAAAGTTGCTCTCTCCCACTGCTCTTCCCCAACCCACTCCGGAAAACCAAGACAAAGACACCAAAAGCTATGACGTGTACGACTTTGAGGAAACCCAAGACAACACTGAAGTCTTCGCAAAGTCTGACTTCAAAGCGTTTCGACACACAAAAACTGGAGAATTGGAACTGGAACCAGAACCGATATCCTCCAGCGTGAAAAAGTCCAAGGACCAAGAAAACATAACCAAGAAAAAGTGCATGATCATGGGAAGAATTTTCAAGAACGCCGCCAAATCCAAAATAGAAGACATCGATGACGAGATAAGAACAATTCCCACCATAGACAATGGAGAACTAGTGGAAAAGTATGTTGCTAGCTGCAATGAGGCAGCTGAAACCGATAAGAAACAAAAGCTGTCAGAAAATGAAATGAACCAACTGTTTGCCCAACTCTTAGACACGAAACCCGAGCGAGACAACCCCAAACAACCGAAACCCAAACCGGAAACCAAGAAACCACCGGAACAGAAGAAGAAACCAAAGCCGAAGGGCAAAAAGCGAGCCAGAACCAACTCCGAATCGACAGACGACGAGTTCAGCCTGAACACGAACAAGCGGCGTTCTGGCAAGAAAAACGGCAAAGAAGAAGACAACTGCATCAACTTAGAGCAAGAGCTCAAAGAGTGCATAGGCGTGGCGAGCAGAAAGAGCCAAAGAAGTTGCACCAGCGGCAAACAGAACATCCTGATGGAGTACTGGAGCTCGGACGATTCTCAGTTCGAAGCCATGTTGGAGAAGCAAATTATCGAAGTCAAACCCAAAAAGCAGCAAATCATCGATGTGAAATCGAAGAAACCACCTGTGGAATCCAAGAAACCACCTGTGGAGGAGCCGGTGTCGGTTGCCATGGCAACAGACCCTGTTCCCCCTATGGATCCCGCCGATCGCAAGAAGAAGCGGTCGGAGAAGAAGAAGACGCTGCCGGCGGACGACAGCCTCGCCGGGGAGTCGAATAAAGGTGAGATCCCAGAAAAAAAATTTACGTAACTAACGCATAAACATTACATAATTTCGTTGATCAGTTGCGTAACAAAAGAGGCGATAAGTAGGTTCAAAATTCATGAGTTAACTATGCATAATGTCAATTCATTGGTGTAACTGGTGTGACGTATCAAACTGGGCGTCAATTGAAATGTTAATAGTGAAATTTGGCATCAAGTTTGACTTCTCGTAATTTCCAAAATATTGAACGAATTTGTTGGCTAGGCTAGACACTTGGCAATGCTGTGCTAAACGCTGAGAACTGACAAGACAACGCCCACAATCCTGTGTTGACACGTTCACCAGACCATATCTCTTCTAGTGTGAATTAATATAATTATGATTAGCACAAATTCTGCCCCGCCTTATTAAATCGTGATGTCAGTTTTGATTTGCGGAAAATTTCTAGCCGTTTGAAAATTACCGTGGTAATATTGATGATGAAAGGAAATTGAGTAATGATTCTATTTGAGAAATGAAAAAAATAGTTCACTTGCCTATATTATATCGAAAAAAATTAAACCCATCTCTACCATCGATTATTTCTTGTCTCTAGAGTCAAACAGACGCAAGAGGGCTGCCGCCAATCCGTTGTACCATTGGTCGAGCTCGTCGGAGGACGAGACCTCCGACCTCATCGAGGTGAGGCCTGCGAGAGAGGAGGCCGAGGAGGACGAAGAACGGCCGGTACAGCACGGCTGGATCGTGGGGGAATCCCCGAAAAAGCTGGTGATGATGCTGGCGCAGGCCAAAGGAAAGAAAACTGACATCGACGGGGTCAAGGAGCAGGGGAAGAGGAGGACTGGGGCTGTTAGTTGACGATGAACGTTCTAATTTGAGGTAGTTGTTGCGTAAACATCGATGGTTTTCAATCGAGGTTCGGTATATCGATGATGACATAGTTTAATTCCCTAAGAACTAGTTATGTCCCTCCACTAAATCTTTGTATCCATATCGAATCTGAATTGATCCGGCTCGAAGGACCACAATATGTTCGATGCTTGATAGATAGTAAGCTCTATTTGTATGGACGGGAAGAAGAAGACCGGGGCCGTTAGTTGACGGTGAACGTTCTAATTTGAGGTAGTTGTTGCGTAAACATCGATGGTTTTCAATCCAGGTTCGGTATATCGATGATGACACAGTTTAATCCCATAAGAACTAGTTATGTCCCTCCAATAAATCTTTGTATCCATATCGAATCTGAATTGATCCGGCTCGAAGGACCACAATATTTTCGATGATTGATAGATAGTGAGCTGTATTAATATGGACGGGAAGAAAAGAGGACCGGGGCCGTTATTTGACGGTGAACGTCCTAATTTGAGGTAGTTGTTGCGTAAACATCGATGGTTTTCAATCCAGGTTCGGTGTATCGATGATGACACAGTTTAATTCCATAAGAACTATTTATTTCCCTCCACTGAAACTTTGTATCCATATCGAATCTGAATTGATCCGGCACGAAGGACCACAATATGTTCCATGCTTCGATTTTGTTATTGATGGAGGGTCGATAATTTCACAATGAAAATGTGAACAAACCGCTATTTATCGAGATATTTTATGAACAAGTTCGAAATTTCACCTTCTTTTGCCACCCATCTTGGATATTCATTTACATTTGAGTTGTCATCCAGAGATATAAAAATTTTTAAATAAACGGAGGTAGAGATGGAAGGTTAATAATAATATGATGATTCTTCTTTTTTCAGGTTTTAATGCAACAGCTCTATCATTGGTTGGTATGTCTTCCAGTACTTCCAAATTCTCAGTCAAAGTCTCACATACTATCGGCAAATTTACATTAACTTAAGTTTCATTCGCTGTTATTCTATCGATACTATCTTTTTACACTATCGATAGTTCAGTCGATGTTTATTCAACACTATGATTTTAGTGTGCTGTGTAAATTTATGTTCCCATGAGATGGACTCGGGAATAATGAACTTTGATGATTGTGCTAGAGGTGAATTTGTGGATTTGTTGAATGTGTACATATTTTCTTAGGTGTTTAAGCATAAATTGAAATTATATTTAGGGGCAGCTTGTATTATAATATGTCTGAATGTCCAAGTTAGGTTATAGTTTGATGAGGCACTAGAAAAGCGCAATTTTGATTTGAAGAAGGTCAATTTTCTAGTTTGAGTCGGTTTTTTTGTTATTTTTTTTATACAATCAATCTATTTTTTGTTATCTTATCAGATAGTTTCGAAATAGCTGTCGATATTGCCAATTTTTTTATAAAAAATTTCGTGAGCAAAGTTGTATAAATAAATTCTGTTATTCTTTATTGAAATTCGTATTAATTTTATTTTAGACATGTTTATTAATTGTGGTATCATTTGTGTTCATAGTGTGTTCCAAAAAGTACACATCCCTATATAAATTTAATAGTTCTGTGATCACAATATATGTTTAACTTTGATTTGAAATAATCGTTTTTTATTTTTCTCGCTAGTGACAAAAAAGCAAGGCAAGTGAGGAGTTACAACCCTGTATATCGAAAAAATACAAGATTTCGGGGTACTTATTGGTATACACTGTATATTTGTTTATTTGTTATATAGTAATTTTCCAGGAAGCAATTATTTTTCAATGTTTTTTTGCTGTTTACACTGCCAGGATGTGCCTTGGGCCAATGTGAATGGGTCGTGATACTTTTTTCTTGTACATAATGTTGCATATAGGATGTGTAATATATAACTAAGCCATATACTTATGGGAATAAATTTAATCGGTATTTGTGTTTGTCCAACATGTATCAGAAAATCTTTTTAATAAATGATTCCCCCTGTAGATGCACAATTTTCTTTCTTTTGTTTTGATATATATCATATGTTGCCCATATTTATGACCCTATAAAAAGTAAACTGGAAAAAATTCATTTTCATTTTCAAAAGTCTAGGATACGGCTCTGAAATTTTTCCTGGTACCCTTGATTCTAGATTTTTCCAATCTCGATCGGAAGCATTGTCTGCTAAATATGGAGAAAAAATCTAGTGAGCTGTAACTATTGGTCTGCTCTATAGCTCAGTTGAGTGTATGACCACCAGAGGATGTTACCGTATCGGACGAAATGATCTTCACTTTTTTCTAGAAAATTTCCGAAATTTGTGGTTATGTAAGTTGTCAGTGTCATCGTGACTTGTATTGTATTTTTTCCTAAAAAAATATGTCTTCTTCAATTCTCATTGTTCTAATATTCCTTTCGTTTATAGATATAGTTTTGTGTTGTGTTCCCAGTATTAAAGTAGTTCATTCTGATTGATAGGCTCATTACAAGCAGTAAGATAATCAGAGCCCTGATCAAAAAATAATAATCGATACTACTGATTCTACCTCTCATGGTTCTCATTTAATTTAGGTGTTGAACGTTACGAAATTGGGGACTATTATTGTGTCTGAAGCAACCATTTTGAGCAGGAATGATTTTTTGAATTTTTGAGTTATTGATGAGTCACTATATATGTCATGATCATTGAACAAACTGCGCCGCCGGCCGAGACTGCCGAGAGCACCATTGAGGGAGCTGCTCAACTCTTACGATTTTCAAGGTTATGTAGGTTTGACAGGAAAACAATTGAAGTAAGTGTTTCCTCGAGTTGACCGTATGGCGGCACTACTGTATCGGCCACAGAAACCTGTAGGTGATTTTTCTTGTTTGAGCAGACCAGATATCGGAAGTTGAGTCTGCGTGATGTATTATTCAGTTCAGCCTAAAATGTCGTTATTGTCACATATTCAAATGCAATCGAATATTAATTATGAGGATTTGGAAAGTTATAAAAGATTCAGTGCAGTTTTTCATTAGTTCCATTCCAACATGAGAACTTTAGCTTCCTTCTTAATATTAAGTCGATATAAAAGCACTCAAAAGGTTTATTATTGGTTTATTTATAAAATCAGCTAAATACATTTCATTAAAAGTATCTTACTTCCATCATTATTAAAAGACATTGCAAACAAAGAAACATAAAAGGAGAAGTATTATGGCTGTATGTCCAACTTTGGATAAGACGTCAAGAAACGAGAAGAAGAGAAGAAGATGTTTTTCTTTCATGCTTGTGCAGTGAATTGTGAGGTTACGTTACATCGAGAAATTCAAAAGTTCTGGGATGTAAATACTTAGATTATAGTCTATGATCTAATTGTAAATAGCATAAAATGAGTACCTCCTTAGCAGAACAACTCCGAAAGCTAGCAGTGCCCCAAACGTCAGCTCTTAAACGTGACAAAAAACGGGCCTCCCTGCTTTTTGAACCAAAAGAAGCTGCAGGACTCAAACGAGACACAGTTTACCAAATTGGCCTAGAAGGCCTCGAAGAACTAGTACAGAAAAATGCCGTTTTCGACCAGTTTCACGACACATTGTTTCACATCACTTCCAAAGATTTTGAAAGGTCAGTCCAAGTCAAAGATGCAAACAGCAAGCTGGATAAGAATATCGGAAAGTTTCTGCTCATGGCATCCCCCTATTTCATGTTGAATTGCACACACAAAGCACTAGAATGGTTAATAAATAGGTACTCAATCCAGGAATACAATAGGGAAGACTTGTTGATGCTATGTCTGCCATATCATGAGTCAAACATTTTTGTGAGAGTCATCCAACTGATGAAATTCAAGGATACCAGGGATAGTTTCTTTTTCCTCAAGGCCTTGCAGAAATCAGGTGCACATCTCACTAAGCTGAGCTTGCTGAACCATGCTTCTACAAATAGTGGATTTCTCAAGTTTGTGACCAAGTATTTGATACAGCTGCTCAAAGTCCATGAGAAACCAAATTTACTTACTGTTGTGTTTAATTTTTATTGTACTGTGTTCACTGGAGCCCTAGAGTATTCCCAAAAGATGAATGAGGATCAGATATCACAAATGCTGCCTCTACTACTAAAGGGTTTGAACTCCCCAGTTCCTGATTTCTGTGCTGCTTCTTATGTAGTCACTGCTAGATTAGTCACAAAAACAACATTGTCCTCAATACTTTTGGACAAACTAGTTGAGAAAATTTCAGAAGTGAGAGTTCCAAATCTCAAAACTGAGGCATCTCTTATGTTGATTGTTTTGTACCAGTCTCAGAAGCATTATACTACCTTACCACCTGTTGCTGTTGCTAATTTGTCTGAGAAAGAATGGTTGCCTAAGGAGTTGCAGAGTTTAAATGAGGCTGGCAGCCTTATTTACCCATTTTTGGAAATTTTAATCAGAAGGTTCACTGAGGAAGGAGTCAACAATGATTTGAAGTTGGCTCAGGATATGGTCAAGGATTGTTTGGATCAAATCAAAATAGAAAATGATTTTGTTGGGAATATTTTACAGTAAGTATTTTATTGATTACTAATAATTATTATAATTTCTTAATTTCTATTTCTGAATTTACTGAAGATTTAGGTTGTTTCAATTGGCTTATATCATTTCAAATAGGTACAAGCAAATAATGAATTCTTGAATATGTTGTGCCATATTTTTCATTTTAACAGTTGTTTAGTACATAAAATCCTGAGAAATTTAGAAAAAAACATCTACCTATAATTATTTTCCTTGTATTTTCCTGTGTTTGCACACTTGTTTAATTCCACTGCTATCTAACAGTCCCACCAAGGTTGGTAGAACTGATGATAATTTCTACAAATGTATCATCAGTTCTACCAACCTTGAGTCCAACCACTTAATCAAATCCAACTTCCCTGGTTGAAATGTGGCAGGTGTATAACTCCATTGACAATAACATTTCCATTTGACACTTTTGTGAGTAAAATGAATTCAAGATGGTGACTCCAAGATGGCGGATGAGTATATTTTCTTCTTTAATTCACCTGAAAGTGAAATATCTGCAGGTTGAAGATATCAAAGACCATCAAGGATCATTAATTTCACTGATTTTAGTGATTTTTGCGATTTCAATATGGCGCCCCCAAGATGGCCGACGATTATTTGAGTCGAAATTTGAGTTCTAATTCGGGTAAAAAATAAAATATGAAATTGATTATAAAGTACCCAGTAAGATACCCAAAAAAGTTGAAAGGTAATATGTAAAAACTTGCTAGATTTTAGTGATTTTTTTGTTAAATTTTGACTTCACCACTAGATTCATGATCTCAATTAGAATATTCAGAAATTTCATCAACAAAATAGTCAATAGCCGGAAATTCTGAGTCTACATTAGTTTTAGGAGCTTGAATTTGTTATGAAGATTTTAATGATTTTTATAAATACAAATCAGCAGATATTTGGTACAATAAATTTATTTACAATATTTTGGCCATAGGTTTTCATCTATTATAACCATTAATCACATTTTCTCACTGCATTTCACTTTGTGGTCAATACAATAACAAATTTCGATATTAACATCTTCATCTAGGTACTCTAGCTCTGTTCAACCAACTAACAGAACATTCCCTTCCTGTTCACCACGAAAAAACAGAAGTTGTTCAGTCCATTGCTGCTCGAAAATTCCCGTTCCTGTAATATTCCTATTATGCTCCAAAAATACATCTCCTGAAGAGTCCCATCAAGAAGTCGTTGAACGCATTTTTTCTCTACTTTATAGATCTATTCTGGATGTCGTACGACCTAAAACGAAAATAGCCGAACAATCCCGACTTTGGCTAACGGAAATTGTTCAAAAACTGGAAACTCAATATCCTGAAGCATTCGACAAAGAAGTCTACACAATTCTATCTACAACCGACAAAAAATCAATGCGTCATAAGAAAACGCTCATGAAAATCCTGAAAAACACTGTCACTTACCGTAGTAAATTCGACATATTCGAAAAACTATACCACCCTAACCAGATGATACGAGGTGAAGCCTTGAAATTCCTATCTGAAAATTTTGATTCACTGAAAGAGACCGACAAGGAAATCATCCTGAGCTCATTCTCAGATAGATTGAAAAGTGACGAAGTCACCGTCGTGAAAGAAACGTTGAATGTCCTCCAAAGAACCCCCAAAATCAACAAGACTCTATTCAAGGACGTGCTTATACTCCTCGCAGAAAAATATTTTGGAGACAAAGAAAAATGGGAGTCTATCTCAAACATGGTCATTGAAATGTTGTCGTCTAACTTTGAATCTACTGACTGGTTAGTCTTCTCATCATTGTTACCGTTCTTGCTACCAGATAATTATGAGGACTACAGAAGATCCAAAAAACTCGTTGAGTCAAATTTCATAACTGGACACATTCTGTTCAAGTCACAACTCCACAAGTTCAAAGGTGTTCGTGATTCTGAGTCATTCTGCAAAATCGTATTGAAAATTTTAGGAGGTAACTCTGATCCCCATATACTTACAGCTTTTCAGCAAAGTGCTGTGGATAGAAAAGTTTCTTCAGTATTTGGAAAATATCTAGAGGCTTTTCTGATTACCATGTTGTTACCTAAAAATTATAGCATTGAAATTGAGAGAATTGTAGATTTACTTGGAAGTGTGCAGAGTATTGGTGATGTTTTTGCTAATGAGGCGTCTGTTCCTCAGTATATTGCAGCAGCTGGTCTAGGAAAACTCCCTGTACAGGGCGTTCTGAAATTACTAGAAATAATTATCAAGAAAACATCAAAACCTCAGCCGAATTTCCATTCATCTGATTTTTCTGTCGCATGTAATCAAACAGTTCATATAAAACTTGTTAACATTTTGATGGTTGAGGAGGAGAAGTATGAAAAACTTCTAGGGGCTGCTTTGACCAGGTTTTTTGATAATTCCGCCATCATAGTCGAGTTCCTACTGAACGTTAGCATCTCAGAGAATCCTCTTCTTAGAGATACTTTCAAACTCAACACTCTTCTGTATCTGAAAAAAACCTTGAATGTCACAGACATTGATAAAGAACTTCTCCACGTCGATCACCCCATAACTTCCTATCTCTTGGTACTACTTTCTGACCCTGACCAAAATGTTCGTCAACATGTCTTCGAAGTATTCAACATTCTTGTGGAAAAGTTCAGCAAAAAATCAGGTACATACTACCATTTCTTGGATAACTTGAAAAAATATACGGAAGAAATCCTTATGGATCATGAACAAGTGCCCTTGATCATCTTCAACATTCTAGATTCTTCAAGCACTAAAGGTAAAAAGAACGTTTCAGACTTGAACTCTTGCCGAAATCATTTGTTCAAAATCGCTTGTGCAGTCGAAAGCCCTGTATATCTGAAAGCTGGCGTCCTAAAACTCTTTTCACACATCAACACTTTCAATTTCCTAGAAGAAACAGCCAAAGTAGCCCTAGATATCCTTATCAAAAACCCAGAGACCATCAAGGGATTTGAAGCTAAAGTCCTTGGCCACATAGTCAGTCGAATTGAGGCCGACGTCCTATCAAAGCTGACTCTTGAATCCGACACTTGGACCCTAATCCAAACCTGTATAAAAAATGACCGAGCCATCATTCACAATGATTCTGAGGATAAAATCTGTCCCTCGCCGCTCATGCTCAACCAACTAGACAAAGAAATCTTCAACAAACTACCCGAGCCAATCGTTGAAAAACTCCTCGACACCATCATAGATATTTCTAGCACGGCACAGAACCCTGAGGTACTTCCAGCTGCTAGTAGAATCTTCAAGCACATAGATCTCGATGCCAAGCTGATTCTGGAGCAGCTCAATGCTATGAGAGATGTCCAGTCTTCAAAACAAGACCCCTCGAAGAAGAGGAGAAGGGTTAGTGTAGTACCAACTGTTGATATACTGGATACTCTCGACTGGAAGAAAGGCGTCACAGTCTTGGAGTTTCTACAGGACAAGAAGAAAATCAGGAACGTTGAGAGTCTGCTTCAGGTACTCTTTGAGCTACTCAAACGTTGTCTGGACTTTGATGAGCAAACAGCTGTTGAATACCCCAAGCAACTGTTGTTGTCTTCCATTTTGCATTGCTGCTCTAAAACAGAAACAGTTCTCCCAGAAAACGTTTTCAACATAGAGGTTATTGTACAGTGTATAAGAGCCTCGCAGAATCCGCAAACACATCATCATGCTTTGCTGGTACTGGCTCATACTGCACACTTGATCCCTACACAAGTACTACACCATATGATGGCCATTTTCACCTTCATGGGGTCTTCAGTACTGAGGCATGACGATGCTTACAGTTTCCAGATTATTTCCAAAATCATCGACACCATAATCCCGATTTTGGTTAAAGACAACCAAAGTTCTGACATTGCTAAGGTACTCAGAGTCTTTGTAGACGCTCTGCTAGACGTACCTGAGCACAGAAGGACACCTCTCTACAAACAGTTATTGGAGCGCATAGAAGCCAAAGAGAACCTCTATATCTTCCTACTGCTTGTATTTGAGTCACAAGTGATGCATAGTAGCCAAGATAAACAGAGGAAAGATGGTGGCCAAAGAAGACTAGACATCGCTGCAAGTTTGTGCCGAGAATTTCAACCTGAAACTGTCATAATCACCAGCATCAAGCTACTCAACTATCTCCAGAGTTTGCCAGATGAAAAAGACGATGGTATGCAAGTAGACAGTACCAGTACCTTCGATTTAGCTACTCACGCACCCAAAGACTTCAGGCACTACAAGTATATCCTACTCAAGTTCACAGCGAATCTTTTGGGCTCCACAGAGTTCGTCAACCAAGCAGCTGCTTTGAGTGAAGAAGAAGAGTTGTCTCTGGAGCCGCTCTTCAAAGAAATGATCGTCAACATCCTCCAGTTTATCCAGAGGATATCCAGAGTTGCTGAAAAGGCTGCCAATACTCCACAGTCCCAGTATTGGAAAGTGGTACTGCATCTGAGCTATGACATTTTGGATAGTGTCAACGGCTTAGTCACTTCTCAGATGTTCTTGTTGGTGACTAAAGGCCTGATGGTGCATAAGTTGGCAACTGTGAGACGTCGAATTCTAGAGCTGCTGAACCAGAAGCTTCAGTACAACTTACAGTTCTTCTCGGATTGTGAGCTCAACGAGATATATACCTTGATACCTCCTCTGGTTTCCATAATAGAAGGCTTGGACCAGGAAGTGGAGGCAGACCAAGAAATCATCATACAAACAGCTTTGCTGTCACTTAAACTTCTAGTGAAAGCACTCGCCCAAGCTAATCCAGAAAAGTTTGTACAAATACTGGAGTTTGTTACTAAGATCGTGAGGTCTGGTAAAGCTCAAAGTAATGTATTAGCTTCTGTTGTACTTTGTCTAGCAGAGCTTTGTGTACAATTGAGAGGTCATGCTATATCGAGCCTACCAGATTTTATGCCAGGTATAATTAAGATCCTGAAGCAGCAGAAACACGAAGAATCTTCCAGTTTACTCTTGAAGAGTATCATAACAACTGTTGAGAAAGTTATAGATAGCATGCCTCTATTCTTGAGCCCTTACCTCGAGAAACTTTTGGTGGAACTTTCGATTTTGTCGTTCAAATGGGAGTCGAACAATGAAGAACAGAAACTGCAGCCTTTCATAGTCAAGCTGGGGAACATAAAGCAGAAACTCGGTAAAACGATACCTTTGAGAGTTCTTTTGCCTGCTGTGGAGCAGTGCTATAATACCTTGGTGACCAAGAGCTGCTTCAATGCCACCAGCGCTCTCATGGCCATTTTAGGCGAAGCCTTGACGAATCTCAAAGGCGCTGACATAACCTCAAACCTGCCAGCGCTTACCAGCTTCTTCCTGAATGCCCTGAAGTTCCGCACCGATAGTGAATGTGCATTGGAAGAGGCTAATTTGGTGGAGAGTCACATAGTAGAAGCCTTCACGGTGCTGATTTTGAAGCTATCTGAGAATAGCTTCAGGCCTTTGTACTACAAGCTCTATGACTGGGCTGTGAGGAGTGACGTCAAAAGCGAGCGGGTGATTACGTTTTATAATCTTTCTAGTGGCATTGCCAAATCTTTAAAGGGGTTATTTGTATTGTTCGCTGGGCATTTTGTGAACAATGCTGCGCAGGTTTTGGACGCTAGCAACAAAGTCAAAAACGAAGAGCTGTATTTTGACGATGACGCAAAGAATGCTTTGTTGTTGGAGAATGTTCTGAAGACTCTGGACTGTGTGTTTTTGCACGACAACCAGAAATTCGTGAACAAAGATAGGTTCGATATTTTGATGCAGCCACTTGTTGATCAACTGGAAAACGATCTAGGAGGGATCAACGGGCTGCTGGAACGTAACGCTCAGCTGCTAACGCCCTGTATAGTAGATTTCGCGCTGGCCACTGCTGACGACGCCTTGTGGAAGCAGATGAACTATCAGATTTTGTTGAAGATGAGGCATGCCACCCCGGCAATTCGTTTGGCCACCTTGCGGTGTTTGACGGAAGTTGTGAGGAAGTTGGGGGAGGACTTTTTGCCACTTTTACCGGAGACTATACCGTTCTTGGCGGAGTTGTTGGAGGATGAGGAGGAGGAGGTGGAGAAGGCTTGCCAGAAGGCTGTGCAGGAGATGGAGAAGGTTCTTGGGGAGCCTTTGCAGAAATATTTTTAAGTTTGTTATTGTGAAGAATTAAAGTTTTATTCGAATATTATGTGTTTTACTGGGATTGGAAAGCATGTCCTGGTGGTTGATGTTGTGGTCAGCTCATTTCGGTCATTTGTATTTCATTAGTGTCTGAGCCGATTTGCCTGAAACAAAAGATTGCAATAAAACGTTTTATTGTACAGAGAAGCAAAGAAATTTGAAGCGTTTGTTTTTCTCATCTTTCAGATATCTTCAGTAAGTTAAATTTTGCAATTATTTTCTACTAAATTGCTGATCGATTGAACCATAAAAAGCACATTTTTGCACTAAATTCAACAATCTTTATTCTGAAGATAAATCCATTGGTTACATGAAAGGTGGATATATATCTATTTTCATCATGGTTACATGACTACTAGAATGTTGACAATGATACGAATAATGGACGTATGGTTGAACAGGAAGACAAACAAACTTCTATAAAATATTGGATGGAATATTCTATATTAATCATTCCGTGTATAAATAGTATTTCATGCAATCATTCGTTATTTAAAATTATCGCAAATTTTTTTTGTTCAATAATTAAATTCGGCGACTTCGAAATACGCCATCAGATTTAATGACGTCATGAAACGAATTTTGGCTTTCATTTTTCGACGCTGACAGATTTGTAACTAGTAATCACCTTATGAGATTCAATATGACCAATGACAATAGTATCCTAGCATATTAGTAGTATTAGTATTCCTAACAATGATCCAGATTTCATTAAATCCCAAATTATTTTGTGGCATGGGCAACAGTGTAATGCCTAAGTTCTCAGAGAAACAAAAAAAAAAGAAGAAGACAAACTATGCATTGTCAATGTCAACCTAACTTCCTGACGTTAATATCGGCTGTCACCTTCATCGTCAAATCCTTGTTTCATCTGGTCAAGATGCGAATATTCAAAGATAATTCTCATATTATGTGATTATTCATTTGTGTTTTGTGTTCTCTGTTATTTGCAGTAAGTATTCAATTCAGAAGATTCATTCAATATTCTGATTGATATGACAATCAGAAATATTCTTGCACTTGTCTATCGATACGAAAGTCGCGAATCTTATAATGGTGTTCTTAGATGATTACGCCACTCGTTTCCCGCGTTTTTCATGTTATGAATTATCGTAAGTTTCAATAATTATTTAAAAAAGTTACAGAACGGTTAGCGACAGTGAATTAGTTAGGGTTAGTACCTACTTCAAAATAACGAAATAAAATTTTTCACTGAAAAATTCCCAAAAATGTTCCATCAGAGCATGGAGATGAAGTTTTTAATATATTGCAGAGGTTTGCTTATTATTGTCACCCTGTATAACATATATTACTCTGTATTCGATATTCAATGTTGATTATAGTGCAAACATGTGGTTGTTGCGGTTCAGATTTTTTCGTAGATTAAAAAAATGATGATGTTTCACAAGAGCTTAGCAAGTGCTATTGACACTTGAAGAAGTTTTTTTCTTGGTTGATATATATGTCAAGTAACTCACTTTCTTCGTGCTCTGAAAATGAAGAATAGAACAGCTGCATTGATCAAAAACATCCCAAGAACTAAAATGGCGGGAATGATATAATCTGTAAAGAAAAAGAAATATATCACTTTGAAGTCATGATTGATAAAGATTCATTAGGTTAATAATTATTGTTTTCACCTGATGAAGCTGTCATTTTTTTCTATTTTATTCTTGTTGACGGCAATAGGAAAAACTTTGATTTCAACTGAAAAATAAGAAAAAACAAGTTATGGGTCTGCACTATATATACGTTTTATAATGATTATTGTTAATATTTCTCAAGTATAAAAGGATTAGATGTATCTTTCTTTCCAACATTTGCACAGTGTCAGCAGTAATATTTTGAGGGATTTCTATATTGATTTAGCTAGCTAGTTTGGGTGAGTTCTATCGAATTATGAAATAATTTTTTTTTGTGATATAAGCCCATTAATGGACAAATATCAAATTGTGATACATATAGTTGAATAGAGAATTTCAGGGCAAATAAGATAGACTATAGAAATATACGGGATGCCATTTGAAGAAAAAAAGTTGCGTATACTTCCAATCAAACAGGTGGTTGAAAAAAATTGTCATTGGGTTCAAAGGAAGCGCCATCATCGATAATATAACCTTTGTGTTTCCTGTGTAACCTTTCAAATGTTTGTCTCTTTAACTGAAAAAACTGTTACATGTCTCCTGATGTGTCACGCCGACAGCGTATTGGCATTGTCTCCTATGGTACGACGCAACCTGAGAAAAATGTATGCCGAATCGCGAAAGACAATGTCCCACGATTTGGCAATGATACGCGCGACATTCTCTCCTGCTTTAGGACGCTATGTGCTGAATATTGAAGCGTCTGGATACAGTAGATTTTGTTACGAGTAGGAGGGGCAATATCTCCTGTTTTTTGTGTTGTTTGTTTCAGTTTGCAGTTTGGCAAACCGTCTTAACTTTGGCTCGTGTTTAAAGAGTGCATTGAAAATGGAGGAAAGTGTAAAGAGTATGTTGATGCAATTTTGCAATAACACGAGTGCTAGATTGATAAATTTCACATTCATTAGCGATTTCAATTACACATATGAGATTCGTTCTCATTATGACGAAAAAGAAAAACTCGCATCTGAATTTTGTGATGACTTGATCAAAGAGTTCGGCGATTTAACAGCGACCAATTGGATAGTCCGATATACTTATCCAAATGCTAAACGACTGAAATTCAGAAAAGTAAAGGTAATCAGAAAGAAGAGGCACTTATCGGCCAACATAAATAAAAACAAACCGAATGCAAAATCTCACTAACTGTTCTTTATGTACACCAATGAAATAATAAATTAAGGAAACAGAACACGAAGTTTATTTCCATAGTAGATATTGCCACTCATAAAGCGAAAATTCTCGTGGCAAAATCTACTGTATTCAGACGCTTCAATATTCAGCACGTAGCGTCCTGAAGCAGGAGAGAATGTTGCGCATATCATTGCCAAATCGTGGGACATTATCTTCCGCGATTCGGCATACATTTTTCTCAGGTTGCGTCGTACCATAGGAGACAATGCCAATACGCCACCCGACACCCGGTATACTCTGATACTATCTGAATATCTCTTTCCGAAGTTTTCATTGTATCACGTCGTACGATCTACCTATATACAGGTCACTACAAAACAACCCCTAGTAAAAACCAATGAACTGAATGTGAACAACATGATAATTTTGATACATGAAAAAAAAAACTAAACTATAAATAAGTAGGGATATTCGTATGATGAAGTTTCGTAAAGAGAAAACTCACCCTCTAGCAGACCGTCGGATGAACAGAGTAGACCTCATACTAGGTACAATCCCGACAGAAACTGAGTAGGGGGTATAAAAATCGCCCACTTTTTAGGGCTATTATTATCAAGACGAGACGACTGTTTCGATGCCAAGTAAAATATCGCCGCAATTGGAATGCCAGACAAGAAAAGAATATTTTGAAGACGGCGAGAACAGATATAGGTACAGTGGCGTTTCGCCCGAAAAATTGTTCTAATAAAAATTAAATCAGCGATCTGATGCCGCGTTTATTTTCGACATGATTGAATTCTTGTTGAGAAATATTTTAACAATCTTTTAGCTGATTTTTTTTTTCCAAATGTCTACCTAAAATGCCTATATACCTATATTGATCGAGTTTTATAAATGAATCTACTATTTTTTCAAAATATATCTCAATTAGTTTGCGTGCATTCATAATTTGATTTGCTGAATTTTCTTAAACCCTTATACAGTGTGACCCATTTTTAATGGAAACACCCCCCTAAAATTTGAGGCTGGTTACTGATTTCAATAATTTTTTCTTCGAAATGTCAAGTACTAAAAGGTCTACCTTGGGACAAAATTTGAAATGTTCATTCCAATTTTTACGATATATTTTCATAGTCGAAAATCGAGATTTTTTTAGCGATTTTTTTATTAAAAAAATCACTACGCCACTGGATTCAGAGTGTCTCTCTAAACAGGTGTAACCAAAATTTCATGAACAAATATTCATTAATAAAAAATAAGTTATGACAACTAAAAAATTCGAAAACTCACACAGCTGTCACAAAAAACACCCTGTATCAACAGATATAGCCATGAGAATATTTTTTTTATTTCAACAATAAAGTGCCACTAGGTGAAATTTATTTGATAGCGTAATTTTTTTTATAAAAATAACGGAATTACATTCAAGTTTTCACGCAAATTAACCAAAACTAAGACCTAATAGATTTTTCAATTTAAATATTACAGTTTGCTTCATCTTCTAGCACTTTATTGTTGAAATCATAAAAAAAATATTCTCATGGCTATATCTGTTGATATAGGGTGTTTTTGTGACTATATTAGCTGTGTGAGTTTTCGAATTTTTGAGTTGTCATAACTTCGTTATTAATGCATATTATTTATCCATCAGATTTTGGTCACACCTGCTTAGAGGAACTCTGAATCCAATGGTGTATTGATTTTTTCAATGAAAAATCTCGATTTTCGAGTAAGGAAAAATATCGTAGTATGCCCTGAAAATTTGAGTGAACTTCAAATTCCCCAATGTCCCAAGGTAGACCTTTTAGTACTTGACATTTAAAAAAAAATTTTCGAAATCGGTTAATAATTTCAAATTTTAGGGGGGTGTTTCCATTAAAAATGGGTCACACTGTATATACTAGCGGGTATTTCCTTAACATTAAAAAAATCGTGGGGAACGCAACGCTCCCTGATTGAAATTTTGGAATTCTGAGCTTGAAATCTGATTCAGTATTAAAAGTTTCTACGATGTTCCAAGTTTCTTTCTAATTCCAGAAAAATCCGTTCACGAATATAAAAGTTACAGAGGTGGCCCGATACCCTGTGTCACCCAGTATATTAATCGTATGCATGATGAAAAGAAACTCGTACTTATCAAGACCTTTATCAAAAATACCGGCAATGTACACATCTTTATAAAAATATATCACTATTCTGGAAGTTGTTCTCTATTCTTCGAAAAACTCTCTTCTGCAATAGCTTGTAAGCTCTGAGCCATCGCAGACCCTGTTTGTTTCACTAGCCCATAGAACGTCCCCTGTTTGTTCTGCAAAAGCGAAAAGGGATGCCCAAACTCCACAGCTCGTCCAGCATCCATCACCAACACCTTATCGGAGTCCATGATCGTATGCAGTCTGTGCGCTATGGTCAACACCGTACAACTAGCGAATTTACGCCTTATGGTGTTCTGTATAAGAGCGTCAGTATGTGGATCGACGTTGGCAGTGGCTTCATCCATCACCAAGATCTTGTTGTTGCGTATTATAGCGCGAGCTAGGCATACCAGCTGTCTTTGACCGACGCTAAAGTTGGATCCACCTTCAGCCATCTTACTGTCCAAACCTGATTGCAATTCTCCCACAGCATTCTTCAGCTCTACCTCTTCCAAAGCGTTCCACAAAATCTGTAAAGCGAACAAACTTATAGTAATATATGTCTGAAGATGCTTCCTAATTGACTCATCCCAAATCTGGATTGGTTATTATCGCTTTTTACCCAGAACCTGGTATTTTCAACGTCAAATTATTAATTTTCTCACCTCATCCTGGTATTCATCGAAAGGGTCCAGATTCTTCCTCAGTGTCCCAGAAAACAGTACAGGCTCTTGTGGTATAATAGAAATCTTCGACCTCAAGACCCCCAGCGACACCGTTTTTGTATCGACTCCATCTACCCATATGTGCCCCTCTATCTCAGCCAATCGGAATAGAGCTTGAATCAATGAGGTCTTCCCAGCTCCCGTCCTACCCACTATCCCAATCTTTTCCCTGGACTTGATCTCGAAGCAGAGCTCTTTCAGCACGTAAGGCATGTCTTCCGAGTACCTCAGAGACATATTTTCGAATTTTAAATTTCCGTGTTCTGGCCAAAATTTGGGAGGAGGCTTGGTGTTCACATCTATTTCTGGAGTGATGTCAGCATACTCTTGGATTCGTTCTACTGAGGTCATTTGATTCTCTAGTTCGGACCACTGCCGCATGCCCCATTGGAACATCCCAGTCAGGTTGATAGATTGAGTCAGAGAAAGACCAACATTACCACCAAGAGACTCTGTAACAAAAACCTCCATTAGATGCTTTATCACAGTAATCATTACAGGTTGAAACTCACCATTCTGGATGAACAAAACACTGAAAGTAACAAAACCGATGAGAAAAACGCAATGCAGATCAAGCCAGTAACCGAAAGCTCTATTGGCTGTCAAGAACATGAAATACGCAGAGGTATAACTATCCTGGTAGTTGTCAAACTCCTGGGTGAGAATTTCTTCAGCTCCAAAGGCTCTTATAGTCGTCAAGCCTTGTAGAGATGCACTTAGATGCGTGTAAATCGGGCTACGAGCTGAAAAAATACTCAAGTCACCCTTTATTACAACCCTTCCACTCATTCTTACTTATTGCCTCTACACGTTTGATGTTCCTACTAGAAGAGAGGAAAGCTTTCCTCAAGAAGTAGAACATTATCAGAATTATCACAGCTGGTACCATCACCCATGGATTTACTGTACCAATAACCGTAGCGGTGGCGAAAACATTCAGTCCAATCTGAAACAGAGATTATTATTGTTCAGTGGCCCTGAAATTGACCACTGAGGCACACCGACTCACCGCAATGGTGTCAGTGATGGTGATAGGAAGAGTTTCATCAACAGCACCAACATCTTTGGAGAACCTATTGAGAATTCTTCCTGAAGGGTTTATGTTGAAAAACCTCATGGTGGAGTAGACGATTTTGCCGAACATGGCGTTATGCAATCGCGTTGAGGCTTTCATGCAGTATCTGAAGAAGGAAATCGATCTAGTGACAGTGGTGCTCATTGTGAAGAGGATCAAGAAAGCGTAGATTGTGACACAAACATTCTTGGTGAGTAAAGAGTCCCATTCACTCTCGGGAGCTTCAAGTGGTTCTGTAATGTTCACTGAAGGAATCAAAGTTGTCGTAATGTTTGTTGATGCAAAGTCTAAGGTTCGCTTCGACAAGGACCTTGTGGTATCCTGTTTCTCTCTCAACTGTTCTACGTTTACCCTGAAACTGAAAGTCAAACACCCAAGGACTCTTTCTTACATGACTTACCAAATGGTGATGAAATAGTCAGTGATACTGCCAAAGGCTTGCGCTAAGATAAATGTCAATGCAATACAGAAAGTTTTGAGCCAGCTTCCACCAGCTCTCATATAGCTCTTGTAGATGTGCCAAGTAACAGTACCATGGGCCCTAGTCTCTCTTTCTCGTGTAATCACAGGCATGTCCTCTTGCTTGGTCTTTTCTTCAACATTCATAGTCGATAATTTACGTTCCACTTCCTTCTTAACCTCTTCCTCGGACTCCTCTAGAAGCTTGGTGAAGTCGCTATCAGTAGCTTTCAACTCCTGGTAGGTACCCGAGGATCTAACCTCACCGTTTTCCAGTAGATAGATGCGGTGGGCGTTACTCAGGTACTGCAGCTGATGGGTCACCAGTACCACACACTTGTTGCTCAGGTACCCGCAGATGCATTCGTTGAAGAGTTGTTCGCCTACATGAGTGTCTACAGCTGACAGAGGATCGTCTAGCAAGTAGATGTCAGCTTCTTTGTACACAGCCCTGGCCAGGTTGATCCTAGCTCTTTGTCCTCCACTCAGAGATACCCCTCTTTCTCCCACTAGGGTTCTGTCGCCGTAAGGAAAAAGGGTGATGTCTCTCTGAAGTGCGCAAACCCTCAGGACCTCTTCGTACCTTTTCTCCTCGTAGGCTTGACCGAATAGGATGTTTTGCCTGACGCTGGCACCAAACAACCAAGGTTCCTGAGAAGCATAGGATATGGTACCTTTTACTGATATCGAACCTGAGACGGGTAGTAGCTCTCTCAGGATAACGTGGAGCAGGGTCGATTTACCCCCACCTACTGGACCTACCACGGCTACCAATTGGTTTTGGCTAAGATCGAAGTTGACGTTGTGTAGAGTGTTCTCGTGTGATGACTTCATCCATTTAACAGAAACCTCTTTTAAATGCACCCCTTGAGCGGGGTGCTTAGGAGTCTCACTATTAACCCCATTACTACTGACAACCTCCTGCTTCTTCAGTTCATCAGCTAGCAAGAATTTTTGGATTCTGTTGATTGACACCTTGGTCTCTGCGAATTGCGTGATGGCTTGTGGAAAGAACATGGTAACTGAGGTCCTCAGTATGACATAGAAGGCGGTGATTGTATAAGCGTAAGAAGCAGTTAAAGTATTGCCTGTAAGTACGTAGGTAATGATGCAGAGACAAATTGCTGCTCTGCTCAACATCATATTGAATGACATCATTATGGCACGTATGGTCGATGTAGCTTTTATCTGTTCCATCTCTTTCCTACAAAAAGAGTTACCATAGTGGTTGATACAAAGTATAAGGTGAGGAATTATACCATCTGGCGAGCTCCACTAGTTTGGCGAAAGGTTTTTCCCAAGTGTACATTTTGATGACCTGTATCCCAGTGATGATTTCGTTCATTAGACGCACTCGCTCGTCGGTACGAATGGCAGTTCTGAGCCTGTATCTCGAGGTTAGTTTGGCCATGTACACTGCAAAAACAAGATTTATTAGTGAAAAGATTCAAGCTATGCGACTTCAACTCACTCTGGATCGGAATGAAGGACAACAGGAAGAACGACCCCACTAATCCAGTCGGTCCTACATAAAAATACAGCAGCACCATGACAACCATGGTCTCAACAGGTGCTATCCACAGGTTGTGCAGGTGCTGGGCAGCAAAATCAAATCTCCCGACGTCATTGGATAGCAAATTGACCATCTGACCAATGGTGGTGTCGGCCAACGCCGATTTGCTTAGTCTGAGAGCTTTGCGGTAGATAAGCGAACAGGCCGTTATCCTTATTTTCATGCCCAAGGCCATGACCCACAGCTGATAGTTGTGGACGCAGCAGACGTGTCCGAACGACATTAGGACAGTCAAGGCGGCGTAAGTGTAGAGCTCTGTTTTATCGACTGGAGAAGCGTCAGGGGCGAAGAAAGATACCAGTTTGGATACTAGTAGGGGTTGGCACAGCCTGAAATGGAGAAGGAAGTTTAGAAGTTTACGTATTTTCTGAGATCTGGGATTGGTTTGCTTATTTTGAGTGTGTTTAAGGGGATCATGGTAGGAAGTTTGATTCAGGCGGTCCCCTTAATGAAATTCCGCACTGACGTTGCTTATTTATATGAGTAAGAAGATAAGATTTTGATGTAAACAAGTGAGGTACGTAGTTTTTGAAAAGTATCAGATTAGTATAGATGTAGTTTTCATTTGGTATTAGATTAGTATAGGGGTCAGATAATTTATACGACGCTATAAAAGCAGATGATATTTTATAATTGCTCATGTAAGATGGAAGTATAGGCCATGGCACCATATCATGAGCATATTTTTATATTGAACCTATCATTGGGCACCAAAGATGTGTATACGACGCTATGAAAGTTCAGAGAACTGGAGATTTTTCCCACAAACTACGTACCTAGCTCACTCGACTGCCAATAGGGACTGAAAAAAACGAAAACAAAAGAAAGTTAAAACTTTGCCAACATATTTCTTCTTTGTGGGAAATCAAGACAGTCGAGTGAGCTAGGTACGTAGTTTATGGGCAAAAAAATTGAGACAGTCGAGTGAGCTAGGTACCTAGTTTATTGGCGAAAAATAAAGACAGTCGAGTGAGCTAGGTACGTAGTTCATGGGAAAAAAAATCAAGACAGTCGAGTGTGCTTTTTTTTACTTCCTTTTGTTTTTTGTTTCGTTTTCTATTGGCAAGTGATTATCTAGGAACTTGTAAATTTTTTAGTTTTTTCATCGTATCTCCCGAACTATTGAATTCAGAGAAAAATATTATATGGATTTTTTGTAGATTCTATCAAAAGGAATAATTTTGGTTCTATAACATTTTCAGATATTTTCAGTTGTTTTCGAGATATTTGGAATTATCTGAGAATAAAATTTTCAACACTTTTGTTCCATCTTCCAATCAACAAAATGAAAAACTATTTCATGGTTCAGTGGAAGTCGATGAGCGTCATCTATCGATAATCTTTGTTTTTCAATATATCTTCATAGTACCCTATGGGTCGTTCAAATTTTTTTTTTCATATTTTTCACTTTATTTCCTGTACTATTGGGTTTACAAAAAAAAATATGGACAATAAATTGTAGGAAATGTTCCAGTGGATAACTTTGCACTTTTGATAATTTTCGATTTTTCCATTTGTTTTCGATATATATTGAATTGAAAGGATTTCAAATTTTGATGTTTTAATTTTCATTTGTTTTTCTATTTTCCGATGGATGCACGAAAAAATGGTTGAATAATAATTTGTTGCGTCATCAAAGAGGCATACGGTGCATTTTTCAAATTTGGATTTAGTCTATTGGTTCAGGAGATATGTCGTTTTAAAGCGAACCGTGTTTTTCGGAAAATCTCCTTGAAAATCCCACTTGGAATTTCCCCACCTTGCTCAATTTCAATAGGCTTCGTCTCTTCCTGATAGAGTTTTTTTACACAAAAAATGAAATCGGTCGGACCATTTTTGCGATTTGTAGAGTGGTCACAAAAAACTCCCGGTGAAAAATCGAAAAAACCCGGAAAAACCACCTTAGAGTTTTCCGATTTCCTCCATATTTCAATGACATAATATTCAATATTGTTTTGAGTACAATAAGATGGCAAAATTTCGAGTCTATATGTCAAAGGGTTCAGGAGATATATCGATTTATGATTAACACAGAGTACAGACAGACAGACAGACCACACACAAAAACCAAAGTTGCTCAAAATTCGATGGGGATCATTTTCTCCAAAGTAACTATACCTCTATCTCGCTTAGTTTCCGAGATAGCATTTTTGGCAAGGCCGTAGTATACTCCACTATGTATAGCGTCGTATAATAACAACATGACACGTGCCGTGGCCATTCTAAATCGGTTCTTGTAAGCAGGGTCAAACACTTGGTAAAGTCCTTGAGTCAGAGGATACTATGATATGGAAGATAGTGCATGATTTAGTGTGATTAGGTTAATTCTTGCCGAGAGGGTTTCGATAAAATCCTAGCTGATTTTTTGTCGTAGTTCAAAATTCGACAGAAATTTGGGGTTTTTGAGAATTTGGAATTTGGATTACCTCCTCTATAGGAATGATCCGCCTTATATCTTACGGCCATTTCCTCATTGGGTAGGTGTCACAATCTAAAAAACAAAACCAGTTGAACATCGGACAGGAAGAAAAAGTAAACTTATTCGACAAAAAAACTTACAGGATCCTCAAGGGTAAAATTGTTAGGGATTATTTTTAGATTTTTATTATTCGAAAGGTAATCAAGTGTCTGTTTTTATTTACCTCAAAGATTCTGCGAAGACGTGGAATCCCCCATAAAAGAATATTTCGGTTTTGAATACCTTAAAGATTGCTAAGAGCAGAGAAGGCTCGTCTTTTTTTGTTTCGTCATTCCATATGGCTTCTAGTTTCTCCCCCAGTTTTTTGGATTGCTGGGATCGTCTGGTTTCGTACATGTCATCTTCGTCTATCTCCCGCTTAAGGCCCTTAGATAAATAAGGAAGTAGCCAGCTGTGAAAAATCGGAAAAATATTTCATGAGGAAATATGTAGTATACTCGGTAGTATACAGTGTGTCCCACTTACCATGCTCACCATGGGTATCTTTTTAACGGTGAGAGATACGAGGTCGGTTAAATGACACCAAATGTGGAGTTTGTCAAGGCCAACTATAATATGAAAAAATATTTTGATAAAATCTATTCGTTTTTGTTTTATACGCAAAAAACAGATTTTGGTCATTTTCATGTCTCCTCCGTAACTTCTTTATTTATGAAAATATTCAAATAGCAATTTCACATTCTCATGGCAGATTTTCAAAGTGATTTCGAAAAAAATATGAAATTTATACCAACTCTTCTAGAATTTGAGATATCAGCACCAACTTTAGGTTTTCAAATGTAGGTCATAGCTCATTATGACTTAGTTACAAATAACTTTTTTTTCTCTTACAGATGATATGTCGCAGTAATAGTTTTGTGTTGATAACAACGGAGTTATCGTCATTTATACAAAAACAAAATATTATTTGGAAGCCGCCATCTTCAATTTATACATTTTAACAAAAAAAATCATGATCTCCGACCTCAAAAACCCCCACTTACCAATTTTTAATGGAATCGGACCAAATCTTGTCTGCCATCTTGGAGCAGCCATTTTTTCAATTTCAACAAACATTCCATAATGTATTGTCACCGAAATTATGAACACCTGCCAAATTTCAAGTTAATCGGAGTTATGGAATTTTTGTTGAAATTAAACAAAATGGCTGCTCCAAGATGGCGGACAAGATTTGGTCCGATTCCATTCAAAATTGGTAAGTGGGGGTTTTTGAGGTCGGAGATCATGATTTTTTTGTTAAAATTTATAAATTCAAGATGGTGGCTTCCAAATAATTTTTTGTTTTTGTATAAATGACGATAACTCCGTTGTTATCAACTCAAAACTATTACTGCGACATAATATCATCTGTAAGAGAAAAAAAAGTTATTTGTAACTAAGTCATAGTGAGCTATGACCTACATTTGAAAAACTAAAGTTGGTGCTGATATCTCAAATTCTAGAAGAGTTGGTATAGATGTCATATTTTTTTCGAAATCACTTTGAAAAACTGCCATGAGAATGTGAAATTCCTATTTGAATATTTTCATAGATAAAGAAGTTACGGAGGAGACATGAAAATGATCAAAATCTGTTTTTTGCATATAAAACAAAAAAGAATAGATTTAGTCAAAATATTTTTTCACATTACAGTTGGCCTTGACAAACTCCACATTTGGTGTCATATTTAACCGACCTCGTATCTCTCACCGTTAAAAAGATACCCATGGTGAGCATGGTAAGTGGGACACACTGTATACAGGGTGACCCAGAGTTAAACCGCCAAACGTTTAGGATCAGTTTTTTTAGGCAAAAATAAGACTTTTTCTGTCTATGAGCATGTGTTCTAACTTGCTTCATTTTAGAGATATAGGGTGTCAAAGTTTTAAGAAAAAATCAGTTTTTTATTAGTTACTCAAAAACCTTTGGGCTGATTTTGATAAAACTTGGCATGCTCATTTGAGGTAATGAGTGGCTCCTGTTTACTGTTTACTTAGGATAAAATTAATATTTCCAGTAGCTTCCCAGAGAGTAATCTATCTACTATTGGGATAAATCATTGTACGCCACTGTTTTATTTGTATGTTCATTTTTTAATAAAAAACTTTCAAAAATACAATTTTTTTGCTTCATCAATTTGTTTATTATCTCTATTCATTTTCGAAAATATAAAAAAACCATTAAAAAACCGTTTCCCTGCATGTAGCAGGATTGAAATATCTGACTGATATTACCACAAAAACTGCTCAAAATGACCACTATCTTTTACAATACAAAGTGTTTTTGAAAGTTTGATTTAAAAAATAAACATACAAATAAAACAGTGGCGTACAATGATTTATCCTAATATTAGAAAGATCACCCTCTGGGACGCTACTGGAAATAATAATTTTATTCTAAGTGAACAGTAAACAGAAGCCCCATATTACCCCAAATGAGTAATTATAATCAAAATCTGATTTTTCTGAAAACTCTGACACCCTATATCTCTAAAATGAAACAAGTTAGGACACATGCTTATAGAAAGAAAGTCTTATTTTTCACAGGAAGGAAGGAATGCTCGTCATCTCCAAACATTTTTGCCTAAAAATATGATCCTAAACGTTTGGGTCACCCTGTATATTTTTTTATCTTTTGGAGCGTATAAAGAGAAATTCCTATTAAGTTCGAAGAGGAGGATAGGGAGAGGAGGTAGGTATTGTAATTATTATTGTAATTATTTTTGAACTTTCGGAGGTTATACGTTCATCTTGGAAATACTCCATTGGCAAATAATTCCAAAGCTTTTCTTTTCTATAGAACTGTTTGGGTATTCAAAGTCAGAGTATTGACCATGATATTACATACAGGGTATTCGGAAAATCTGAAATCGGTAGATTTTTTCGAGAAATACGAGTCGAATCAAGAGACTGAAGAAGAAACACGTGTTTTATGATACCAAACTCGCCCTTCTATAACTGGGGGGCAACTTCGATATCTTGAGAAACCTCCATGTTTTATTACAAATTCCATAAAATATGACTTCATAGACGTATAACGGTAACACTGTATAAAATATGTGAGTTTAACGTACCAGAAGAAATATTTGTAGAATGGATTTCCTCGATCTATGGGATGGATTTTTCTTTTCTTACTGTCAGTCTGCTGCTCCTCCATTTTGAATATTATCACCTGGCCAACCTTTAAAGAAATCAAATTATAATCGAATTACTGATCATACCTACTTGAGAATACTCAAATGCTGAATGTTATCTTATACTAATTATAAGGCAATCTTATTTGATAAGTATTATAATAAATAAATGTAGTGATTGTTTCATGTAGGTAATACCTGTACTCAAGGTCAACCGATTTGATTGTATATACAGAGTCTCCATTCATATTCCAGTTATTATACCTACCTATACGCCGGGCATTAAAGTAGTTAGCGGGCGCTAAAGAGCTAGTTTACGCCCGGTCGTGCATTCTAGTTATTTATGTATCAAGAGCGTAAAGTAGGCGTGAATAATGGCCCGATGGCGCCAGCCGAGGTCCATTACACGCTGAAGGTCATAAACGCATTTTACTCACGTGATGCATACAACATTTTATATATACACTAGTGATTCATTTCTCGAATCAAAAGTAATGACTAGATTCCAATTATCAATAACATGTTATATGTAACGTATGATTATATATGAACAAGAGCAAGAATGTTACTCGTTGATAACGGTTTTACTGTGAAATACTTTATTAGGTAAGTATCTATTATACTGTTTGTATTTGTTGATAACAATTACTTAGTAACAAAGAACATATAGATAGTACAATCATAATGTGACCAGGCTTCAACAATTCAGTCTATCATACAGACCAATGATGAAATATTTACTATTTTTTCTAAATACCTAGAATACATAACAGAAACCGTCAGTCCTACCGGATGTGATAGAATAATCATCAAACAAATGGAATTTTTATTAGCTGCTTTATTTATCCATATTCTCATTCGAAGTGTCCATAAATATTCAATATGAAAATGAAAATCTAAAGTTACTACCACGTATTTATACAGTGCTTTCGTACTGAATAAATTCAACTTTAGCCAAATTATCCATTTCTGAGGAATCTCCTGAAACAGGTAGATTTTTATTTTCAATTTGCCACATTTATTAGGAAAAATTAAATAAACAGAGTGATACACATTTGAGTTATGACGACCAATTCAAACGTGGATCACCCTGTATATCTGATGTCTACTGATAAATGTGGCGAATTAGAATTAAAAATTGATCTGTTTCCGGAGATTTATCAGAAATTGATGGTTTGACTAAAAATGAGATGAGAGTGAAATATTCAGTCAGTTAAATGTTTGTCTGATTGGCTAATACTGGTCACTTGGTCACAAATACGTAGATATGATAGGTTCAAATTACATGGAAACAATTTTCAGGATCAGGATATTAGAACAAAACTATTAAATTATGATATGTTCATCGGTCCTTGAAAGTTTGCGAAGTTTCGATTTCATTCGACGATTTGGAGTGGGTCATATCACTAGTCTCTCTGGACGTTACAATCTATACGAGTACTTCGTGTAAGACACTGCCGTGTTTTTGGATATAAAGAAGCATTGAAATGTTATTAGAAGGACAAAACGAACATTCATAGTTTTGGTGGAGGAACTTTTGAATTTTTGGTGGCTGTACAGCATTCACCATTTCATTCAAAAAACAAAAAATCGCCCATCCTGAAGATCCTGATCTGGATAATAGGATAAAATTATCAAATTATGCTATCGTTATCGGATCTTGATAGATGTGCGAAGTTTTCATTCAATTCCACGTTTTGAAGTGGGACAAAATGACGTTCGTAGATTCCGCGTTAATAACTTACAAACACATACCAAGCTAATACAGGGTGAGTCATGAGGAACTGTCCCTCATGAAATATCAAGTTTCATTCTCCTTATATTTTGATTTCATAATATCAACGTTTTGGGAGATATCGCATTGCTCAATATCATATTCAATTTTATATCAGTGATATATTAGGAGAAATGTAGTAGTCTGTGCGATGTTTTTATTTTCTATCTCCAACCATGTATAACAAGGTGGTTTTTTCTGAATCGTACCTATTAAATTCGAAAACAGAAGTGGCTGTGACTCGATTCGATAACCTTTTGATGTTTATATAGTGGCATATGATATTCAAAGAGCAATTTAAATTTTATCTCAGTTTTCAAATTTTTTTCAATATCTGATCGTTCCATGCAGAAATCAATGTTCGTGAAGATTTTATCATCCGAATCACTAGATATGGAAAACAAATCAGCTGGAGTGTGTTTCATCTATGTCAGCTGTTTCCATTTCATGTACTGAATGACGTCACTAAATCAATAGCAAACTTACATGTGTTCCAGTATGAATAAATGTCTAGGTACTCATGAGCTAACCTCGAATTGGTTCACACTTCACAATTTTTCATCACAGTAGGTTTGATTAAAAAATGTAGGTGTAGCGGTTTTTCACATGGTATTTTTTTTGTTCGATTCGTCTTATCTACGCGATGACGAAAGCCGACCTTGTTCTCTCCGAAACAGCTGAACATCGACTGCGATATTAATAGATAAAAGTTGAGTCCGAAGCCGAACTATCATTATAATTAATCATTATTATGCGTGCGCGCTTTGATCAATTCAATCAAATAATCATAATAATATTAATTAAGGAAGTATGATTCAAGTTCAAGAAACTATAAATAGATAGATACATGTACTCTTTATGTTCATGTGCCTGATGTACACCAATTGGCCATCGAACTTGAGATGTGTTTTCTGTGTAGGCTCTCTTACTTGACTCCTTACGTCATCTTATGGGCGTCGAACTCACGGTCAGTCGAGTGCATACCAACCGCGAAGTCAATAGCATACAATGCATATATAATTATATGGGTGAGCAGCAAAGTATTTTTCAACAGTCAAGCAACATTACTTTATTATTCAAGTCAATATCAAATTTATCCATATTTAAGCTGTATAGCAGCGAATACTTGTTCCACTGTTAATTTTCAATGGGGAAGTTTCCTTTATTGAGGTTCTTATCTCATTGTGAAGTTTGTAAAAAAATAATATACACGTATTTTTTCTTTTTTTCGTAAGATCACATTTCACTTCAGAAAAAAATAAATAAAAGAGGAACTTGGCTCCCCCACCATTCCCATGACGTACTATCTGAAAATCCACATTCACACAGAGTTAATACGATTCCCTGTGCCAGTACGACGTTGCCGACATCATCAATATGTCTAGATTTCCGGAAATTCTTCTTTGAATGCATAAAAACTATATCATAACAGCAATGGGATATAATAGGTTCTCATTCTCAAATCCTACTGTATCCAGTACTATCTGTGAACCTTAGGTAGTTCCGAGCAGCGGCGTATCACCTCTTGCATTGCATAGATATCGCGGGGTAAAATATATTGACAGTTAATGAGTATGTGATGAAATTGGTTTATAATTCAAAAGTACATGATTCCTGAACACCTACTTTGTCAAGTATTATGAATAATCTCCATGAATCTCTCATTGGCTGAATCAGGTTGATTACTAATAAAGATTAATTATGATATTTTGCGATAGTATCCATAATTTTTCACTATCGTTATATCACAATATGTTATTCATAACTTGCCAGTCGTTTTTTGCTAATTAATTCGTTCCTCAATAAAACGGATCTATTTATTTGGAAAGTTGCAGATTATATCTTGTAAACAGCGCCTAATACTTCTTCTATCTTCTACCAGATCTGGTAAAATATCTCAGGTTGGGTTACCAGATCTGGTAACATATCTCAGGTTAGGTTACTAGATCTGGTAACATATCTTAGGTTAGGTTACTAGATCTAGTAACATATCTTAGGTTAGGTTACTAGATCTGGTAACATATCTTAGGTTAGGTTACTAGATCTGGTAACATATCTTAGGTTGGGTTACTAGATCTAGTAACATATCTTAGGTTAGGTTACTAGATCTGGTAACATATCTTAGGTTAGGTTACTAGATCTGGTAACATATCTTAGGTTAGGTTACTAGATCTGGTAACATATCTTGGGTTAGGTTACTAGATCTGGTAACATATCTCAGGTTAGGTTACTAGATCTGGTAACATATCTTAGGTTAGGTTACTAGATCTGGTAACATATCTTAGGTTAGGTTACTAGATCTGGTAACATATCTTAGGTTAGGTTACTAGATCTGGTAACATATCTTAGGTTAGGTTACTAGATCTGTTAACATATCTTAGGTTGGGTTACTAGATCTAGTAACATATCTTAGGTTAGGTTACTAGATCTAGTAACATATCTTAGGTTAGGTTACTAGATCTGGTAACATATCTTAGGTTAGGTTACTACATCTGGTAACATATCTTAGGTTAGGTTACTAGATCTGGTAACATATCTTGGGTTAGGTTACTAGATTTGGTAACATATCTTAAATTCATTATTCCAAAATTTTTTTTGCATTTTTTTCAATTTTTTTTTCTCTCCTCGTTTCTATACAATAAAAAAAAAATATGAATATTATTTCAATATACGTGTAGTAAGGACTAATCAGATGATTTGCCCCAAAATGTCACTGCGTTTAAAGAAAAGCTTAATGACATCACTCTTGATACAAATGATACTCTTGTCAGTTTTGATGTAGTAAGTTCATTCACAAATGTTCCAATAGATAAAACTTTACAAATAGTGAAGGAATAATGGAATTTTTGGAATTGTGTCTAAACAACATATTTTCAATTGGGTGATGAGTTTAATCGACAAAACAATTTTAAGCAATATATTCATGGAGAATATTGAAGACAACATCACCAAAAACAACCTAAAACATGGTGGCGATACGTAGATGATATTTTCATAATTTGGCCTCATAACATTATGGAGCTAGATAATTTTCTGAATTATGTGAACAATGCCGAACCTACAATAAAGTTCACTTTGGAAATTGAATCTTATAATCAATTACCGTTTCTAGATGTTCTTATTGAAAAATCAAATAACATCTTTGTATGCAATTTTAATCAACACACAAATGAAGAAGAAAAATTTGTTGCAATCGATTAACTGTCAAACACATAAAACATTTTGTGTAGGTACACCGCCTACTAAGTGAAATAATTATGAAAAAATAGACTGATAGCCCTGTGGATCATCGTATAAGAGGAACAATTTTAGTTTTATTATTCCAAATGGGAAGATCATGTGATAGGTACCTACATGGCGACAATAACAGATATCTTCTGTACGAGTAGCTGAATTCGAAAAAATATATTCCTATCTTAGATTCCTCAATATCTTGAGTTATTTTCACCTTGACTCAAACAAGCTATTGAAAACCTGCAGACATTGATCAGAATATCAAAACATTTTGAATAATATCGGTTTACTAATGATATTTAAATTTCAAAGCCTACCAAGTGTCGATATATCATGGAATTCATGTCACAGCCAACTTATTCTTTTTGAATAAAAAGCAATTCAACAGCGAATCAAGAAATAAATGCCACTTTGTGATACATGGTTGGATAGAGAATTTCAAGGCGAAAAAGATAGAAGATAGTCCGTCCACACCACCCAAAATACTGACAGACACAACAAGCGGAAGGAGCCATGGGTGTCGGCTTCATTCTGTTCTGACCGATGACAGTAAATTAGGAAGGATAGTATCATTTAATGTAGCATATAGTGATTCATTGATTCAATGATATTCACGTTTAGGATCGAGCTCTATTCGAGATATTTCAATGCATAATTAACGAAACCATAACCTGTCAGAATGAAGCCAACTACCCTCTGCATTCCTGCTATGAGTGCATTTGTGGTTATGTATGTTTTTTTTATCAGTTTTACTTCTTCTTCAATGTTTTTCATTCGTTATCTATTCTCTAGCTATATTCTTCACCATCAGCTATTTTCAGACTAGATTCCGAACGTACGTCACAGTTTGCCTCCCCGAAAATTAAAAATTGATTTAATTTGAAAATGAAAACGACTTGGACTCCATCGGTCGCAATTTTATACAGCGTGAACATAAAACTGGAGAATTCCGAACTTATTTTATAAAAATTCATCTGAAGGAAACTTCCCCATCACAATAACATCACAAAATATATAAGCAGATTAAGTATTCAGTGAACATGATGGATTGCAGAGCGTTCCGATGTATGGGGTAGCTAGATAGTTACAATCCGTGTTCAATATTCTACTTCGTCTTCATGAAGGCTTCTTCTGCAATTGCTTGTAAGCTCTGAGCCATCGCAGACCCTGTTTGCTTCACTAGCCCATAGAAAGTCCCCTGTTTGTTCTGCAAAAGCGAAAAGGGATGCCCGAACTCCACTGCTTGTCCAGCATCCATCACCAACACCTTATCGGAGTCCATGATCGTATGCAGTCTGTGCGCTATAGTCAACACCGTACAATTAGCGAATTTACGCCTAATGGTGTTCTGTATAAGAGCGTCAGTATGTGGATCGACGTTGGCAGTGGCTTCATCCATCACCAGGATCTTGTTGTTGCGTATTATAGCGCGAGCTAGGCACACCAGCTGTCTTTGACCGACGCTGAAATTGGATCCACCTTCAGCCATCTTACTGTCCAGACCTGATTGCAATTCTCCCACAGCATTCTTGAGCTCTACCTCTTCCAAAGCGTTCCACAAAACCTGCAAAGCAAACGAACTTATAGTAATTTATGTCTGAAGATGCTTCCTAATTGACTCATCCCACATCTGGATTCGTTATTATCGCTTTTTACCCCAGAAGCTGGTATTTTCAACGTAAAATATTAATTTCCTCACCTCATCCTGATATTCATCGAAAGGGTCCAAATTCTTCCTCAGTGTCCCAGAAAATAGTACAGGTTCTTGTGGTATAATAGAAATCTTCGACCTCAAGACACTCAGCGACACCGTTTTTGTATCGACTCCATCTACCCATATGTGCCCCTCTATCTCAGCCAATCGGAATAGAGCTTGAATCAATGAGGTCTTTCCAGCTCCCGTCCTACCCACTATCCCAATCTTTTCCCTGGACTTGATCTCGAAGCAGAGCTTTTTCAGGACGTAAGGCATGTCTTCCGAGTACCTCAGAGACATATTTTCGAATTTTAAATTTCCGTGTTCTGGCCAAAATTTGGGAGGAGGCTTGGTATTGACGTCCAGCTCTGGAGTGATGTCAGCATACTCCTGGATCCTTTCCACTGAAGTCATTTGGTTTTCGAGGTCAGTCCACTGCCTGATACCCCATTGGAACATGCCTGATAGAGTCATTGCCTGAGTTAGAGATAGACCTACATTTCCACCGAGTGATTCTGAAAAAATAAAACATTCAGAAGAGCTGCCTGACTTACTAGCTGTGTTGAGTCGCACCATTCTGGATGAACAGTACACTGACAGTGACACAAGCAGTATAAAGAACACAGTGGAGGTCCAACCAAAATCCAAAGCCTCTGTTAGCTGATAAGAACATGAAGTAGGCAGAGAAATATGCATCTTGGAAATTATCGAACTCTCTGGTCAATGTTTGCTGGGCTCCAAAAGCTCTGATGGTAGTCAGACCTTGCAACGATGCAGTTAAATGAGTGTAGATTGGACTACGAGCTAAAAAAACAAAAAGATATCGGGAGTGTTAGTACAATGTATTCACATCCAGACTACTACTGGTTGTTTAGAAGTTGATACACTGATTACCACAACTAGATGGATTTTTACTCACTTACTGCTTCTACTCTTTTTATATTCCTACTAGACACTAAAAAAGTTTGTCTCAGGAAGTAAAATATTACTAGCATGACACCTGTAACTGTTAATATCCAAGGATTCATTGTTCCAATAACTATTGAGATTGCCAGTACTGTCAAACCAATCTGAAAGAGGATCATAGTTGAGTAATATATAATATTAAACTAAATGATGTAGGTATAATAATTTACCCCTAAAGTGTCGAGTAGAGTTATTGGCAAAGTTTCATCTACTGCTCCCACATCTTTGGCAAACCTATTGAGTATTCTTCCAGAAGGATTTGTATTGAAAAACCTCATTGGTAAGTTGACTATTTTGCTGAACATGTTATTGTGCAGCCTGGTCGACGCGGTCATACAGTACTTGAAGAAAGAAATTGACCTAGTGAACGTCGTGATTACAAATAGTATAACTAGGGAACAGTAAATATAGAGATTGATCTCATCTGTGAGGTGTTCATTCGACCATGTGTCACCAAATGTAGAATTTCTGGCCTCTGGAAGCTTCGATACTAGAGAGCTATGCAAACTTCTTCGTTGTTCCAGATTGACCCTAGAAGTTGAAAAATAGAGGAGTATTGTTTTGTATATGTTGGTAGTTACCAAATATTCACGAAGTAATCAGTTAAACTTCCGAAGACTTCCGTCAATACAAATCCTGATAAAAGTGCTATCGCTTTGAACCAGCCACCCCTAGATTTCAGATAGCTTTTGTAGACATTCCAGGTTACTACTCCACTTGATCTTTTTTCTCTCTCAGCTGCTACGACTGGAGAGTCTTTGAGCTTCTCAATATTTGACTTCGAAAGTCTCTTTTCTTCACATTTCCTCTCTTCGTCCACAGATTCCTCCAAGAGTTTGTCAAAGGTTCTATCGAACTTTTTCATCTGTTGATAGCTACCTGATGCTTTGATTTTACCATCTTCTAGCAAGTAGATGTGGGGAGAATTCCTCAAGTACTGAAGCTGGTGAGTAACTAATACTACGCACTTGGAGCTGAGATATCCACAGATACAGTCATGGAAGAGCTGTTCACCCACATGGGTATCCACGGCTGATAACGGGTCGTCCAACAAGTAAATATCCGCTTCCTTGTAAACAGTTCTAGCTAAGTTGATTCTAGCTCTTTGACCCCCACTCAGCGAAACTCCTCTTTCCCCCACAAGGGTTTTATCCCCATTTGGGAAAATAGTAAAGTCTCGCTCTAAAGCACAAACCCTCACAACCTCTTCGTATTTCTCCTGATCGTATTCTTGGCCGAAGAGGATGTTTTGTCTGACGCTGGCACCAAACAACCAAGGTTCTTGGGATGCATATGAGATGGTACCTGCCACATGAACTGATCCGGAGACTGGTATGATTTCCTTTAGTATTACGTGCAGCAAGGTAGTTTTCCCACAACCTACTGGACCCACCAGGGCGACCATCTGCTTTGAAGAAGCTTCAAAGCTGATTTCGCTCAGGGTATTCTCAAGTGAAGACTTCAACCATTTGAAGGAAGAGTTTTTCAAGCTGATACGAGGACTTGGTAATCTAGTATCATTCGAAATTGACCTAGGGTTCTCTATCTCATCGTACATCAGGAACTGCTGGATTCTTTTCACTGATACCCTACTCTCGGCGAACTGAGTAATGCCTTGTGGGAAAATAACCGTGACAGCTATCCTCAAGTGCCCATAGAAGGAAGTGATCGTGTATGCGTAGGTGGCAGTGAGAGTGTTGCCAGTGAGAACGTAGGTCAGGATGCACAAGAAAATGGCTGCTCTGCTCATGATCATACCACAGGATAACATGATTGCTCTGATGCTTGAGGTGACCCTTATTTGTGCTATTTCTCTCCTAAAAGAGAAAAAATAACATTTCCTCAAAATTACTATTATTCTCAAAATTATAGTGGTTAACGCAATGCAGTGGGCTCATATAGGGGGCTAAAAACTTGTTTTCCCTTGATTGCCAAAAAAATTCAACAAAACTCATACACACTAATTCAGACTCATAAAAAAAATCCAGAATGAGGTTCAGGAGGAAACTTTTCCTTTAGATAGGCGGCTCGGTGGTCGAGAGCGTGAAGGCGCTGAGTTCGTAAGGGGACTCCCACCCGAGACATAGGTTCGAATCCTAGTTAGGCCATGGATGTTTGTGTTTGTCTGCTTACCTAACCCCGCACAAGTTTCGACTTATGGGGCGTTTGGTCCCAGTGCTGGGACCAACGAGGTAATGCAATTGCAAAAAAAAAAAAAAAAAAAAAAAAAGATTTTCAGAATTAGCGATTGACGCGATGCTCATACATGTCAAAATATTTTTTTTCTGATTTCCCTACGCGGCGGGAGACAACACAACCTGGGGCTAAACTTTACTACTTTTTTTCCCTTGTATAATAAATAACTATTCGAGCCCATAAAGAAAAAACCCGGTGTCAGATTTAGTCGAGATCTCCTCTTAAAGATTTTCAAAATCAGCAGATCACGCGATGCAGTAGGCTCATAAAGGAGATGAAAAGTAGATTGTTTTATCAGGATCAAAAGTGACCCTTAGTTTGACAAGCGAATTTTGCATTTGCGAGGCGGGACGTTTAGCAAAGCCGAGCAAAAGCAAAATTCGCTTGTCAGACAAAGTCACTTTTGATCCGAATGAAACATGCTATTTTTTCTGCAACCGAAACAATTAACTCAAATAAATATGTGAAGTAACCACCAATGCCGTGCCATATGTATGCAATGTAACAAATATTGACAAATAATCCGTGTGGTGAGGATATTCTACTTGCAGCAACAGCAGGTTTATTAAAATTTTCAAGGATGTTCGAATTGTAGTTTCAATGTAAATAGAACCACAGCGAGTATCATCACGTAACATATTTGTGTATGGACCTAGTGCTCTAATGGCAAATACCGCGCCAGTGCCAGGTATAGGAACAAGACGTGGAAAATGTTAGGTTAGTGAGCATATTAACAATAATAATAGCGATTATTTATTTATCTCCATACTCCACTGTGTTTGGTTTGATGATCAAATGGGTGTAAACAATATCGTAGTTTGAGACAAAAAACTATTGCTTGCCGTGATTATTCAAAAACAAGTTATCTATCCCGAGAATAACGAATGAAATACAGATCAAGCAAGTATTTGAATCTTGAAGGCTTCCCTGATCAAAACAAGAATACTTAACTGAGATGTTTATAACTCTAATACTTAGATATAATAGCCTTAACAATGTTCAACTTTAGCTCCTAGGAACTAAAATTCAACTTTAGCTCCTAGGAACTAAAGTTCAACTTTAGCTCCTAGGAACTGAATGTGTTGCCTAATAACATACCTAGCTATTTGTGTGTCAGTAATAGAAACGTCAATTCAAGAGCTAATTTTGGTATAAAAATGGACCACTTTTGTGTCGGTTGCGGAAAAATATTTTTTTCTGGTTGTCCTGAAAATCCCGAAATATTCAGACACTAATTCAGACAGATTTAGTAGAGAACATCCGCGAATTCGACCAGAACATTGACTTACTCTCTGGCTATCTCCACTATTTTAGCGAATGGCTTCTCCCAAGTGTACATTTTGATGACTTGGATGCCAGATATGATCTCGTTCATGAGTCGTACTCTCTCATCAGTCCTGATGGCTGTTCTCAGTCTATACCTTGATGTCATTCTAGCCATGTACACTAAAAGAAATCAAATTTACTCATGAATATTGACTTTTGCCCCAATAATTGTCAGCAAGAGCGAGACACGCTGTTTCGGCCCACTAGGTCTCATCGGCCACTCTCGGTCTGCTGACAACTGGGATGAACATTTCAAAGACGGCGGATAATACATGATGATCTTGTCATGCTATCGCCATCTAGTGGCGTTAGTTCTATGGTAATACCTCGAGGTAACGCCGTAGACAGTAGGAAACTGCCATCTCTAGTCGACATGTGAGACTTTGATCATGACTGCATTTTACATCCACCGAACCTAGTCACTGAACTAGATCTCATAAATAATAGATCTAGAATTAACAGAGTTGCCTCAATTGTCAGCAGGTCAGCAGACCGAGAGCGGCTGATGAGGCCTCTGGTGGACCGAAATAGTACTGTCTCGCTCCGGCTGACAATTTGGGCAACTCTGTTCATCCATTGGTAAAACTGGCTCGCACTGAGTGCATATTTTGTATAAGAGGTGCATATTGTTATTAATTTAAGCTAAGAAATAATTTCAGGATGCGGACAAGTTATTAACAAAGACAAACCAACGTATCCGATTCAACCTCCAACAATAATTTTATTACAATATTATTTCTTATTCCATTGGGAATGCACCAGTTCACATCATGGAGGGAGTAGTGCGGATGCAGAACTAGTGCAGATCTGGTGGATTTACCCTCAAGAAGTCAGGTATTGCCATCTGTCCATAGGTCCTACCTTAGAACTAAAGCCACTAGATGGCGATAGCTTGACAAGATCTGTAGGGATCTGACTGAACACGCAGTAGATGCTGGAAGACAAAATTTGAAAAATTCAAGAGACAAGACTTATCACTTAGCGACGTTAGCTGATGAGAGATAATAGATGTTTGATTGATCATGATAAATGAGAATTGATATTCGAATTAAAAAGGTTCTCAACATATTTGGCTTTACTGATTCACGAATTGTGTGTTCTGAGAATATGGAGTTGACCTGTACATACTTTGGAATGGGATGAAAGACAGCAAAAAAATCGCTCCAACCAATCCAGTGAAACCTACATAGCTGTGTACCAGATACGTGATGATTATAGTTTCTATAGGGGCCATCCAGATTTGGTGGAGGTTCTGGACAGCAAAATCGAACCTCCCGACGTCATTGGACAACAAATTGACCATCTGACCGACCGTGGTCTCAGCCAGAGCCGTTTTGCTCAGCTTCAGAGCTTTCCTGTAGATCAAAGAGCAGGCAGCTGTCCGTATTTTCATGCCCAAGGTCATAACGCCCATTGTGTAGTTATGGTTGCATATTATTTGAGCTAGGGAGGAGAGGACTATGATTGCTGCGTAGGTGTATACCTCTAGTTTGTTGATTTTGGTGTCGCTTTGGCCGTAAAATGATACCAGCTTGGAGATCAGCATTGGTTGACCTATTCTGGAAAATATTTGGTATCAGCTTCAGTTTGGTTCCATACAGGGTTTCCTCAAAATTACATATAGAAATATTTCAGAACACCCTGTATTGAAGGTAGACTGGTCACGTACTCACTTGACAAATTCGACTACAATAAAGAAAACTCCATAGTAGATGAGTTCGACTTTGAATACTGTGAATAGGGCTCTCAGCAAGGAAGGAGTTGTTTTTCTTTGAAGCTCGTTGTTCCATGCTCTTTCTAGCTTGGTGCTGAGGTAGGCTGATTTCTGAGAATCCGTGACTGCGAACATGTCATCTTCGTCGATTTCCTTTCTGAGACCCTGTTTCAGATACGGAAGGAACCAGCTTGAATAAAGAAAGTTTGGTTCATTTCGTCAGATTCCTAATAATTGAGTGGAATATGGTATACAGGGTGTTTCTTAAGTACGTGTAAAAATATCAGGAGCATGTTGCTGACGTCAGACGTCATGTAGGTGGCGCCACCCCCCACTAAAAAGACAAACTAAAATAACATTCGATATTGTCATTGAAAAATACCCCAAGATACCAAACTTCACTCGAATATCATAATTATTTTGGAATTGATCAATAAAAAACAAGAATAAGAATTCAACTTCCACACTCTGTATCTCAGAAACAAATTACTTTCGGACATACAGTGTGTCCCACTTACCATGCTCACGATGGGTATCTTTTTAACGGTGAGAGATACGAGGTCGGTTAAATGACACCAAATGTGGAGTTTGTCAAGGCCAACTATAATGTGAAAAAATATTTTGATACGCAAAAAACAGATTTTGATCATTTTCATGTCTCCTCCATAACTTCTTTATTTATGAAAATATCCAAATAGGAATTTCACATTCTCATGGCAGTTTTTCAAAGTGATTTGGAAAAAAATATGAAAATTATACCAACTCTTCTAGAATTTGAGATATCAGCACCAAATTTAGTTTTTCAAATGTAGGTCATAGCTCACTTTTTTTTCTCTTACAGATGATATGTCGCAGTAATAGTTTTGTGTTGATAACAACGGAGTTATCGTCATTTATACAAAAACAAAAAATTATTTGGAAGTCGGCATCTTGAATTTATAAATTTTAAGAAAGAAATCATGATCTCCGACCTCAAAAACCCCCACTCACCAATTTTGAATGGAATCGGACCAAATCTTGTCCGCCATCTTGGAGCAGCCATTTTTTTTAATTGATGGCGAACAAGATTTGGTCCGATTCCATTCAAAATTGGTGAGTGGGGGTTTTTGAGGTCGGAGATCATGATTTTTTCGTTAAAATTTATAAATTCAAGATGGCGGCTTCCAAATAATTTTTTGTTTTTGTATAAATGACGATAACTCCGTTGTTATCAACACAAAACTATTACTGCGACATATCATCTGAAAGAGAAAAAAAAGTTATTTGTAACTAAGTCATAATGAGCTATGACCTACATTTGAAAAACTAAAGTTGGTGCTGATATGGTGATGAAAAATTTCATATTTTCTTCGAAATCACTTTGAAAAACTGCCATGAGAATGTGAAATTCCTATTTGAATATTTTTATAAATAAAGAAGTTACGGAGGAGACATGAAAATGATCAAAATCTGTCTATTGCGTATAAAACAAAAACGAATAGATTTTTTTCAAAATATTTTTTCACATTATAGTTGGCCTTGAGAAACTCCACATTTGGTATGCATTTAACGGACCTCTTATCTCTCACCGTTAAGAAGATACCCATGGTGAGCATGGTAAGTGGGACACACTGTATATGTATACGAACTTTTCTTCTTAGTTTGACGTCAGCAACATGCTCCTGAATTTTCTACACGTACTTGAGAAACACCCTGTATGCACTCACCAAAAAAATATTCGATTACAAATATTTGTATTCACAGGGTGTTGCATTCTATTCGAATTCGAAGTTCTGACCTCTTCCATTGTTGTCTGTATTTTTGTCTCTAACCGATTCTCAAATTAAATATATCTTATTTCCTGATACAACCTTGAGTGTAATGTTGGTTACGACGGCAGATGTTGAAATTTTCATAGAGAACCAAACTCTCATGTCAACAACGAATGCACAACTGGAATATCTGGTACATATATCACTCGGCCATTGTCTCTATATACTGATTGTTATCAAATATAAAAATGGATTCGCAATGTATTTCTGATGAAAAATCGCAGACTTGATTATTTATATTATCTAGATTGATACAGGGTGTAGGTAATGAGAAATGATTTTCCTGTATTATACATTATACAGTGTGTCCATTTAGTGCGTAATTCTTCGATATCTCGAAAGCCATAACCTATAGAGAAAAACTTTGGGGAAAAAACTTTTCAGTTACTGGAAGATTACGGAATATTTCAAATTTGGACGATGCACATATCGCAAAAATACCTGAATGATCTATGTAGAACCTCGAATGTCATGTGGCAAGCAAAATTCCCACACTCAAATCAAATAAAGGAACAATCATGACGTACAAATTACCCCGAAATAGTAGTTAAAATAAGGAAATTACTCATAACTTGAAAACGCCGCAACCGATTTTGATTTTTTCTTCAGCGGCGATGAAAAGGGAAATGATGTCGAAATAAATCTGTGATGAAAAGTGTAGTGTCTCACGAATTTTCGAAAAAATAATTCACTCATCCAGTTAATGTCTACACCCTGTATATAGTATCAATGTGATGTCGATATTATTACCAATATGTATGTACTTGATATTTTCCTCTTAAGGATTAAGATAAATCCTAAGTCGAGGAGATCTGTCTACAAAATGATTGTGTATTTGTATTCTAGTATTATTTTTCATCGTCATTTTTTCCGAAACAGGTGAATAGAGAATTTGACGTTGAAAGCTATGTCTGATCGACAATTGACAGTATATACTAAAAATCAAAGAATCAAATGGATATTTTATTATTATATGTACATATATTATGTTCAAACAATCGCCGTATAAAAAAACAATTCGTCACAGATAAATATAATTGGCACTCTAGATTTATACAATGTTGAAATCGTTGTATTAAGTTGTTTCACTTGTTGAAGTTCTTATCTTCGTGCATGTCACTTCAAGTACTTTTTATTTATTATTTTTTGTCGAAATATTTTCAACCACACCCGAATTGCACAAATTTCGTATCATGGAGGAATGTATTTTGAGTTATATCAAAATTCAGAAAGTCCAGATTTCTTCACCATGTTGGAGAAGACTCCATTTTTCTTCTCCATCAAGGCATTCGGAGTGTCGAATTCGACTATTTTGCCTTGATCTACCACCATCACCTGCAAAAAAAATTCAACATAATACCGGGTGCCAAGGTATTTTAGAATTCAAAACAGAACACCCTGTACATTTTGACATTGTATGAATGAAGAACCTATATATTATCGACATAAAACTTATTTTATTTTTTTACATACAACGCTAATTTGATAGACAGTATTCTTTCTAAAAAAACTCCATAATAAAGCTATATTCAAGAATCATAATGAAAATTAATAAATAACACGTTGGAAAGGTTCATAAAAAATAATAAAGAAAAAACTTATAAATTCGAAGAATCAGGGGTATACAAACTCGACTGTGGATCTTGTCCTAAGGTATATATCGGTCAGACAGGTCGTACGTTTAATCAGCGCATTCATGAACATGAGATGCATTTTTTGAAAAAGAGAACAAACACAACATACGCCAACCATATTAAATTAGAAGAAAACCATAGCTTTGATGATAATTTCGGAATTCTACACGTAAAAAATAAAGGAATAAAACTCAATCATTTTGAATCATTAGAAATCAACAAACTCAACTCAACCAATTTGTGTATTTTTTATATTGAAAACTCCATCAATTTTGATTACCAATCCCATTCAAATTACTTGGAATGTTGCACAGCAACAAACTTCTTCTGCCTAGGCAGAGAAAGTACACGTCTGCTGCCTGTTAAGTGTCATAAGAAAGCCATTTGCTATGCCGTTTGGAGAAGAATATGTTATATCAAGCATAACAGTTGTTGGTGAAGTCATGTTCTGAAGCTAGCAATGAAAAAAATCGGGATCATGAAATATTCACCCTATCAGAGTCGGACACAGTGTTCAGTCTGTGAGCGATCGTGAGCACCGTACATCCAGCGAAATTCTTCTTCATGGTGCACTGCAGCAAGCCGCAAGTCTCCGGATCCATATTGGCCGTAGCCTCATCCAACACGATGATCCTGCTCTTGCTCACCAAGGCCCTAGCCAGACAGATCAGCTGCCTCTGCCCCGAGCTGTAGTTGGAACCGTGTTCCGTTATCTTCTCCTGCAAATTGGGAAACCAGCGCTTGATGTTCAACTGCTCTATAGCCTTCCAGATCGCCTCGTCCTGGTATTTACCCATCGGGTCTATATTGGAACGGATGGTGCCTGGAAAAATCGGAAATAGTATATTATTACGAACAAGAATGGTAGATAACGATATAAAAACAACTTCTTTCCTGGCTATATACGCAGGACATTGAATTCGAGCTTATGGCTCTCATCTGTGCAGGGGTGTCTCAGATGGCATTCATGACCGCCATTTGATGCGAATCTGACCCAGCGCGAAAATAAGTTGTTTTGCGTCGGTTTACCTGAGAACAGTATGGGATCCTGTGGAATGATAGCGATGTTGGACCGCAGATACTCCAAGTTGACAGTCCTGGTGTCCAAACCGTCCACAAAGATCCTGCCTTTGGTCTCGTACAGCCTGAAGAGGCTGGAGATGATGGAAGACTTGCCCGCCCCAGTCCTGCCGACTATACCGATCTTCTCTCTGGGCTTGATGACGAAGCTAACGTCCTTCAAGACCTTCTGCCTAGTGGTGCTGTAGGTCAAAGACAAATGCCTGTACTCGATTTCACCTCTATCTGGCCAATTGTCCTTCCTTTGACCTTCGGTCTTGTCTTCTGTTTCAATATCCGTGTATTCTAGGACTCTTTCCACTGCTGTCATGTTGTTCTCTAACTCCGAGTACTGCCGAACGCCCCACTGGAGAAGACCTGTTAGAGCCATTGCTTGGGTGATGGCTAAACCCACACCTCCAGCACCAACACCTGATTCAGAAGAAACATCGTTAAAATGGTCTCGACCACCGATCGAGATCAACTTACTTGATCCATCAAGGACGAATCTAAGTACCACCGAAGCAATGAACGCAGCACAGATCATATCCAACCAGAACCCGAAAGCTCTCGTGGTACAGATCATCATGTAGTAGGCGGAAGTATAGTGGTCTTGATGCCTATCGAATTCCTCAATCAAGTGTGCTTGTTTGTCGTAGGCTCTCACAGTGGAAAGACCTTCCAGAGTGGCATTCAAGTAGCCTATCATTGGACTCCTTGCTGAAAACAACAGGATAGAAGAGGAGATAAGGAACTGTTTGATATTTATAAACTTACTTGAAGCCTCCAGTCTTTTGATACTTCTTCCTACAGCTAGATAGTACTTCCTGAAGAAGTACAATAAAACTAACAAACACGCAGCTGGAATTAAGAATGTCAAATGAACGGAGGCTATAAGGCCTATGATGCTAATAACCATCAAAGTATTCTGAAATAAAGTATAATTAGTCATCAATAGTGGTCTTTTGTATCTCTTCTTACCCTCGTGACTTCATATACTACTAGTGGTAGGATTTCGTCGGTAGTATTCAAGTCTTTTGAAAATCTGTTGACGATATTACCAATGAGGTGGCTATCGAAGAAATTCATGAAGGAGTTCAAGACTGAGCGATTCATAGCCTTGTGGAGATTCCTGGAAGCTCTGAGAGCTAGGAAAAAAGTGGAGTAAGTTCTTAAGAACACCAGCAGGACTCCAACTGCCATCAGGATACAGTATATGCACAAGTAGTAGTTTCTCTGGGTGATCAGGACAGAGTACTGTGTAGTATTCGACTTGATAGATAGATTCAATTTGGTGGATAGATTCGACTTGATCGATATATTCGATTCGTTCGATAGATTCGACAGGCTTGCTTCAGTATTCACCCAGTAGCTTAGTAGTTTATCTGAAGCTGCCATAACGAATTGACTCAATATGAACATCAGTAAGAACAAGAAAAACACTAGGCAACCCCCCGCGAATCTATAGTACCTCAAGTAGGCGCTCAGTGCCACCTTGCCAGTACGTTTGGTTTCGTGGTAAACGTCTTTCCTCACATCTTCCTCTTTCAACAGAGCAACTTCCTCGTTGTCTTCCTCTACTACAAAACTCTCATCTATCTCTTCTTTCTCATCTTCAAAGTAGTTGTAGTCTACGTCGTCCATGTAGAACGTTATCCTCTTGTCCAAAGTTTCATTTTGCTGCTCCAAAGACAAAGTCCTACCGTTCTCGACAAAAAGAGTATTGTTACCGTATACCATCTTGATATGAGTGAGGTTATTCGTGACTAGCACCACGATTTTGTCCTTGAGGAACTCCATGATGCAATTGGTGTACACGTAAAGGTTCACCCTAGTGTCCAGGTGAGAAAGACAGTCGTCCAATAAATAGATGTCGCTGTTTTTGTACACTGCCCTGGCCAAGTTGATTCTGGTTTGCTGGCCTTTGCTGAGGTTGACCCCCTTATCGCCCACTATGGTCCGATCGCCGTTTTGGAACTTGCTGAGGTCCAGTTGGAGTGCACACACTCTCAGAACTTCTTGGTATCTTTTCTCGTCGTATTTTTGGCCGAAGAGGATGTTTTGGCGTATGGTGGAGGGGAACAGCCATGGTTCTTCGGATGCGTAGGATATCGTTCCTTCCACGGACATTTGTCCACTGCTCAAGGTATAGTCTCCCATGATGGTCTTCAGTATGGAGCTTTTACCGCTGCCTAGGCTGCCGACTAACAGAAACAGTCCTTTATCCGCTGACAGAGACACATCTCTGAGTACTTCAGTGTCTTTCACTTTGGCTGACACGTGATTCAAATAGACCTTGGGGTGAGTTGTGGTGGCTGGCCGCCTTTGTAGCTCTTCTGCGTAGAAGAACTCTTTGAGTCGTTGCGTAGCAGCATATACTTCGGAGCACTGAGCTATACCTACCGGTATGGAGGCGGTGATGAAAGATTTGAGACTGAAGAAGCAGCTCTGGATGAAGTAGACTGTTTCGGCTGTGGCATAGTGGCCAGTCCAGACGTAAGTGACCAGGAGCAAGAAGAAGGATATGTTCAAGGCCAAGGTGCCTATGATCATCACTATGCACTTCATGTAGTACACCGGGGCTAAGTGCTTCAGTTCTTGCCTAGAAAATCATTCAGAGTTGGAAGCTGAATGGCTGAAATGTTGGTGTACTCACTTTCTGACAGCGTTGATCTTGGTTTCGAAGAAAGTTTCCCAGGAGTACATTTTGATTATTTTGATGGCGTTCAAGGTTTCTGTTGTCAGCTGGAGACGTTCATCTGTTTGTTTGGCAGACTTCATCCTCATGGCACTAGCCCTTTTTCCGACGTAGACTAAAACAATGAACTGATCAAAGTACCTTGATGAATGTCAATGAGAAAATGTGAACGCGTCCTAATAATGCCGCAACGGAGGTGATTCTAGACTTCACACCTCTACAATTAGTTGTGGAGAACGCGGCAAAGACAACGACATAAAGAGTGATTAGAAAAAGAATGATGAATAGCAGGCCAATCCATCACCCACTTAACCAGAAAATCCAAGATTTGCATCATGATGAAAATAGCAGAAAGTACAGCTTTGTGAAACAATGCACCACATGGCTGAAATGCAAGAAACAATGAAACAGTGAGTCCATGGGTAATAAGCTCGAGAAATTAACCATACAGTGGTACACAGATGGCTCCGAAATCGAAGATAGAACTGGTCTAAGGGCCTTGTAGTGTTTAGTGGGTACACCTACATGTAGGGATTCCCTCACTACCATGAAGGGAATGGTCCTTGAATGATTTTGACCACCTCCAGTGAAAAAAAGGCCTTGTACCAAGTACTTCGGAAGCCTTAGCCAATTCTCAAGCATAGTCCATTAGTCCAGGCAGAAAGTTACGATATAAAAAAATGTGTACAGTTCAATCCAGAAGAAGTTATGAAAGACGGGATATCATTATCATGTCCGATAGTCAAGCAGCTGAGCAGCTCCAAATGATTTGGAAATGCCGGAAGAACTGAACGAGCTAGTCAACAGAAATACAGTCACTCTTATTTGGGTTCTGGGATATTCATTAGTAGAGCGAAATAAAGAAATGGAATCAGCAGCATTGCTGTTTCAGAAGGAATCAGAATAGGAGAAGCTGACCAGAGATCAGATGGCTGAGAATATCTTCAAGGTCTCAGACAAGCTATGTCAGCCTGAGAAAAAATTAACTGCATTATACGAAGGTCCTAAGAGGTCACTGTTGGTTGAAAGGAAATCTTAGGAAGCTTGGCTTAGAAGAGAAAGGGGAATGCAGGTCCTCATGTAGGACGGAAGAAGAAAACCTCTATCCACATACTCACGAAATGTGTCATCCACCAGAAGCAAAGGGCAAGGAACCTGGAAGCACATATAAAAGAGAGCGAAGAGCTACTCTACTCATATTCTGAAATTTCTGAGGGATAAAGGACAAGAGCAATTGCTATAGCGACGTGATGCATACAATACGAAAGATGTGAGGGAAGAAAATATATTAGATATTTACCTTGCAGGGGCATCATCACGAGGAAAAATCCCACACCTGCCACCACAGAATAACCGACTCTGCTGTATATCATGTAGGAGACGATCGCAGTCTGGATAAGACCTATCCACATGTCGTTCAAGAAGGTCAATACTTTCTCAAATGCGAAAACATCCTTCGTCATCAGAGTGATGATTTTTCCCATCGTGATATCAGATAGAGAGTTCGGTCCTAGCCTCAGCGCCTTCCTGTAGATCAAGGCTACTATGGAAGTCCTCACTCTGATGCCTATTTCGGTGATGAATTGTTGGTAGTTGTGGTTGTAGATGGTGCTGAGCAGGTTGAGACCTATCACTATGGCAGCGTTTTGATAGAGGTCGCTTCTTGACATGGGTCTGGTTTTTTTCGGATCGAAATAGGACACTACTTTTGCCAAAGCTGCCGGCTGTACCATTCTGAAATGGGTTACATAAAAAAATCAGTACATATATATACGCAAAAAATTGACCAAATTATTGACCAAGGTTTTCCAATTATTTTTTACGTTAGACTTTCGACATTCGAATAGAAGATATAGTTCTTCAAAACTCATTTTGTGTGTTCTGCTAGTGTTATGATCTGTGTTTGTACTTGAAGTGTTTCAGGTATGGTATTGTTTTTTTTGTTTGTTCATGGGAAACCATTCCTGTGCCTTTTCCACCGTTTTATTCGAGATGTCTAAAAGATTGTTCAATGACCAACTCACTGTTAGAATGTTTGTGTCATCCGCAAAATTTACAAGATTAATATTCTCATTACTCACAATATGTAAGGCTAAATCTATTATACAAGATATGAATAACGAAGGGACCATTATACTACCTTGAGGGGCACCTACCACTGTCGTAATTTCCTCTGAGTAATATTTAATTCCCTGGCAATTTATAACAACTTTTTGTTTACATTGTGTTAGGTAAGACTTCATCCAGTGATGAGCTGGACCTCTGATACCATATCTCTCCATTTTGTCTAACAAAATTTCATGATCCAGGCTGTCGATAGCTTTCGACAGGTCTAGAAAGATTTCCATTGATACATTTTTACTCTCAAATGCATTATATTATTATTCTCTAAGGACACGTGGTTATTAGAAATTTCCAGACTGGTTTTTTGAGTGTTTCTATGGAATATTATAATTTTTGCTCATTGTCTTATGGCTTTTTAATGGAATATAAACAACCGTCTATGTTTGGGATCTGTATTTATACATTCCATGAGTCAAGGTAATGAAAAATATTCACCAAAAACGCAAATTCCTATATGTGGAATCACATTATTTGATCATGAAAGTATATAATTATGTAGGTGTAGAACTCGGTTGTTGTTCGGTTGTTCTGGTTAGATAACATTTTACGAGTGTTTCAAATAATTGGACAATAAAAAATATTGATAGTTGTGTATGTACACGCTGTAGTAATTTGGGCTATAAATCAACTTGAAGAGTTTTTCAATTATTTCTAGGATGGCAGGTCTGGAAAAAAACCAGAAGATATACACTTCTAGGAATATTTTCCACCTATACAGTCATTTTTGCTTAGTTATGTTCGATGCTCTGAATATACAGGGTGATCCACGGTGCATGGCCTATTATTAGAAGTATCAGGAGCACCAAAATACAGAACATTCTGAAAATTAGGATGCTTTGATAATTGAACATTCTCTATCCGTCTAAAATATTTCCATCGATACAGTGTTGTCACTTCTATCTGAAACAACTAGCAACTTCGTTATTTTGAATAGAGCACCCTGTATTTCATTGCATTTTAGATTCTTCCTCGAGAACTGATTCCACCAATGCATCATACTTGGGGTCTAGCAGAAATGATTACAGAGATATAGGGTGTTAAAAATCTATATTTTTCAATTTTAGGATTTTTTTCTGTCGAAACTATATTCATTATCGATCAAAACGGCTCACATATTCCTATCTCAACTTTTGATTCACTATCTACTGACATTCAATTGGAACAGATACAGGGTGATCAGAATTCTGAATCTTGAAGCACCCTGTATTTTTTCCAATTAAATTTCAGTAGATAGTGAATCAAAAGTTAAGATAGGGACATGTGAGCCGTTTTGATCGATAATGAGTAGTTTTGACACAAAAAATCCTAAAATTGAAAAATCACGACTTTGAACACCCTATATCTCTGTAATCATTCCTGTTAGACCCCAAGTGTGATACATCGACGGAATCAGCTCTCCAGGAAGAATCTGAAGATGCAATAAAATACAGGGTGTTCCATTTGAAATAACAAAGTTGCTAGTTGTTTCTGATAGAAGTGGCAACATTGTATCTATGAAAATATTTTAGACGGATAGAGAACGTTCAATTATCAAAGCATCTCAGAATCTCTTCCGGAGTGGATCACCCTGTATTTTCTAAATGACCTGTTCGATGAATAGTATTCACGAGCGCCACTCTCAATTTGCAAAAAAAAACAGCAATTCACTTACACCAAAGATATTTTCACGATAAGTTGGATCAAACCGAGTATCAAATATCTTTTTCCGAAACATACTGTCAGTGCTCGGAGCAGCGATGGTTGTTTTTTGTTTTTTTGCTGCTTCAACCATTGGTCTTCTAGTGCGTCGCCCAATTTTTTGGATTCGAGGTACGGTATTATGTCGTATACGTCAGTGTCTTCTAGATCTTTCACATTGGATTTCTTGAATAAATTGATGGTATAGCTGAAATAGAGGAAAAATAGCGTTGAGATTAATTTCATTTCGAGGAGAAAAAAAGTTTTGGTGATCGTTCGAAAATTCATCATCATTCTAAGATTTTTGACCACCGCTGCTTGAATAAGAATGACAAGACCTCGCAGCCAATTGAGATATGAGCAACAAGTTATGTACTATCTTATAAAAATATTTATATTTCAGTAACAAGTGTGATAATTCCGAAAATTCCGGAAATTCATTTTCGACGAATAATTTTCAAAATATTCATGAGCTCGAAAAATTTTCCGGAAAGAATTCAACCTCTATTATCACAAGTCAAAATGCCACACCTTACATTTTCGACCAGCTTAAAGACTATACTTGTTTCTTTACCGTAGCAACTATAAACACATTTCCGGAAATATTTTTCACCTCCTTGGGGGAAATTACATTTACATTAAATTTTAGATTATGTCGAGAACATTCTACAAGTTGATAAGTTCCTTGTGAGGATATATATTTCTACCAACTATAGCTGGATGAATGGGCGTGTACACCTTGGTAGAACTTTTAACTCAAACCATGTTTATAATGATCCTTTCATACATAAATAATGATTGACGACATAATTCGATCGAAAAATTTACTGGAATGTTCAATATTTGGACATAAATAATAGTACCATCTGAAAACGGACCCTCTTATGACGTAGAAACCTCATCTCGCCATAGTTAAAAGAAAATACCAAACGCCGGACGGAGACTGAGGCAACTGATATTTTAATTCTTTCATCTGTGATCTCGCGCTAATTCACTCTGCCAGGAATCATGTATCATTCATCTCTGTCTGGAATAGTCCTGTTTCAGTATTAGGGTTTTGACGTCACATCATCGCCTCGTTTTCAGAGGTCCGAAAAATCGGGGATTTCAATAATTTTTTATAAAACGTAGGGAGCTCACAGCGATAAACGGTTTGCTGTGGTGAGCTAGTTTGGGTGAGTTCTATCGAATTATGGAATAAAATTTTTTTGTGATATAAGCCCATTGTCAACCCTTCAAAGAAAGTTGGTTGATTTTAACCTACTGTTCGTTTGTCTACCAACTATGACAGTGAACGAGCTGTAATAATATATTAGTAACACAACATAATATAGTTTAAATACTATCTTTAGAGTGATTTGAAATGGTTGCAGGTTGATTTCACCTTCCTTTTCGTTTGATTACCAACTTTAACAGTGAGCAAGCTGTAATGATATTTCAGTTACAATATAATATAGTTGAAATACTATCTTTAGTTTGATTTGAAATACTTATATGTTGATTATAACTTCCTATTCGTTTGTCTACCAAATATAACAGTGAGCGAGCTAATATGATATTTCAGTTACAGTTATAATGTTGTTGAAATACTATTCCTAGTTCGATTTGACTAATTTTCACAAATTATTGGTTGTAGCACAAAAATATTGTCAAAACCAACTAATATTTTTGGTTGACGTTGAATTTGTTCATGTACAATTTTTCCTCAATTGTTTTGACAATCACCTAATCATTGAATGTACCATCATTGTAGTTTTATTCAACAATTATGATGATGTTGTTGATTAAACACATTTTTTTGTCTATTCAACCCATACTATTTCTGCGAGCGCGAGCGCGGAATTTCAAATTATATTCACCTACGTCATTAAGTCCGATTTCAGATCAATAAGAATAATTCGAATCACGTGAACGTCAAAACAATCGGTACCCGCTATTCAAGGGAAAACAATGGGGAAATGCAAAGCGGATACTCACAAGAATGTCGAGATGGACAAAATGGAGGCCTTTTCTCTGGGATTTTCGAGCTTGGCGCTCCTATCTGCGGAATCCATATTGGTGAAGGTGGTTTGGAGACGAGGTCTCATCCATCTACGAAATCGAGAATTATCAGCAGATAATCCAGCTTCTAAATCATCCTAGATAAGATTCTCGAATCGGTGATAAACTACAGAAAAAAAGTTAGCAAAAGTCAAGTTTCTTCCTCGCCGAAATAGCCATTTATGTACAGGGTGATTCACCATAAATCTTCCTCCCTCTATATAGCTCAGTTATTTTTGAACCGATTGCAAAATTAAATATCATCTAAAATGATTTTGGGTAGTTTTTTTCCGCTACATCAGAAAATACAAGGTGCTCGGAACAAACGATCTACAGGGTACTATTTGATTTTTTAAAAAGGAACACCCTATTTTTCATTGTATTTTTAAATTCCCTCTGAAGAGCTGATTTCATCAATGTATCACACTTGGGGTCTAGCGAAAATGATTACAGAGATAAAGGGTGTTCAAAATCGAGATTTTTCAACTTTATGATTTTTCTGTGACGAAACTATTCATCATCGGTCGAAACGGTTTTCTCAACTTTTGATTTACTATCTACTGACATTTGATAATTGGAACAGATACTCAGTGATCAGAATTCTGAATCTTGAACCACACTGTATATGTTCCAATTAAATATCAGTAGAAAGTAAATCAAAAGTTGAGATAGGGACATTAATGCCGTTTTGACCAATAAGGAATTGTTACGACACAAAAAATCCTAAAGTTGAAAATTCTCGATTTTGAACCGTTTTGAACACCCTATATCTCTGTAATAATTCCCGCTAGACCCCAAGTGTGATGCATTGATGAAATCAGATCTTCAGAGAGACTCTTAAAATACAATGAAATACAGGGTGTTCCATTTGAAAAAATCAAGTAGTACCCTGTAGATCGTTTCGAGCACCCTGTATTTTCTGATGCAACAGGAAAAAAGATTCTGAAAAATCATTTCAGATAATTCTTCAAATTTTTGAATCGGTTCAACAATAAGTGAGCTAGAGGGGGGGGGCATTTATGGTGAATCACCCTGTACCAAAGGCGAAAAACTGTCTATTATAGTCGAGAATGCAAAATAATAGCCGAGGGCTTAAACATCCACGAAATCATTTAATTCTAAATGTTCAACAATAATTTTGTTTTATCTCTTGGAGCACACGAAAGGAAATTCCTATTATGTTCGTGTGGAACATCGTGCGTACCTAGGGAGGATAGGAAGAGGCCGTTTAAGCCAGTTCAACACTATTTTTTATATCAATCTAAGCATATTTTTACTTTTGAACTATATATTTTTTGACGTTTGTAGAAAAAATGTTGTTTGCAACTCAAGCGCGAAATACTGTGGTCTTGACTATTTTTTTAACGAGGCGTAGCATTTCGCACTCTAGATGGAAAAATAATTATTTTGTACCAAAGACGAAAAACTGTCTTATTATAGTCGAGTCTGCCAAACGAAGAATCAGGGTGGACAAATTTTTTCGTCGTTCAATTTTTATTTGATCAGTATATACCTTCTCAAAAAATTATATCTATTTCATGCTATACGAATTTCAAGGAAGAATAATGAAATAAAACTATATGACGTCAACACTTCATGTAGGTACTTTTAGTGAATGCAAACAAAGTATAATCTATTTCCAAAAAAATAGGAACAAACAAGAAAAATTCTCATAAAAAAATAATCGTATTCCTATTCTCAATTCAAAAATACTCACAAATATCACAAAATACAGTTACATAGGTACTTATGATATTCAAGTATATAAAAATCAGAAACGAATAGTGAAAATGAACAACAAGAATACAAAAGAAATAAAAAAAATTAACGTAAGAAACAAACTGTTATCACAGAAGTATATAAAAAATTGAATTTGATCTGAATCAGATAGAGTTTTGTCCTTTCATATCAGTATATACTGGGTGTATCTAAAAAACACCAAAAAAATTCGAGAGGCGATTCCTCGTGATATTTTAGGAAATAAAGTTCATATAAATATGTGTCCTAACTTGCATCGTTTTTGAGATACAGGATATTTCGATGAAAAATCTTTTTTCTATTCATTTCTCAATTGTCTTTTCATCAATTTTAATAAAACGTTGTGGTTTTGTTAATAGTAATATGGAGCTTTTTCTAGTGTAATTAGATTCGAAATAATATTTCCAGTGGCGTAACAGTGGGTAAATTTATCGGTATTTATGGTGTATGTCATTGTACACCATCGGTTTCATTGAGTTTTATATTTTTATCAGATCGAACTATTGAAATAACAACTTTTTCATCTTCTGTGTGATTTTTGTATCTAGCCTAGTTTTTGAGGAAACAATAAAAATTCGATTTGACCCCAAATTTCAAGTGTTTTCAAGACTTCTATGGAGATTACTCAATAACCTCAATTAGAATCATTCTGAAATTTTTGGGCTTTCTCAGTCTCCATCCATACTGAATTATGGCCCCATGAAAGCTTATACAAGGGGGCTATAAATAAAAACAATTACTACTTCCAACTTCAACATCCTGTATCTCAAAAACGCATGTTTATATGAACTTTATTTGTTAGAATGTGCTAAATCCATGCTGAATCAATCTGTCCCAATTTGAAGATGATTATTCCCATTTTGAAAATGATGAGTCTCAATTTGAAGTTGAAAAGGTATAGTATTAGCATCTAAATTGTATTAGGCAGTGTATGATACCTTATTCTTTCCAAACTATTGTAGGTACCCATCTGTCCACTGGAAATATCGCTGTAGCTATATTTTGCACTTGATCGTTTGGAATTCATCGATAAGTATGCAATTATCGAAGAAATTCATGATAACCGATAAGGTTTGGCTCCATTACCGATTACCCATTTTTGATATTATTTCGTGAATTTGAACGTTCATATTTTCCTAACAACACGCCTTTATTTATTCTGTGTGCTCAGTGTTATTTACAAAACTTTTTCTATGTTTAGAGTGCTAATATTTATAGTTTTCTGTTATGCACTCAGATTTAAGACGTAATAATAATAATAATAATCATAATAATAAATCGTGAAAAACCTCTTTTGACTTTGATGTTCACATTGAAGGAATCTGCGATCGATAACTATAAACTCAAATAGTAAATTGTCGATAATTACACCCGTTGTTTTTCAAAAGTATAATTTCTCGTAGCAACATTGTCACTTCTCTTACTGGATTTTATAGGCAACAACAAATTTCTTCTACAAACGTCAGAAAATTCACTCGATTATTAATTCAAAAGAGCATATTGGCAATCTCTCGAAAACTAGATATTGAAATTCAGTACGATATAGTCACCGAGCCATCTTCGGACGGCCGAAAGTGCCAGAAAACGGCGGAAATCCACGCGAATTATCGCTTTTCAAGTAGGAAATGACACGCTTAATCGAATGAAATCATGATCAGCCCGATAGGACAGATAGTTTTCGAGATATCGGCGCTCAAAGTCAGCTCTTCGCTTTTATTTCCAATAGGAGCATTCCGGTAGGCTACTTCGTCTCCATTTTCCAAAATTTCCTGATTCCCACCACAGATTCATTCATTACGACATCGAATTAGTCTATATGATTTTTTTCAGATTTTGAATAAGCCAAATAAAAATTTTCATTTTCTCACCTGAGACTTCCATACGATATAGTCACCGAGCCATCTTCGGACGGCTGAAAGTGCCAGAAAACGACGAAAATCCACGAGAATTATCGCATTCTGAGTAGAAAATGACACGCTGAATCGAATGAGACCATGATCAGCCCGATAGGACAGATAGTTTTCGAAATATCGGCGCTCAAAGTCAGCTTTTCGCTTTTATTGCCAATAGGAGCACTCCGGTAGGCTACTACGTTTCCATTTTCCAAAATTTCCTGATTTATACCACAGATTCGTTCTTTACGACATCGAATTAGTCTATGTGGATTTTTTCAGATTCTTAATAGTCAAAGTAAAAATTTTCATTTTCCCACCTTAGACTTCCGTACGATTTAGTCACCGAGCCATCTTCGGACGGCCGAAAGTGCCAGAAAACGACGGAAATCCACGCGAATTATCGCTTTTCGAGTAGAAAATGACACGCTGAATCGATTGAGAGCATGATCAGCCCGATAGGACAGATAGTTCTCGAGATATCGGCGCTCAAAGTCAGCAATTCGCTTTTATTGCCAATAGGTTACTACGTCTCCATTTTTCAAAATTTCTTGATTTCCACCACAGAATCGTTCATTACGACATCGAATTAGTCTATGTGAATTTTTTCAGATTTCTGATGAGCCAAATAAAAATTTTCATTTTCCTACCTAAGACTTCCGTACGATATAGTCACCGGGCCATCTTCGGACGGCCGAAAGTGCCAGAAAACAGCAAAAATCCACGCGAATTATCGCTTTCCTAGTAGGAAGTGATACGCTGAATCGAATGAGATCATGATCAGCCCGATAGAACAGATAGTTTTGAAGATATCGGCGCTCAAAGTCAGTTTTGAAGATATCGGCGCTCAAAGTCAGCTCTTCGCTTTTATTGTCAATGGGAGCACTCCGGTAGGCTACTACGTCTCCATTTTCCAAAATTTCGTGATTTCCACCACAGATTCGTTCATAACGACATCGAATTAGTCTATGTGAATTTTTTCAGATCTTCAATAGGCCAAATAAAAATTTTCATTTTTCCACCTGAGACTTAAACTTCAAAACAAAATCTTGATTCAGTTGATATGTGTGCCCTCCAAACATATATCTCCATCACATATACGGGGAGTGTGGCATTGTTTCTTCTTAAATTGAACACCCTGTATTTTATTGCATATATCTTGGAAATATCCACCTGAATCAATATCAATATTTTGAAATATTAAAATGATATTCTGGGTTTCCCTAAAAAAATTATTGAGATGAAAAGTGAGCATTTTCAATTTGCATGCCCGATTTCCGAATAATAAAGGAGGTAATAAAAGGGGTTTTGTGTCACAGAGTATATGGTGGAAATTTTCATCATGTACAGCCAATGAGATGAAAAACAAATTTTTACTTTCATGAACATGAATAGCTAACAGATCGCTTTTTGAATTATTGTTTCCTACCTTTATACTAAGCCATGAGGTCTGCTCTTCCACTCAAAAGGATCATCCTGTAGATACACTTTTTCCTTCTGATATCGATTTCACTAATACTACTTCAAAACTACTCTATAAATTGAAATTAAAAAAATATAAATGTAATGATGAATAATTGCATGTCCTTCCATTTATTGTTTTTTATTGAACTTCATAAAAACCAATGAATTCTCTTAACAAAATTTCCCATGCGATGTTCCGTTTTCCCCGATAACAGACTGAATGTGAATCCATTTCCACGGGCTTCTTTTAAATGACATCCAAGCCTGCGCACCACCAAAACTGTCTATAACTATTGGTGTGAGCTCTCTAACCACTTATGAACACATTATTACTCCCCCCTCATTTCATTAGTTAAATGATAATATATTATCGCATAATACCCGAAGAACGTAAATATAATTGGAAATATAACGTGGAATTTTCTTTTCATAATTCACCATTGGCGTATCATGGTAGGTATACATACAATATCAAAACGTGGTATAGATAAACGACCAAATTTGGAGAGTATACTTACCTACATATTGCCTGATATCGTCTCGCCCGTATTCCACCCTGTAGGTACTAATAAAGAAAATCAATTTTCAATTTAATCCACGTCTGAAAATATGTATTAGAGAATTGCCCGCAATGCCCGACTTCCAGTCAGCTGCTTATGATCTATAAGGCACAGATCCGACCTTTCCTAGAATACTGTTCCTATATTTGGAGTGCAGCACCCAAACATACCCTGAAACTGTTGGATTCTGTCCAAAACAGGGCAATTCGTCTCGTGGGTGATACCTCGCTCACAAACTCACTCACTTCTCTGGAAAAACGTAGGAAAGTTCGCGATCTGGCTCTATTTTATAGATATTTTCATGGACGATGCTCTTCTGAAATATCAAAAATTGTTCCTTCCTTGGCAGTCCCCGCGAGATTAACCCGTCGAGTTGAGGCTTCGCACCCTTTCGTGGTCACTTTGGAGACCTGCAGAACATCTCTTTCCAAAGACTCGTTCATCCAACGAACAGCGAGGCTCTGGAACACATTGCCAAGGCAGCTGTTCCCCGAGGCATATAACCTCCTGAAATTCGAGGAGAACACCAATTCCTACCTTATTTCCCTTGGTTCTCACGATGTTCTCTGAACATTACAGGATATCCCTTTTCGTGGGAACCAGAACATAAAAAAAGTTGTTAAGAAGGAACACCAACAGGCAGTTAGGTTCATTAGAATCGTTCTGAGGGGGACTATTCAGACAACAAAAAAAAAAACAATGAAATTCTCCTCCTTCTGGTGTACTTGAATTCTATTCATGAATGAAAAATATCCCGACCATTTAATGAAATTCCCAAATTGTTTCTGATTTCTTATTTTTCTTCGAATATTTCATGAGTATACATTTATATATATTCTTCATTCGTGGCATCATCATTCTGTCAAAGATCCAGATTGCTTCATGAGATTGTAAAAAACACCATCCTGATTGGCCAGTAGTGCACTGGGAGTATCAAATTCAACAATCTCTCCATGATCTACCACCAGAATCTACAAGAAATCAAATCAATCTCGACATTTCAATAATAATAATAATAATAATAATCATAATAGTAATGAAGCCAAAGCGAATTTTACATGGCTATTCTCACACATTTTCAATATCCGATCAAAATAAAAATTTTTGAATAACGCATTATATTGGAATCTATAAAACGTATATGATGTACATTTTCATTCTCTGCATAAGCTCAGATTTTATTTCAGGAAGAAAATTCGAAGGATTAGTTCTGGCTTCTTCACCATTTTGCTGACGTCATTCGTGAGATGCCATTTTCACAGAAAGCTAAGACGCGATTTCGCTACCGCGAATGTGACGTGAAAATTTCATAATTGCTTTAAATCGAAAATAAAAATAATTCGAATCATTGCTAGATTCTAGATTGCAAAAAACATGAAGCTAAGTATATCATCATCAATATTAATATAAAATTTCTGATTTTGGTCTTCCCATAGAAAAATTATTAAATTTGTACTAACCCTATCAGAATTTGAGACAGTATTCAATCTGTGCGCGATAGTCAGTACTGTACACTGCTCAAAGTTGTCCCTGATTGTATCCTGTAGTAATCTCGATGTCTCAGGGTCCATACTAGCTGTCGCCTCGTCCAACACTATAATCTTGTTCTGACTGACCAACGCTCTAGCTAGACAGATCAGTTGTTTTTGACCTGCACTGTAGTTGGAGCCGTTCTCTGCTATTTTGGCGTCCAGGCTAGGCACCAAATGTTTTATGTGCGATTTTTCTATGGCTGTCCAAATTACTTCGTCCGTATACTTTGAGGTTGGGTCTATGTTCAACCGAATAGTACCTAAAAAATAGTATATTATAGTATATTTTACAATTTGAAGTAAGTATAGTTGGATTGGTTGGTAACAATGACAAAACATTTGAATGTTTATTCCAAAATTTGACAGATTCATCGAACACAGTTCAACAAAAACAACTTTGTGTTATAGCCTCAGAAAAAAATATTTCTCGCAGTATGAGCACTACCTATATAGTTTTGAAATCGAGTAAGCTATAAAAAAACACTACTTCTCATAGCAGTTGTGAGAACATTACACTAAAAACCTTACCGGTGAACAAAATAGGATCCTGAGGTATTATAGCTATTAGAGACCTCAGAAACAATATCGACAGCTGCTTTATATCCTCTCCGTCGATCAGGATTCTCCCATCGATATCGTACAGCCTGAACAGAGTAGAAATTATAGACGATTTGCCCGCCCCAGTCCTACCGACTACTCCAATTTTCTCCCTAGGAAACGTCAAGAAGCTGACCTCTTTCAACACCTGTTGATTGGTCCGCTCGTACGTCAAAGAAACTCTGTCGTACTGTATGACACCTTGGGTTGGCCAGTTTTCTCTAATCAAACCTTCAGTTTTATGTTCGGTCTTGATGTCCGTGTATTCCAGAACTCTTTCCACGGCTGTCATATTGTTTTCTAGTTCGGAATAGTACCTTATCGCCCACTGCAACAAGCCTGTCAACATCATGGCCTGCGAAATTGCAAGCCCTACGTCACCAGCAGCTGAATCTGGAAGACATTGCAACAATTTCAAAGGTTCTCATTCGAAGGTATGCCCTACCTGTGTCGATAAAAATAAACTTCATCACTATCGCTGCCGTGAAACTGACGGATATCAAGTCCAGATAGTACCCAAACGCTCTGGTAGTGCATATCATCATATAGTAAGCCGAGGTATAGTGGTCTTGGTGTTTGTCGAACTCCTCGACCAGCACTGGTTGCTTATCGTAAGCCCTTATCGTCGTCAGACCTTCTAGGGAAGCATTCAAGTATCCGATCATAGGACTCCTAGCTGAAAATCGCAACTAGAGGCGAGAGCTAACTTCCAGCGTTCGACTTACTAGCTGCATCTAATCTCTTCATGCTCCTGCCTGTTGGTATGTATAGTCTCCTCACGAAGTACATTTTCACGAGCAGTGGCGCTGCTGGTAGAAGTAAGGATAAGTTTACAGATGCTATCAGGTATATTATTCCGATGAAGGCCAGAGTCAGCTAAAATCAGAAAGGCATAGAAAGTAACACAGTAATGTGGAAGTGCTTACTCTGAAGATTTCGTAGACAACAAGTGGCAAAACTTCATCGGTCGTATTCAGATCCTTGGAGAATCTGTTGATGATGTTCCCGAGGTAATGCCCATCGAAGAAGGTCATGAAAGAGTTCATAACGGAGGTGGCCATGGTTTTGTGTAGTTTCCTAGCTGCCACTAGAGCAGACCGGTACATCAACAGGTAAACTCTCAGGAATATCAAAACTGATGCTGTTACGATCAAGAGACAGTATAGATTTAGGTAATTGCGACGTTGCTCAGTTGTTTCTTGGTATTCCGTAGTGTTTGTCAGGTTCTTAGCTATCATGTCAGAGAGCTTAGGTTCGGTATTTACCCTAGAACAGAACATTACAAGTCTCATCGACTGATGTAGATTCGATCGCTTACCATTGGCTCAGGAGTTTCTCTGAGTAAGACGAGGCCATCTGACACATGACAAAAACAGCAAGTACCAGGAAAAATATGAGTATTCCCCCAGCAAACTTGTAGTACTTGAAGTAAACAGCCATACGGACTTTGCCTGCCTGTTTTTCTTCGTGATACAGATTGTTAGTATCATTATCGTCGATGTCTTCGAGTAGATACGTTTTCTCATCAGGTTCTTCAGAAATCTGTTCTTCTTCTGGATCTTCGTTATATTCCTCAAAGTGGTTGAAGTCCACGTCATCGATGTAGTAAGTTATTCTTCTGTCCAACATGGATTTCTGCTGATCGAGTGATAAGGTAGTGCCATCTTCTATGAACAAAGTGTTCTTACCGTTCACCATCTTGATATGGTTGACATTATGGGTAACTAGAACAACGATTTTGTCCTTCAAGAATTCCAGAACGCATTTTTTGAAAACGTAGAGGTTTACTTTGTTGTCCAAAGCTGAAAGACAGTCGTCTAATAGGTAGACATCGCTTTTTCTATACACAGCCCTAGCCAAGTTTATTCTGGCCTGCTGGCCCTTACTGAGATTCACCCCTCTGTCTCCTAGAATGGTTTCATCCCCGTTCTTGAACCTAGAGAAGTCTGTTTTCAGAGCGCACACCCTCACTACTTCCTTGTATCTACTTTCATTGTATTTTTCCCCGAAGAGTATATTTTGTCTGATAGTGGCTGGAAACAGCCAAGGATCTTGCGATGCATAGGATATGGTACCGTCTACAACCATGTGACCGTCTCTTGGATAGTCACCGATGATGGTCTTGAGCAAAGATGACTTTCCACTACCGACATTACCAGTTACTAGGAAAAGCCCTTGGCTCACTTCCATTGAAATGTCCTTCAGAATCTGCGTTCCAGACACTTTGACAGACACGTGGTTTAGGTGTATTTTTGGCTCGGTAGCATTGAGCTTTTGCTGGCTGGTTTCTTCTGTGCTCAAAAACTCTTGCAGTCTGTTCAGAGCAGCGTATACCTCTGAACATTGGGCTATGCCGTAAGGTATAGAGATGGAGATGTAACTCTTCAAGCTCTGGAAGCAGCTCTGGATGAAGTATACTGTTTGGGCGTCTGCCAAGTTGCCAGTCCAGATGTAGGTCATCAGGAGTAGGAAGAAAGCCATGTTGGAGGCTAGACCTCCTACGATGAGCACGATGCATTTGAGGTAGTAGACTGGGGCTAAGTTGTCCAGTTCATCTCTGGAATAGGATGATATGAGAACTTTGGCAGTTTGGTTCACCTACTTTTACAGGGTCATTCCATATAATTAAACAGCTTCTACAAGGTGTATCATTGAAGATAGAAAAAACTTCAGATACAGAAGTTGTAGGTTTTGTTCTTTCTGAACCTCCGTAAAATTGAACGAGGTGAAACAAATGAATATCACTGATATAAGGAGTCGGTATCAACTTCGTTATTTTCAATGGAACATTTTCCAAATGAATTGTATATATTCCTTTTCTGATTTCTGAAGAAAAATGGACATTAATTTGAACAATTCAATGAATAAGTTACTGAATAATTTCGAAATTCAATAGTTTTAGTGAATATTTAATCAGGTGCTCATTCTAAATTATAAACTTTTTATTACTATTTATTTGTTACTATCAGGTAACTAAGTTTTGTGTTTTGTTAGTTAATCAGTGTTGGTATTGTTTTTGTCCTCTTCATGGAAAAATCAGAGGAAATATTCCTTTACTTGGAACTTTTTTATATGAAAAATCCTTTCAATCTGTTCAAAATTCAATGTTTTAGTGATTTTGGAACATTTTTAGATTCTCATATTCATACATTACATATCATTTTGAAATAAAAAAATAAGGAATTCAATGAGCGGATAAAATACAGGGTGTTCCATTTGAAAAATCATAAGTTTGAGTCGTATCTCCAAAACCATACCCCGAAAAAAAAAAAGAGTGTGCCACTAGATTCTGCGTAAAATTCTCTATGGGATAAGATTTCAATTTGACATTTTCGCTTAGAAACTTCGTAAATATAAAGGGGGTGCAAAAATTATAAATTTTCAAAATCGCCCTGTATCTCATAAACGGAAACAGTTATGCAAAATCTAATTAGGACATCTTGAGTTTGACAAAAAAGTGGCACATGACCGCGAAAACCGCAAGGTTCTATCCCCCGTGCGCTCAAAGCGATAAAAAAAATAAAAAAAGCATCGAAAACTGGACACACTGTACATACTTCCTGAGGTGGATGATTTTGTTGATGAAGAAGTCTTCCCAAGTATACATTTTGATAGTTTTTATGGCGGATAGGGCCTCTGTAGTGAATTGTAGACGTTCGTCTGTCTTCTTGGCTGAACTGACTCTCATCAAGCTAGACTTTTTTCCGAGATATACTAAAAAATCCAGAAGTTTTTGGGTTGTTGAGTCAGATACCCAGACAGCACCAGGTATTCCATGAATATTCATAGAATATTATTTCTGGATATTGATGGGAATATTCATGAACTCATCTCTGAATATTTTTTCTGGAATATACCGTGTATATTATTTCGGAATATTACTAGAATTTTCAAATTTGAATATTCTTTGGATATTCCAGAGGCACATATACAGTGTGACTCACTTCTAGTGGAAACACCCTTGGAGTGAGATATACCGGGTGGCTACGGAAGTATTGCCTACGGAATATCTTAGTTATTGATAGTTATTGTATGAAGTAGGTTTGTGAAATTTGGAGCGTCGATATAATGACATAAGAGCTAGAATTTGAGCATATTGACATGTCGAAGTTAACTTCCGGTCTGACCGGAAGTAACATCAACTTTCATATTTTAAATGGAAACCCTTTTTTTTTCTTTTCGCTTCATTCAGCATTCAATTCCCTTTCTAATGACATATTACAAGTTGGTATCTAATTCATTTTATCTTTAATCCTATCAATTTGAATTTTTTTTTTTCGATAAATCTGTTTTTTTGTTTTTTGGAGAATAATAATTGGATTTTTTGGTATTTCATTTCAAAAAATGACTTTCTATTATATCATTAGAAAGGAATGGTTATGCTGAATAGTACAGGCAAGAAAAAGTTGTATGTTTCTATTTAAGTTATGGACCTACAGAGTATTGTTTTTTCCCAATTTTTCCAATATTTTTTTTGGCGGCTTTTTATAACGCCGACGAATGAAAATAAAATATCACAGTAGTAGCAACTGTTATCAAGTGACGTATGGTTTCCATAGCCAACTTTTCAATTTTTGGCTTTCATTTTGCTTCCACGGCCTACTCGGTGAATTTCAATAATAATTTTTTTCTGATCTTGTTTCTGGTTAGATACCAACTTGTGATATACACGGAATATACCAGAAAAAATATTCAGAGATGAGAATGCCAAGAATATTCTAGTTGGATTGTTCAGGGAATATTCTAGGAATATTCGATTGATATTCGGAATATACTCTTCTCTTTTAGGACATTAAGAGAATATTCTAGGAATATCCAGTGCTGTCTGGGTAGAGATACTCACGCTGTAGAGGGATGATGAGCAAATAGAACCCCAAACCGACTAGTACCGATATCCCAATCCTCCTGTAGATGATGAAAGCGATGATGCCAGTTTGTATGACCCCAATCCACATGTCGTTGACATACGTCAAAGCGTTCTCGAAAGCAGTCACATCTTTGGTTATCAAGGTGACGATTTTGCCCGTTGAGGTTTTGGAAAACGATTCTGGGCCTAGTCTTAGGGATTTTCTGTACACTAGAGCCGAGACAGCCGTTTTGACTTTGATTCCTACCTCGTTGACTAACTGATCGTAGTTGTGATTGTACACAGTGATAAGGAAATTCAAGCCGATTACTATAGCTGCGTATTTGTAAAGTTCGGATTCCGAGATGCTCTGCTGTCCTGGCTGAAAATAAGATACCAGTTTGCCCAATGCCTCCGGTTGAACGAATCTGGAAATTATAAGGTCGTAAACACTTGATGAAAATGATTCGTTTCTTACATGACGGCAGTCCTGACGCAGAATTGCAGAATACCTAATAGCACGTATGTCTTTCCGAAACAGGACAAAAGTGCTTTTAGTAGGGATGGATCACGTTGGTTCTGTTGCACCATCCATTTTTCTTGTAGTTTTTGTCCCAATTTTGCTGATTCTAGGCAAGGCCTGACCTGATAAACATCATTGTCATCTAGGGCTTGTTTCCTGGATTTTTTGAATAGTCTGTATGTATAGCTGGAAAATATTGACAATTAAATCTGATTTTTTCACGGCTATCACACAAAATTTCTCTTGTTTTACTGTGTTCGATAAATCAATGAGGTACTTTGTATGTCATCAATTTCATTTCCGTATCTGATGTCACAATGACTTCATTGTGATATTATTTCACAAAATCCCCATGAAATGTCAAAATTCAAGCAATGACAGCAGATCTGTCTAATAGCCGAAGAAATGATGTTATCTTTACAGTCGTAGAAGTAGTATAGTGTATAACTCGCTCGGAATGCTGATTTCCCACGGCTCATGCTGCAAACTTCATTCTCGTGGGAAATAGCTATCATTGCGTGCTCGTTGAACAATATACTATTTTTACATTGTGGTATATGATTTAATTATTATATGAGTGAGAGATGAAGTGTTGGTGGGTATGGTGTACTCACAAAAAAGTTATTATGGATAGAAAAGATGCCTTTTCGCGTGGATTGGTCTTTTTGATTCTTCTATAACCTTCATCCATATCGACTAATCGATTAAGTAACTAAATTCAATTGTATTTTTGATTCAAAGTGTATGTATGATTATCTTTCGATAATAACATTCACAATAAATTGATAATGATGATAAGATTTTTGATGAAGTGGTATATCACAAATCAGAGCAACTGTTCAAATACCTATGTTTTCTTCTTCGAAACCTCAGAAAATGATTACATTCTAATAACGAGAGGTATAGAAAAAACAGGTTGAGCTAAGTATGTTATTTTTATGACTATTTCTCAACTTGAGATACATGAGAACCATATGAAGTAATCTGAATCCTAAATGAAATATCTGGATATGAAAAAGCAGTTAAAAAAGTTGAAACCTAAGAAGGCGGCTGGAATAAATGGAATTCCACCCTATATACTGAAAGGTGTGAGCGAGTAGTTAGGAATATCGCTGAATTTCCAAATTTATGGAAAACAGCTGTAGTTACTTCCATCTTCAAATTTTGAAAATGTTAGAGACTGTATCGATATGTTGAGAATATAGTATAGTTCCTCAACAACATGGTTTTGTTACCAAAAAATCTGTTAGTACAAATTTATTCAGCTTTGTTAGTACAGGGTATGAAACACTTGAAAGTAAGTCACAACTTGATGTCATATTTACTGATTTCCGAAAGGCTTTCGATATAGTTGATCACGATGTTCTACTAGCAAAACTGAGTGAGTTTGGTTTTTCTGAAGGCACACTCAAAGTGTTCGGAAGTTACCTTGAAAATATATTTTTAGTAGTCAAGCAAAATGGAAATACCACAGGGAAATTTGAAGCTAATTCGGGAGTACCACAACGTTCCAATTTGGGACCATTATACTTTTTGTTATATCATCAATGACTCGCCCTCAGTTCTCAGGTACTCGAGGTGTTTACTATTTGCAGATAATCTGAAGATTTTCAATAAAATTGACACTATTAGATACTGTGTTAGGTTAGGTTAGGTTCCATGTGAGTGGGGCGAATACCTCCCCTCCACTGCGACCCCAGATGGGTCTATTGTGGCTCACCCCTAGAGGTTACAGTTCACCGTACAATCCACATTTTTTCACAAAGTTCATGGTTGAATTGAGTGAGATTTGTCTGAAATCGATAGGTAGAGCATGAACATAAAATGTGTTCAGCCGTTTCGTTTTCCACACAACAGAACCGACAGTCCGTTTGTTGGTTCAGACCCATCCTTCCCAGGTGGTATCTCAGACGACAGTGTCCCGTAAGCAGTCCAGTCAGAAATCGCAGGTTACCCCTGCTCCATTCTAGGATCTGCCTGGTTATTTTTTCCGATGGTTTAGGCAGGAACGCCTTCGAATGGTTTAATCCTGGTAATTCAGACCAGCACATGAGTGTTTTTGCCTCCGCCCAGCCCGAGATAGTTGTTTTCGCCGCACTTGCGGTGACCCCAAAATATGGTTGTGGTCCTATGAACACAGATTCGGTTCCCTGTTTGGCGAGGATGTCGGCTTTCTCGTTACCCTCCACCACCTGGTGTCCAGGCACCCACAGCAAAGTGACTCTGTTGTTAGCACCCAGGCATTCTAGGGATTCAATACGCAGCTCAGCCTGACTGTCTGATACAATGCTGATATTTTTGTTTTCTAGAGGTTTATTCGACAACTCTTAGCACACAATTCAATTGCGAATACCTCCGCCTGAAAGATTGTAGCATATTTGCCGAGATTGACGGAAATCTTTGTTTATACGTCCATGGAAATTTCCGTCTTCGGTTTTCTGCTGATACTGTGTTATGTTGCCAAAGGACTCAGAATGTGTTTGTGAGTGGAGCCGGAAAAATAAACTATTTTTCAACCTGAGAAAATGTAGTGTCATGAGGATAAGGAAGCTGAGAGATTCAATAATCTTCAATTATATCATGCAAGATGACGAATTGCAAAGTGTTAGGAGATAAAAGACCTGGGTTTTACATTATGACCATATGCTATCTTTTTCAAATCATGTGAGAAATATAACCAGAGCAGCAAACCGTTTGTTAGGTATTATAATAAGGCAGACATCAAAATTTACCAATAAAGAAACTATAAAGATTATATTCACTCTATTCAGATCTAAACTCGAATTCGGTTCAGAAATTTGGTTAGGAGAATATCAAACTAAGCTATTTGAAATAGAAAAAATTCAGAACAAATTTCTAAGGTATGTGTGTGTGAAAACTATCGAATTTATCCCGACTACAATATAGTAAGAACTTTTCAGTGAGAAATGAGTTCAAAGTGAAGTCTCTGGGCGAACGAAGAAATCTGAATATAAGGAAAGGACAGGAAAGTAGTTGTTTTTCTCCCGAAATCTGCCATTGTTGTTCATTTAATGAACATTGTGTGGAAATGACTTTGAGTGTTTTGTATTTATTTAACATTTCATTCCACTTTGTTCGTAGTTGGAATGTAATAAGGCCTCGTTGAATATATACACCCTGTATAATAGCAATATTGGTGACGGTTTTTACGAGACCAAACAAAAAACCTCTAAAATCTGATAGCTGATAGCACTAAATGTTGGTATTCAATTCGGTGTTTTCACGACTCTTGAATAGTTTTGTGTTGAAAATGTCTGGAGAAATCCAGCATACCAGAGTTGAGGATGTCTTCAACTTCCCTGAAAGAAATGAAAGTGGAAATCTCAAGCGAATCAAGTTGACAGTTGAAGAACCTAAAAAAACTGTAAGTATAAATTTTTTTAGCCTATATTAACTACTGCCCCAGTTGAAATGTGAATTTTTTTTCTGCTTTGAACAATTTGAATTCGGATCACACTGTTCGCAAACCCAGTCCTTTAGCTATAATCTTGTACTTCTTCGAAATAGAAGATCGCTACAGGGTGCACCTGAAACTGTGCAAAATTTCGGAATTTTCAAAAGGATCCCAAATTAACGAGAACTATTTCAATTTTGATAGCGGAGGCATGCAGATGATCTCATTATCTTGGAATATTTTTTGAATTGTCATATTCACAGAGTGATCGCAAAAAACAAAATCTTTGGTTTTGCAGTCATAACTCTTTTCTTCGTCTACCGATTTTCAAAGTCTCAGGCTCATTTTGGAGCATTAACTGCAGATGTAGAGATATGAATATCAGAATTGACTCAAGATGAACATTATACAGTGTGTTCCACTTCTAATGGAAGCATCCCAGTATCTTTCGTAATTGTTGAGTAAGGATTCTGAAATTCGCAGGAGCGATAGATATACTAAAAATCACACTATGACCAAGTGGAGTCATCTCCAGGGATATACACTGCTCGCCAACAGCCTACAGCCTACATAAAAAATTCAAAGTCAAATCGAATTTTAATTTCTTCTCCAAGAACAATGCACAAAAGGGACAAGAAAATTGTATATTGAATTGTACAATATAATAAGAATATGAAACTCCACTATCACACCAATAACAACCACGTTTCATTGAAATTGAGAAAAATACGTTTGAATAATTAATACAACGACGATATTTTCTGAAAACATTGATACCCTGTATCTCCAAATCAGAGCAAGTTATAACACATGTTTTCAAGCACTTTTCTCGTGAAATATGACGAGGAACCACCCTCTAAATTTTTTCGCACCTATATTTTGTATACTGTATACAGGGTGGACCAATAGTGTGACAAAGCGGGATAGCAACTCTGCTATTAGAGATAGAAGAAAAAAAATTCTTCAGGAGTTGTAAGTCCAATAAGAGATGCATACTTTAAAATCATTCTTTATTCTACTGTGTGTCATATCGAACTTATGTTTTTTTAAATGGAATACTCTGTATTTCATTGCATATTTATATCCTCTCTGATGAATAGTTTCGACCCAAAAAATTCTCCCTATATCTTGGTATTCATTCTCGTTAGACCCCAAGTGTGCTAGATCGTTGAGTTCAGCTCACCAGAGAGAATATAAAACTGCAATAAAATACAGGGTGTTCCATTTGAAAAATCATGAGTTTTATATGTCACACCTTTTTGAGACACACTGTAATGGAGGATAATTTGAAATATGCATCTCTCAGACCTACAACTCCTGTAGAAATTTTGTTCTTCCATCTCTGATAGCAGAGCTGCAATCTCACTCTATCACATATTGGTCCACCCTGTATATTGTATATCGCAACATATATTTTTCTTGAAAATACAAATAAACTGAATACTCCAGAGGCGTGCTGTTCTTCCATTTTTGTGATACCATAGATCTAATTACACAATTAGATCTATGGTGATACTAATCCTCAAAATTCTAGCAATTGGGGTGCGACATTTGCAAAATATCAGTAACCAGCCCGAAAATTCTCCAAAGACATTTGGAAGGAAAGAGACACAAGATAAGAGCAGAGAGAGACGGAAAGATCTTCAGATGCGAACTGTGTAACGTCACGGCCAATAGCGAGACTCAGCTTAGCATCCATTTAAACAGTAAGCTTTTTTGAATGCGGAAAATGATGTTTTTCTACGGCTATAACACAAGATTGCTCTTGTTTTACTGTGTTCGATACATCAATGAGGAACTTTGTCAATTTTATTTCTGTATCTGATATCACAATGACTCCATTTTGTGTTATTATTTCAAAATGAAACTATTTGACAGGAAATCAGATGGCTACAAGACGAAGAAATCGAAAATACCGCCGTTATCTATTATAGCAGTAAAAAAATTATAGTGTATAACTCTGACATTTGCCATCAGACATACTGTGAAGAAAATAAAATTGTTGCAAAAATTAGAGAATGCAATTAATTATATAATATGCAAATAATGTATTCTTTTGTTTTTATAGGTGCCAAACATAAGATGAGGTTGAACAGAAAAGAATATGCAGATTTTACTAGCCTTTATAGCAACAAGGGTATATGGATTATATTGTTTTGTGTGTTATGTTTATTTGCCAATTTGTTGTTATTATTCAAAATGTGTCTGTGAAATAGTGAAATGTTATTTAGGTATTATGTCGTATTTTGTAGCCGCTTGCTTACATTTTTATTGTTATGCTGTGAAATTTTAGTGTATTTATTGAATTATTATTTATTCCTACCGTAAATAGGTTTTTGTACTATATTTTCATAATAAAAATTGAATTTGAAAGTTTTACTGACACCTATCGGCAAAGTTCAGTGGCTATAGATGACATGAATAGTTACATGCACGATTACAGGTTTCTCTTTGCGAATGCTAAATTTGCATTACAGATTCCATGTTCAGGTATTTTGATATTTTACGCTCACGCTGGACAGAGATTATATTATTCTGCTCTGGGTAAATGCAGTCAACGGTTATTTTATTCATTTAATAATTTTACCAGAGATTAATTATCTACCAATAATAATTGATATAATAATAATTAATATTGTAGGTAATAAATCGTATAAATTCATTCTAAAATACATTTTAGCCAATGCAATCGTACAAATCAGAGATGGAATGAATAATGAGATGATTAGGAGGTAGCTGCAACTTTAGAGGTACCGACAACTTACAACTGAATTATACTAAACACTGGAATGAATGCTCATTCACCCAAAAGCGCAAATCTTTCCACAGAGTTTGATGGAATTGAAAATAACTGCAGATTGGGGGATTTTGAAAGCCTATTTTTTCGACATATATGACACAAGAGTGTTTTAGCACAAGTGATGGAATGGATATGATAACAACTGACAACCTGATTAATTATGATTTTGGCCACTAGGTAGGTATATTCGTGGTGGTCTTGACTAGCTCATATTGTATTTCGAAGGTTTTCCCGGATTTTTTCAACCGTTTCAACACGAATCACACCGGAAGTTGAATTATAAGCCTCACACTGTCATTACCTTGGGTATAGAACATCAGACTATTGTTAGAATTCGACAATAGAATTGTAATTAGTGACGAAAAATCATCGAGAATGTATCGAATTCCGTATAAGATTAGGCAAAACACTGAGCATGACTAATTCCAAAATGATTAGCAGGTGTAGTTTTCAATTGTTGCTAAACATTGCAAAATACTTAGATTTAAGGGAAGTGTTCAAGTTGTATATTTAAATATAGCAATAAAAAATCTCTACATATACAATGTATATGTTTACGTATACTCAAATGAATCGTTCATATTGTCAGAATCAGAATTCAACAATATTTTTTGAGGTGATATTCATTTGAATAATTGAATGTTACTTATTTGATTGAGAATTTTTTTTAGCATGATAAAAATGTATGATTCACAAATCGCCCTATTTTGACAAATGACATTTCGAAATTAGTAGATAAAATGAATATACTTGGGGTGTATACAAAACATTTGGTCTGAACGAATTGTTTGAATAAAAAATCCAAGCATGACTTCTAATAGATATCAATTGATGGGAATGTCGGAAAATCTATGTGTAAATCCTGAGGAGATTCAGGTCATTCAAGAATTTTTTAAATTCAATGTTTTAGTGGAAGAAAATGTTGAATATTCAATGAATATTGAATCAAGAGTAAGATGAAGCTTGACGAAAGCCTCAATATATTTTATATGAATTATGAAACATTCACTCAGATTCCGAAAATTATGAATGATTAATGTTTATGATAACTGAACCGAAATAATTTTGGTTTGACCCATATGCAAAAAAACAGACAATGTGTTGAAGTAAAAGATCATCAGGTAACAAGTTCATTTTGTTTGTCTCCATTCTTGGTGCCAAACAAAACAATAATATGAACAGAGGCGTAACAAGCTTGATGAAGATATCATAATTTTTCCTTGAAAGACTGCAAACTTTCTATGACGAATTTGAAATTTTTTCTAAATGGAAGTTTTTCGAATATGTAGTCAGTCTAAAATATCTGTGAGAATAGTAGGCCGATTTTTATTTTTTTTATTTGTTGGTAGGTAAAATGCATTTGTCTTAGAAAAAAATAAAGAGGTGGAATTTTTTTCAAAGCCTCCTTGACGGTGGTGGAATAACTCGAACCATGATTTATTCTTGATTTTTGACTCACCCTGTGTGTTAATTGAGTAATGGCATAGAAAGTGCTTACACCCTATACGAAAGAGGCTTCTTGCGCAAGCATTTCGTTTTTTTATTCATTGATTTATCTCTAAAATTTTCCGAATAACAGCTTTTTTTGCTGAATCCTTGCAGATTACCAACTTTCTGAATTTATCGAGAAACAATTTTCTAATGAAATAAACTGATACCAATAATTTTAAAAAACATTTTTATTAAACACAAAATTATAAATTGGGATGACTGCTTAATACCGTGTATTGCCTCCTCTAGCAACTCTAAGAACTTCTAATCTACGAGGCATACTGGAAATTAAGTTGCTTATCGTTTCCATTGTTATACGATCCCATTCTTCTACTAATGCATCTGCCATTTCTGCGAGACTTTCCGGAGACCTCTCGCGAGAACGTACCCTTCTCCCTAATTCATCCCACAATTGTTCTATAGGATTCATATCGGGGCTTCTCGCAGGCCATTTCAATGTGGTATTACCAGTAGCTTCTAAGAAGTTTCGCACTATTGCTGCGGTGTGGGCTTTGAAAAAATTTTCACCTCTTTATTTTTTTTTAAAGACTAATGCATTACCTACCAACAAATTAAAAAAAAATCGGCCTACATTTTTTTTTGTTGAGAAGATAGGTCAAATATCAAGTGCGTCACTTTTTTTGGAACTGAGTGTATAAATATTTCAGTGGAATTATGGAAATGTTAGAAAATTTCAGTGAACTTCTCAACCGAAACAGTGTTTGGATGATTTCTTTTTTCTTTGTATGTTTATGACAGGACTCGAAATTTTAGTAGATGGTACCACCACTGGTGGGCAAAGTAGGTACCTATACCAGATGAGACGAGTTGCGGTGACGCAAGGTCATCATGTCAAGGTACTGCTTAAAATTCAGGCTGTTTTCTTATTCATTCGCCAAACACCTACAAAATAATTCATACGGCATTGTACAACTTATACTATGAAAGGTATTTCTGCAGAATTTTTATGAGAACCAAAATCATCCATAGGTTCGATCTGATAAGGTATACATACGTGCGAATAAAAATTGAAATTAAAAACCGCATATAAAATCAGAAAACCTTTTTTCTACTACTGCTATGGAAAGGTAGCGCATTTCTCATAGCTTACTTAGTTTCAAAACCATGTATTGCCCATACTGTGAGAAATATTTTTTCTCACGGCACTTTGCCAACACCACATACATTTCCATTGAGAATCAACAAAAATCGACCAAAACTTGGCTGCTGTTCAGCTTTGAATAGTTGTCACAACTGTCAGAAGAAGTTTTTTAAATTCTTTAGGGTAGTTCTCATTAGTGCTTTTGATAGAAATCGCATTTTCCATCAAATATTGTTCCAACAATTCATAATAAATAATATAATGTATATACCGAGATGTGACGATTTTGATAATTACACCGCCAGAGACAGAGATAATAGAAAAAGCTGCGAAAGTTGGATTTGTTTCCGGAAATTTCAAGAAAAAAGTATGAATTGGCATATTGGTACGAAAAATTTATGGAATCTAAAAAAATACAGAAATGAAATCTTTTTCGGAAAGTGTACTTTTTTGAAAAACTTTGAGGAACTAGGAAAGGCGTCTACTCTTTGGTCACAATATTCAATGTGGCATAGTGCCACATTATAAAATGGATTCTTTGAATAAGTGCAGTTGTAGAAAAAGTATAGTGTGCAACATGTGGGAAAAAGCACCATTCTCACTCGTGCGTTTGCATCACTCGCCCTTCAGGCTCGTTCCACAAACTTTCGCCCTCGTGGGAAAAGTTGAACTTTTCCCACTTGTTGCACAATATACTATTTTTTTGTGTTTTGATTCGATTCAAACACTAAAACTTCTCTTTTGAGCGACATAAAAATATGAAGTCACTCAACTGTGATTGATTATTGGTATTTCCAGTCATTTTCCACAAATCATTAACCTCTATAATTTTTTTGTTTCTATGAATAAACAAATGAAATTTGGTGTGTGAGTATAGTACCTGAATATGCATTATTTGACGTATTTATATTTGACGCCAAGAGAAATTGCTGAAAATTATTTTCGAGTTTGTCAAACGTCCGCTAGAGGGCGTAACAACCAACACCAAGTAGAAAAATGGGATTATTATAGAATTTTGTTCAATGAAAGTATATCGATGATAGCATTTTCATATTGAATGACCATTTCCCTACATTTTTTGTCTGAAACGTTTTGTTCTATCTATCAAAAAGAAGTGGTGGGGGAAGTTCAATTGTTTTTTTAAACAAACCAAGATTTCTCCAGTTTATTCCGACCGATTTTAGCAAACTTGAACTTGAATGAACCTGTGAAACTGATGAAAAGTGAAACTTCATCAATTTTTCCCTGGCAACTTGATTCGAAATCAACTGTTTTAACTATGAAAATTTGAGGATGATAAAAATGTCAAATAAGGCGGCATTGTACTCATAATTTCATTCCCAACCAAATTAAGTAACAATATACCTGGTGTCAAACCGGAAGTGACGGAAAATAATTGAATACGTCAAATATTGCATATTTATGCACTATACTTACCCACCGAATTTCATTTGTTTACCTTTATAAACAGAAAACTTATATGAGTGAACCACTTTTCAGAAACACCCGGTATATATCGTTTTCTAAATTAGACGGCCAGTTGAATTGCTTATAGCATCAAGAAATTTCTCCAGCCTAGATGTTATAACGTAATTTCAAGTTTCTTTTGTGGTAATGTAGGTAATACTGCAGTGCAAATTATCTGTCTGATTTGAAAATATTGTCATAATTGGCTTCCTTGCATAATTTAAATAATTTACACAGAGATAGTTGTAGGTATACGATATTTATAAACAAAAACATGGAATGCTATGGGCTCTCTCTACAATCATGAAAGGTGTTAGATATCTATATAATGTTAAAAACCATTCCATCAGCATTTTTTCATGCCAACCCTGTTCAATATAAAATATTGGAATTTTGACATATTTAAAAACGTAACATTTCGCATTTGTTGATGCAATTTAGTTACATGGTTTTGTGAAAAAATCTCATGTTTCGATTTTCGTTCAAATGGAACATATTCACCCTGTTTTTTTTTTATTGTGTTAGATATCTATTGCATTGATCATGCTTTGGGTATTTCATCGATTTTTTTTGTTCTTCTGCGTTTTTTCTGAAAATAAAGAATTCAATGATGAAAATATAAACGAATTACTCTTTATGAAATATTGCACTAAAAAATTCAAAATTCCACCTTCATTTTTCGCCCATCCTGGAATGAAATATACAGTTATCGACTTGACATTCCATGTATTTTTTGTTGATTTTTCATTTATTTAGTGAGCTATCAACGATCATTGACATATTATGAATCTCCCTGTACCTGTATCCAAGGCCTGACTGTTTATCAGCGATCCGTCAGAAAGCCGTCAACATTCGAATTTTGTGGAGCAAAAATTTTCCGGTGAAAATGTCTAAAGACAAGCGCGAAAAGCCCAAGAAGCCCCAGGGCTTCAAAAGGTCCGAATTCAAGCCCAACATGCGATCAGCCACTGCTGTGGTCAGCGCCATAGCTTTCCTACAGAAGGCTGGATTTCAAGCCACCGTCAAGAACATCAAAAAATGCATATCTCAAAGATGTCGGAAACCAGTGGACCAAATCATAGGGACTGTGCCCAGCTATCTTTCCAGAGGTTTAGAACTGGGGATCCTGAAGAAACACGGAGGGATCTATAGGTTGGGGACGTTCGAATTGAAGGCGAGAAAAAAGAAGCCTATGAAGAAGAGCAACATTGGAAGCAAGGCGCGAAAGTCTGTGGAATGTGAAGAAAATGCTGTCAAAACAGTAGAAGAGTCTGCTCATGAGAAGGAGTCTGTCTGTGTATTTTGATTTCTGAACTTCTTGACTGATTTGAGGTTTTGTATCGTCTTGTATTGTCGAAAATAAAAACTATTGAAGAAACAGGCTCATTTTTCTTGGATTAGGCACTGTGATTCTTTGAAATAATACGTTCTAAAGTGGAGATTGTGTAGAGCTGTTAGGTGAGTATGCTTCATGAAATAAAGAAAAACAACCTGGACCAAATCATAGGGACTGTGCCCAGCTATCTTTCCAGAGGTTTAGAACTGGGGATCCTGAAGAAACACGGAGGGATCTATAGGTTGGGGACGTTCGAATTGAAGGCGAGAAAAAAGAAGCCTATGAAGAAGAGCAACATTGGAAGCAAGGCGCGAAAGTCTGTGGAATGTGAAGAAAATGCTGTCAAAACAGTAGAAGAGTCTACTCATGACAAGGAGTCTGTCTGTGTATTTTGATTTCTGAACTTCTCGACTGATTTGAGGTTTTGTATCGTCTTGTATTGTCGAAAATAAAAACTATTGGAGAAACAGTCTCATTTTTCTTGGATTAGGCACTGTGATTCTTTGAAATAATACGTTCCAAAGTGGAGATTGTGTAGAGCTGTTAGGTGAGTATGCTTCTTGAAATAAAAGAAACAACCTGGACCAAATCATAGGGACTGTGCCCAGCTATCTTTCCAGAGGTTTAGAACTGGGGATCCTGAAGAAACACGGAGGGATCCATAGGTTGGGGACTTTCGAATTGAAGGCGAGAAAAAAGAAGCCTGTGAAGAAGAGCAACATTGGAAGCAAGGCGCGGAAGTCTGTGGAAAGTGAAGAAAATGCTGTCAAAACAGTAGAAGAGTCTGCTCATGAGAAGAAGTCTGTCTGTGTATTTTGATTTCTGAACTTCTTGACTGATTTGAGGTTTTGTATCGTCTTGTATTGTCGAAAATAAAAACTATTGAAGAAACAGTCTCATTTTTCTTGGATTAGGCACTGTGATTCTTTGAAATAATACTTTCCAAAGTGGAGATTGTGTAGAGCTGTTAGGTGAGTATGCTTCATGAAATGAAGAAAAACAACCTGGACCAAATCATAGGGACTGTGCGCAGCTATCTTTCCAGAGGTTTAGAACTGGGGATCCTGAAGAAACACGGAGGGATCTATAGGTTGGGGACTTTCGAATTGAAGGCGAGAAAAAAGAAGCCTGTGAAGAAGAGCAACATTGGAAGCAAGGCGCGAAAGTCTGTGGAAAGTGAAGAAAGACCTGTCGAAACAGTAGAAGAGTCTGCTCATGAGAAGAAGTCTGTCTGCGTATTTTGAATTCTGAACTTCTTGATTGAGGTTTTGTATCGTCTTGTATTGTCGAAAATAAAAACTATTGAAGATACTGTCTCATTCTTATTGGATTTTGCACTGTGATTCTTTGACATAATACGTTATAAAGTGAAGATTGTGTAGAGCTGTTAGGTGAGTATGCTTCTTGAAATAAAAGAAAGAACCTGAACCAAATCATAGGGACTGGGCCCAGCTATCTTTCCAGAGGTTTAGAACTGGGGATCCTGAAGAAACACGGAGGGATCTATAGGTTGGGGACATTCGAGTTGAAGGCGAGAAAAAAGAAGCCTGTGAAGAAGAGCAACATTGGAAGCAAGGCGCGAAAGTATGTGGAAAGTGAAGAAAAGAGCTTTCAAAACAGTAGTAAAGTCTGCTCATGAGAATGAGTCTGTCTGTGCATTTTGATTTGAGGACTTCTTGACATATGTGAGGTTTTGTATCGTCTTGTAGTGTTGAAAATGGAAGTTATCAAAGAAACTGTTTGATTCTCCTTGCATTTTGCCAAAGGCCCTGATTTTTCACCGTGGGCTTCGAAATATTACGTACTAATATACGCTCTGCTGATACAGAGTGTCAAGAAATACTCATTAGAATGTATCTCTCAAGATTCTCTAGGTCTGTCAGGTGAGTATGATACTTGAGATAATATAGAACAACCTGTACCAGATTGTTAGATTAGGTAGTGTTTCTAGTTATCTGTCCAGAGGTGTAGAATTAGGGATCTGGAAGAAGCACGGAAGGGTCTATAAGTTTTCTCTTGGGTACTTTCGAATTGAAGACGTGAAAGAATAAGAAGCCTTTGGAAAAAGCGACAGTGGCAGTATGAAGCAGAAGTCTGTGGAAAATGAAGAAAGGCCTGTACAGGGTGATTGACTATGGATTTCTCGATTTCAACAGCTAATATCTCGAAAACGAAAAAAGATATTTAAAATTTGGAAAAAGTTATTTGAATGAGATGTCATTTCCTTCTAGAGAATGTGTTCTCTGCTTGATTTTATCATTTCATATACAGGGTTCCTGAAGAAATTTTTTTTTTCAAATGGAACCCCCTGTACATTATCGCATATTTCGAAAGAGCTAACTTTCCTGATTTCGAAGATATATACTTTTCATATATTCTATCGAGGGCTTGACGAAATATCAGCAAAATTAAATATTAATATTTGGTCCAAGTTAGCTATGGTTGAAATAGAATGAGATGATGAATAAGTGAATTGACAGTTGGCCAACATTCCAGTGACATTAGTGCGCATAATTTCGACAATTTTCTTACGATGCCATATCCACTGGAACAAAGAAGAGATATTTTGGAGTGCTATTTTTCAGTTAATAAAAATCTTGCTGAAACACTTACACTTATAATTACTTAAATTTAATCTTTCAGATATGACAAGACAAAATTCAATCCGCTTCTCATTATCATTATAATTGAGTTTGTGGCATGGTCTAATTCTGAAATCCCTATGATTATATTTCCTTAAGGTATGTTGAACAAAATAATAGCTGAAACCAAACTCTCTCACTGCATTTCTTATTGACCGTGAAGGATCCTCAACAAAATACTGGATTACAAGAAGTTCCTCGTCTTCGTTGTCTTGCCTTCTCACTATTCTCTTGATATTCGACAAACTGGAAGTTCTGTCAAATTCAGCAGCCAAATACTTTACATAATTCTTACTTGGTAATCTCCTGCCTGGATAACTCCACATAAACTTATAAAGTGTTTCAGCAAGATTTTTATCAACTGAAAAATAGCACTCCAAAATATCTCTTCTTTGTTCCAGTGGATATGGCATTGTGAAAAAATTGTCGAAATTTTGCGCACTTATGTCACTGAAATGTTGACCAAATGTCAATTCACTTATTCATCATCTCATTCTATTTCAACCATAGCTAACTTGGACCAAATATTAATATTCAATTTTGCTGATATTTCGTCAAGCACTCGATAGAATATATAAAAAGTATATATTTTCAAAATCAGGAAAGATAGTTCTTTCGAAATATGCGATAATATACAGGGGGTTCCATTTGAAAAACAATTTTTTTTCACATACCCTGTATATGAAATGATAAAATCAAGCAGAGAACACATTTTCCAGAAGGAAATGACATCTCATTCAAGTAACTTTTTCCAAATTTCAAATATCTTTTTTCGTTTCCGAGATATCAGCTGTTGAAGTCGAGAAATCCATAGTCAATCACCCTGTACATGTGTGGGATTCAAGAAGTACTTCTTATAAGGATAATTATTCTAAAGGGGTCAGATATAAATCTTAGGAATTATCCCCAGACAGAACTATGAATTTTGAAGGAGGTGGGTCGGATCTATATTGATAACGAAAGATGAATATTTTTCAAATACTGATTCTTGAGATCTTGAGAGAGACTTATTAGCTGCAAGAAAAATTCACTATTCCGTAATACGTAACGGTTCATTTAGAACTCCAACCTAGTGAATATATCATTATAATGATTTGAATGAATCTCGATTAATTTATTTCCTAAAGTGGTGCAAAGAGATGTAAAAGACGTAACACATAACCGATGTGGGATGTTGGAGATAAAAGTTGGGCCATTAGTAACGGCATCAACCGGTCTCAAAGTTGAAGTTCAATGCCACTATATTAGTAAAGAAAGGTTCATCAGGTGGATATTCGAGAATATATCCAACACCAGAGTAGATTATGATGTGTGTCCGAATGTAAAGAAATGCACGAAAATTGAGAATGTTGAATGTTACGACTTACAACTTAACTTATTGATGTTGATTAGCTGAAGTATTCTAGTTATACAGGGTGTTTCAAAAAAACCTAACCCCCTTGCTAGGGTAGGTAGAACATTGCAAAATAAGTTGGGTTTGCTCAGTAACCAAATGTCGGAACGCCATCCGTTTTCAAGATACATGGTGTTGAAACAATATTTTTTTTACACATTTTTTACGATTATGTTGAAACTACTGGCAACATAGTGGTGAAATTTTGTATGGATATTTTTTGGGATCAGATACATCGCATGCATTCGTTTTTATATCTGACTCTCATAGAGGGCGCTAGTTACACGGTTCGTACCGAGTAGTTTTGAACATAACTTTTTTGAGGTTAGATTTTTCAATCCAAATTTGATGTTAACTTGAACATCATTCAATTTCACACCAAAAAGGTACTCTTGGTAAAACTCGATAGTGTGTTCCGTTTTCGAAATATTTCAATTTGAAAATGATGAAGTTGTAACTGTTGCTGGTATAAAGCTATGTATTAGAGTGAGTATTATGAAAAATTATCACCTATTTATTGAAAACCGAAAACAACAATACATTTCTGATGCAAAACTCATTGATTTAACAATGAATCAGAAGAATAACATCGAAACAGATTTGACTAAGAACATGGATTACACAGTTTTGTTGTATCTTGAGCAGAAGGACTATGCTACATAGGTAAATTCACGTCAAGAGTTTTGAGACATAATCGAACATCACTTAAATGACCTATAACAGCTGACCCTCAACTGTTCAGAAGAATAATACATTCTTAAAAAGAGAATATGAAATCGTGTATTCCTCGAAACGTAGGACATTTTGAACACTTACTCTAACTGATTCAATATTTCATGTTTCTAGTCAAATATCTCTTAATTTTCTACTTATGATTCTTTGTTCCATCAATAACTTCAGCATAAGAATAATTTTATTGTTTTTGAACCTGAATAAATAGGTAATTGAACTCAATAAAATTCATTTTATACCAGCATCATTACTACTCCATTATTTTCAAATCGAAATATTCCGAAAACGGAACATAGTATCGAGTTTCACCAGGTGTACCTTTTTGGTGTGGAATTGAATGATGTTCAAGTTCATATCATATTTGGATTGAAAAATCTAACCTCAAAAAAGTTATGTTCAAAACTACTCGGTACGAACCGTGTAACTAGCGCCCTCTATGAGAGTCAGATATAAAAACAAATTCATGCGATGTGTCAGATTTCAAGAAACATCCATACAAAATTTCATTACAATGTTGCCTGTAGTTTCGGAATAATCGTGAAAAATGTGTAAAAAAATAATTTTTTCAACACCTTGTATCATGAAAACGGATGCCGTCACGAAATTTTTTCTCTGAGCAAACCCAACTTATTTTGCAATGTTCTACCTACCCTAGCAAGGGGGTTAGGTTTTTTTGAAACACCCTGTATAGTGTGGAGGTGGGTTTTAATGAGCTACCGCTCATTTGAGGCGACCATTCAAGCGGATGATTGAGCATTTTGAATATTTTTGGCTTTTAACCCAGTTCTACTCAAAGCAATTGCCAATTCGCTGGTATTTAATTGGAACAGACTAATTTTGTGGCGCGTATTTTGTCACCACAATGTGTTTGTTTTCATTTCTTTTTCTACCGGAAAAACGAATACAACTATTGCTTTAGACTCATCAACAATTCTTACCTGATGTTCATTCAGATACAGGCTATCCCAGGTAATTCAGCAGATGAAAATAAACTAAATAAATACAAAAAGCTCAACAATGGTAGATTTCGGGAGAAAAACAACTTCTTTCCT